TAGTTCCATTCAAATGTGAAGTAAAAATACCACTCCTAGAGTTTTGGAAAATTAAGTAATGTGGAAAACAATATATTTTCGAGTTCAAATGTATCATCTTACTACCTTATCTAAATAAAGAAACGGGCTTATTAAACATTATTATTATTATCTAATATACTACAGTTTGTTACTATACTGTACGGTACGTAGTGTTTTAAATATTGTACTTATCTACTCAGTACAAACATATCTTACACAAAAAATTGTAAAATAAATCATTTTGAAAGCAAAAGAAAGTTGAACCGACTTCAAACAATACTGACAAAGAGCACTAAAAATAAAAATTGCAAATTTTAAATTACAAATCTAAGTAAAAAAACTATAATAAGTACATTCAATATAACAGGTAACATTTTAAAAGCAATAGTCCCGTCTAGTTTGTTTGAAGTCGGTGCCGGTCTAGTGGGGCGGACTGGCTGAAGATATGCTATACTGGTGAAAAAACATAATACATCAGATGGTTGCTATGTACTTATGCCGTCCTTACTACACCAGCAATTCCCACTAAAACCTTGTCCCAAACTTCCTACACCTCAATGGTCTAGATAGAGACTTGCTGTAGACGCCCTCTGTCTATTCCGGAGACATAGGGTTGATCTGCCAGTTGTCCCTTAATCACAGAATCCTGACCTCTTCAAGTTACTTTTTTCTCAGTCTAGTCTCGCCCTATTCGTTTACCTTGCCCCAATTTACCTTCTTATCTTAAAGGACAGCTATGTTCTACCCACCAGTCCCCAAGGTTTCAGGGGAGGGCAAAAATGGCCGACTACGCACTTGTGACTCTTGAGCGGCAGGTGTTCCTAAATCTAAGTTGACCAGTAGAGGGCATGCCTTGTGGCCCGCAACCATGATATTGAGAAGTTGTACCAATATGTTCCATTCAGAACTCTTAGCCGGTCAAAAGTAGTTTGAACCGACAAAACGAGTCAACGTACTTTTGGCCATAATATTCTATCTATATTATAACCTCATCCGACCCCAAACACAGGGGAGTCGTCGCGCGACGGTAACTGCCGTGGCACTTTCCCTTAGCTCGCTCACTTTCGTGCTTTAATGGTCACTGTTCTAACCTAACCCAGATGATACAATAACAGTAGATGGTATCTGACGAAACAGACAAAATTAGTATTGTCCGATGCCGGTTAAAAATACTTTTGATCGGTTAAGAGTTCTTACTGAACCATGCCTCTCTCCTCTGCACTAGGCATGATGTATAAGTTTATTTCTCAGGCTCTAATTATTCGGCGCGTTTGACCTCGCGATTATTTAATATTTCAGTGCGGGCCAATCGCAACGGCGAACGCGGTCGCTGTGACGATCGAGTAGATGTAAAATGAACTCACACTTTATCAGGATCGGCAGTTACTCCGTAGTTTGGTGTGTCTTTTAGATGACACTAATGTACGTTTGTGTTTCACTATATGTGAAAGTCACCACACACATACTAATATGTTATTGTATGTTTAATTAGTTGTAAATGCCAAATAATTTATTTTGTACTTTTAATTAGTAATGAAAAGTAAAAAGGTTATGCTATTTGGGGTCAAATGAATGCTGAAAATCAACAGTTATTATAATATTTAAATGGACAATGAACACATAAAAGTACATGATACACAATGAATAAGGTAGTATCTTTTGCTACTTATTGAAAGACGTGTCCTGAAGCATATTTGTGACTAAATTACTTGTTACTTTTTCAGTTTTACTAAGAAAATAATCACCATTTATGACTAAAACAGCAAAAATAAATTATAGTTTAAAAAAAACGCTTTTGTAACTAGATTGCTTTTGCTTCTTAAAATGTTGATATAAATTCCCTGAATTCACATTTTTCTGCTCCAACCAATTTTGGGGGAATACCAAAACTACGTTTTATTATCTTTAATCTCTGCCCACTCCTAACTGCCCTTCGTTTGTTTTTAGTCAATTTTCTGCTTGTGAAGTCAAGAAGAGCGTAGTATATAACTTCAAATGCAGTAGGAACCGACAAGATCAGCAGTAATATGGTACTTCATATCCTAGACGAAATCATACCTGTGATTTGCAATGTCCTTATCCTATTCCTATTCCTTATCCAACATTGATTTTCCATCTGCATGGAAAAGTTCTCAAATTATTGCTCTTCCTAAAAAGTAATCCTTCTTCTCTTCGAGACTATCGTCCAATATCCATTTATCCCTTTTTCTCTAAAGTCCTCAAAAGTCTTATCTTCACGCATTTAAGTTCATTTCTTACTAAAAATTGTCTCCTAAATCCTCTCCAATCGAGCTTTCGTTCCGGCCACAGTACTACCATATCTCTCAAACATGTTACGTCAACATGGAGGAAGGAAAGTTAAAGATCCTTCTCTTGCTTGATTTTAGTAACGCTTTCAACACCGTTGACTTTGATATCTTGCTCGGAATATTGCGCTCTCTTAACTGTCTCGTAAATGTCCATCAGTAATTGACTGGTTTTATAGCTATCTGTACGGTCGTTGTGTTGAAAATAATTATTCCTCTTGGTGCACAACATCTGCGGGCGTACCTCAGGGCGGCGTGCTATCTCCATTACTCTTTGCAGTGTTTATCAACTCCATCACTGATCGTTTACTTTCTTCCTACCACCTTTATGCAGATGATGTCCAAATTTACATCAAAGCTTCTCCATCTATACTATCTGAAGCTATCAATGATATTAACAAATATCTGATACAAATATGTACCTGGAGTAAGGAGTATGGCCTAAGAGTAAATCCATCTAAAACTCATGTAATTATATGAGGTAGTCCTGGGAGGAGCTCCACGGTAAATTGGCAACAACTGCCAGCTATCTATTGCGATGGGTCCAGTATTCCATATAGCGACAAAGTCAAAAACTTGGAAACCTATATGAACAAGTTCTTGTCCTGGGCCCCCCAGATTGGTGAGGACAGTCGTTTGCTGCAGTGGGATTCGTGACTTTCTTTCTACCGATACAAAAATCGCCGCGAAAATCTTTTGTTTTCCACATCCTGGACTATGGTGATGTTAGCTATCCAGATCTCTCCGAAGAACAATTAAACAAAACTTGAGCGTCTCCAAAATGTCTGCATCAGATTCATATTCGGCTTACGCAAATATGATCATATCTTCGAGTATCGAATTAAGCTCAAATGGTTACCTATACGCCTTCGCCGTAATGTTCATATTCTCTCTATTTTGTACAGTATTTTGTTCTTCCCGCATACTCCATCTTATCACAAAGAACGTTTTGAATTTTTACAAAATTCACATTGCAGATCATTGAGATCGTCAGAAAATCTAAAGCTAAAAATGCCCAGGCACCCCACACAATTTACTGACAAGTCGTTCTCAGTGTGTCCGTGTCCGTGTGGTGACGGATTAAGAATACAGACTGTCACCATCCCTATTCATCCCGTGGGTGTCGTAAGAGCCGACTAAGGGAGAAAACTACGCAGGACAACAACACTGCAGAGAGAAGGAAAACTTGAAACAAACCCTATACCAACCCGTCTGGCCAGCGTGGTATAGTAGGCCAAAACCTCCTTTCTAAGGAGAGGCCTATGTCCAGCAGTGGACTATTAAAGGCTCTTGATGATGATGTTCTCAGTGAAAGCAGATCGACTGTGGAATAACCTACCTAAAGCAATTAGGCAAGGTAAACCACTCCAAATATTTAAAAACACTAATCACAAATCACTACTTGACATCGTAGAGGAATTTGTGTATTTATGGACCTCTGTCTGTGTGTATTTATATATTGCATGTGTTTCAGTGGATTATTTGTAGATATACTGTAGACTTATATAGTAACCTTATATTTATAATGTATTGTTCTCAATTGTAATAGTACATCGCAGGCTACCCAAATTTTTTGACAATATCCGTATAAAGGTTGTCTGTAAGAAATCGCGGTGAGTAATAAGACCGCCTATTGTTATACCGAAATGTATATAATATCTGTACAAATAATACTGCAGTGGTGTACAATAAAGAGATAAATAAATACATAAAACATTGATTGTTCTTTTTGAACTTAAAGAAAATTATTTTCTATGTTTCAGTTCGGCTAGTTACAAAAGCGTGTTTTTTAGTTTATTTAAACTTTAATTTATTTTTGCTGTCTGTGATTTTACGATACTTTACGACAAGAAATGCAACCTAAATATAATTTACTCCTCAGGAAATAACAAATTTTGGTAATAAGTAATTTAACGACGACAATGCACTCCGTGTGGTGACGGATTAAGAATACAGAGTGTCACCACCCCTATTCATCCCGTGGGTGTCAGGGAGCAAACTACGCAGGACGACAGCACTGCAAAGAAAAGCAGAACTTGACTGAAACCCTATACCAACCCGTCTGGCCAGCGTGGCATAGTAGGCCAAAACCTCCTTTCTAAGGTGAGGCATATGTCCAGCAGTGGACTATTAAAGGCTATTCATTAAATTATAATTTATAAAAAAAAAACAGTTTCAAATTAGCGCGTTCAAGAAAATAAACAATGAAACAAAAGAATTCTTCAGATTTCATATAGACTACTTATATTAACATAAATTTAATATACATAAACTAAATAAAATGTTTCTTAAAATAACACGAGATTTTTGTGTAAACTATAGCTTTTAGTCATGCCTAATAAAACAAAACACTATACTAAACTTAATCGTCTCATACCGGAATTGACGCAATTACATTATAGGATTACATTACAAATATATTTGAATAGCCTGATGTTTCCACTAGGTTTTCTTTTCAAGGTCACAGATAAACTGAAACGATGATGGCCTTATTACAAGTATGTGCTCGTGTTAATTCCCGTACATTTATATTATGGTTATTTAAAGCTAGTTGAGAAGTCACATTCGAAATTTAAATTATATTTTTAACGGCACATATACAACCACATCTAGTCATAGACTATAATATTAAACCTACATGTTAAATAATAATTATCTCTGCCACGTTAACTATCACACAGTTTCAGATATGTTATAAGGTTTTGTTTCAGGTCCAGGTTCCGGAGTCTCCTTCTCTTCCTTCAAAGTCTTCATGCCTTTAAGCGTATTTTTCACCACATCATAAGGAGCTGAAACAATACACAAATTGAATTAATGCTAAATACCTCTCAATGTGTTGCGATTACTTGCCTATCGCTTTCACTCTGAAAGATAGGTTTTATTCCACTCTGAGATATGTCGCTAAATATCATATTAAGGTATGACAGAACTTATTACTGTTTAAATTGGAGTCGTCCATCTAAGGGAGTACGTGATCATTTGATAGCACTGCGTCAAACGTCTTTCATTTTGATTGCATTTAATTGCAATACAAATGAAAGACGTGAAAAAAAAGCATTAGAAATACGAAAGACCACTCCACTATTAAAGGTATTTTAGTGCAGTATTTTCTAAAAAAGAGGAGAAAAAACTATTACTTTTTTTATGGTATAAGGGGGCAAACAAGCAGACGGGTCACCTGATGGTAAACAACTACCGCCGCCCATGGACATCTGGAACTCAAAAGTCACAAGTGCGTTGCTGCCCTTGGAGTCCCTCCCGCTCGAGTCAGCGGGATGGCGGCATGGCGGATGGCGAAGGGGTCTGTCGGACTCTTACCGACTAAAAACCACCTCACTGTACCTCTCCTTGGCAATGGCCGGGGGAGCGAGAATAGCAATTGCATTCTTCCGCCAAAAAAACTATTAAGTAATGTTATACTTTTTAGCCTATCGTTAAACTGAACTTGACAACCCGTGTAACAGTAAGTCGTTCTGACATCAAACTATTAATTGATATAATATTAAAAACGAAATTGTAGTTGACGAAATTAAAGATTTGTACATTTTGAATTTCATAACACAATAAAATATCAAATACCAAAAAAATATCTGTCGCAAGAATTGCAAATGGCCGCCATATTGATACCTGTGTCAATGCTGTAAGAGTGGAATAAACTCCTTCGAAATTCAAGGCTCTTGATTGCATAACAAATTAATTATTATGAATGCTTAGTCTTTAATTGATTTTCACATGCTAGCAGGTTTTTTCTTTATCATATGGTGATGGTGTGAATATTGATTGCGTACCGTGGGTATAGGTACATACACAGTAAGTTTCATTCTGCGAAGATAATAAACAAATGAAGGCAAGGTAAAGGTTGCCACACAAAATGTATGCTACTGAAACTTACAAGTATCTAGGTATATCACAGTCGTTTGGAATACCAGAATCTGACATGAAACAAACGGTGCAGGTACGCTTTTTTGGTTCCCTGTCCGTGTAGTGACGGATTAAGAATACGGAATGTCACTACCCCAATTCGTCCCGTGGGTGTCGTAAGAGCCGACTAAGGGCGCAAAACAACGCAGGACACCAGCACTGCAAAAAGAAGGAAAACTTGACACAAACCCTATACCAACCCGCCTGGCCAGCGTGGTATAGTAGGCCAAAACCTTCTTTCTAAGGAGAGGCCTATGTCCAGCAGTGGACTATTAAAGGCTGTTGATGTGATGTGATGTGAAATACTTAAATACTTAAAAGTATTTTATCGGTGGGCAACAGGGTGCGAGCCTACAATGGTTGGGTCATGCCGCTTCTGATGTATTCCTTTGGTATACTTTGATGGAGTCAGACCGAATTAGATGCCCTTGACAGGAAAGTCCGTACACTGCTGATTGCTTTCTGAATGTACCACCCACGTTCATCAGTTATGAGATTGTTTACGCGAATATTTGGAGGTCACGGACTATTAAATATAAAAAGTTGAAAACAATTCTTTACATCCCAGTTCCGACTCATGTTTCTCCCAATAAATAATTTCTAGGTCCCGTTTACAGCTCTCATAATCTGTTTTACGGTAACACAATTTTGTAAGTGATGTGTTCTGTGTTAGTGTAGCGACACCAGTCCTCAATACGAGTTCAAATGGCGGATGATGCAAGTTAACGCAACTAATGAGCACTGTAGGTGTCACACTCAAAAAATCTGGGCAATCAGTAAAAACTAAATCAAGTATCCGGTTTTTGTGATTTCCTATAAAATTGACCTGCCGTATCGTTGTCGAGTGAAAGAGGTCATGTTAGGATTTAGACTTTTCACAGTTGTAGTTTGACGGCAATCCTGTTTCACTGTGTGTAGCACTTGGTGAAATAGTCACAAACGACATCGGCAGGCAAATACTCAGGAGGGTGAGCAACACACAAATTAATGATGCCAGAGCCACTCACCCCCACTTGCAACCAAAGATACTCCAAGCATTCAGAAAACCATTCACTTTTAATTGAAATTTGAAGTTCCTTTAAATACGCGATAAGTACACCCCCACCATAGCTTTTACCATACCATCTCGATCCCAACGTATCACATAATACCTGTCATCAAACAATTCATAAGACAAAATCTTTTCATCAAGCCAAGTCTCACAAAGGCAAATTATATCAAAGTTATTACTTAAAACCTAAACAGTACTATATGTATATGTATCTTTTACTAGCTGACCCGCGCAACTTCGTCTGCGTCTCTCAATAGTAATAAATTTTCTCCGTTTTTGAAACATTCTTCATTGGTGCTCCGCTCCTATTGGTCTTAGCGTGATGATATATAGCCTATAGCCTTCCTCGATAAATGGGCTATCTAACACTGAAAGAATTTTTCAAATCGGACCAGTAGTTCCTGAGATTAGCGCGTTCAAACAAACAAACTCTTCAGCTTTATAATATTAGTATAGATTTTTACTTTTCATGCCTCTGATGTTTTGAAAATATATTAACAAGTACATCATCATGTTATTATGTAATCAATAACTAGTACCACTCAAAAGAAATGTAAATAAAGTTTAACATATGAGAATAAGGCTCTCCCTACTTTTGATTGATATGTACTTAGTATCAACTGTTTTCCTTACAAAGATACGTCCATTTTTCAGTCAAACAAACTTATATCCTTTCGCCTTCTTACGCGCTGCAGCGTGCAGGAATTTATTAGACAGGGACAGATGCTCTGACACGTAAACCGGTATCCTTCACCCGCAATTCCAAGCTCCGCAGTATTAAGTCTATTAGTAGTGTTAGATTTATTGTATCTGTACACTGCAGAGTAAAAGTCATCCTTACACAACTGAACTTGACGATTATAGTACAGGGATACTTGCTCACCTTGTTCAATTTTGCAACTCTAGTGCACTTGACAACATCACCCTCCTTCAAGTCGTGACTTTAGAGCATTGATTAAGGACACTTTGTAGATTTTAATTATGGTGTTCGGGTAAGCCTTGTATTTCTAGATTGTTTCCCCGTAAATGTTGTTCGAGATTATTTAGTCGATCGGTTAATTTAGCTACCGTGGTTTTTAGGGTGGTGTTTAGATTGCATTGCATTGTCCTTGATCAAGGTTTCTACTATGTTCTTCATTTCGTCATGCATAGTGCTTAAGAAGTCAACTGATATAGTATATCATTCTTAATTGAAAATAGTTCAGCTTTCAGAACACATGAAATCATTGCAGGAAGCTCGGACTTAAGCGCTTTAAGAACTTTATCGCTTACAGCAAAAATAAATGCATCATCTCTATTAAACGTGGCGCATCTTTTGCTTCTTTCTAAAGATAATGTTATCCAAACCAGTGTTTTCATCATATAAATTAAAAAGTTCGCCTCGCCGTCCTTGACATTCCGTACTGGTGTATTTGTGTTTCCAAGCTTCGGTTGTTTACTAATACATGCACGACAAATCCACTTGAATTTCCGCACCTTGCTTATGCCGGCATAAATTTTCTTGTTGAGAATATTCGCGCAAGAATGGTCATATTATTTGCAGCATTTCAAACACTCCTACAACCAGCACAGGTTATGCCCCTTGACGTAGTGTGTAAACAGTTCACTCGCGCCTCTACGAACCTCCCGGATGCACTACAGAAGCGGGCTTTTATTAGAATTTACCAGATAAGGATTAATTTCGTCATAAATGGATTGGCTCGACCGGAGTGATACCACATCCGCACAAAACCGGTGTATTAACACCAGTTCTTTCTTGGCTTTTCACCGAGCGAGTGAGGTTACTGGAGTTAAAACCCTCTCTCCCCTTCCCATTGATTCTGGAGGAGGCGCAGAGGACGATAACACACTTGTGACTCTTGGGTTGCAGTTATCTTTGAGCGACGGTAGTCACTTACCATCAGATGACATCGTTTGCCCCCAATATAAAAACCCTACCTTTACAGTACTTTTTTCTTATATATAATAATATTTTCGGACATCTGACACACAACGCCATCTAGTTTCAAATTAAGCAGAACCTGTACTATGAAAACTAGACTGACTGATAGAATACTTATATAGGTACTATTACTAAAGTAGTAATTTATATTATTTTCAAGTTCGATCCTTTTATATAGATAATAATAATAATATATAATTCGGACATCCGACACAACGCCATCTATCTTCAAACTAAGCAGAGCTTGTACTATGAAAGCTAGATTAACGGATAGAATACATTTTTTTTGTGTCATTACAGCAGTCGCATACGCTACCACTGCACCACCGAAGCAGTCAAAATCCCTTTATTTTAATACAAAAAAACTACCCATTAATTTTCTTTTTATTAATCTAGGAATTGCTTGAAAGAAATTCCCCTCACTGAACAATCCCATCTTTGTACTTATGATAAATAAATATTAATTTGCTTCATCAACAGCCTTTAATAGTCCACTGCCGGACATAAGCCTCTCCTTAGAAAGGAGGTTTTGGCCTACTATACCACGCTGGCCAGACGGGTTGGCATAGGGTTTGTGTCAAGTTTTCCTTCTCTTTGCCGTGCTGTTGTCCTGCGTATGTTAAAAAAAATACATACTGCCAAACTGATACTTGTCGATCGATGTATATAGGTCCCTCTTTCCCCCTGGGCACTCTGGACACGTGCCCAGGGCCCCACGATAGATAGAGACCCCCTAATTCCTACCTACCTACCTAATTTGATAATCGATATTTACTACCGAAAACCATATTTATTTAGAACTAGCTGAGACCCGCGGTGTTACCCGCGTTTGTTGTTATAACCGCGGGCAACGCCGCGGTTATAAAAAAAGTAGCCTAAGTTACTCCTTATGTCATCAGCTAACTGCCAGTGAAAGTCCCGTCGAAATCGGTCCAGCCGTTCCAGAGATTACCCGGAACAAACAGACAGACAGACAGACAAAAATTGTAAAAAATGTTATTTTGGCATATGTACCGTGTAAACATACATATGCATTTAGTTAAAAGCGGTTATTTTAATATTACAAACAGATACTCCAATTTTATTTGTTTGTATAGAAAATCCAGCGAAAATGGTTGGCGAAAACACTAATCTGTCAAGGTCGTAGGGGCCCCATTATCCCAATGTGGCACGGCCCTCCGATAGGCCAAAAACGGCCCTGGATGTATAGAGTTTTCGCTTAAGAACATTTACATAACAATAACAGTGTCCGCGTATTTCTCAACACATGTTGGATCGTAAACGTTTTATAGTCGCGGTGCACCACCAACAATCAAACAACGTGACGTGCTACTGTTTCCATCTACACTTTAACGACCTTTTAGATTTCACGTAAGATTACAAACACGCAGACGACTGTAAACAAATATATGATGAAACTTATGTAACACTACTGTGCGCTTTCGAGACAATTTTTGACCCGCACAACCAATCTATGGAACGGGTTATCATCTGCGGTATTTCCGGACCGATACGACCTTCAAACCTTCAAGAAAAGAGCGTACTCCTTTCTAAAAGGCCGGTAACGCGTTTGTGACTCCTGAGTTGCAGACGTTCTTGGGCGGCGATGGTCACTTTCCATCAGGTGACCCGTCTGCTCGTCTGCCCCCTCTAACATTAAAAAAAGAAACACGAACTGTTCTAACTGCTATTTAACCGTAATAGCTCACGAACACTTGCCAATAAGAAGATCTAGATTTTGTCTTCTCTTACAATTACACACGGCACATACTTGCTTCTATTCTTCAGTGCCTTCTTTACTATAAAGGCGTGCCCTTATTTGGCCAGTTGAGATTGAGAGCACGTGCGCAGGGTCCCCAATCTAATGGGGCCCCATAAGAGTCTATGATATAAAATCACGAAAGTTCAAGAAAAAGTAGATCAAGAAATAAACCCATTGAAGATAACCTAAACCTCTCATTCTATTAAAAAAATAGTGAATACTTTTTTCTTATTTATATTCTGAGAAAACTGTCGACAATACCAATTAGTACGACCGGACGGCGTAGTGCTATTCTGCTACTCCTGCTATTCCAAAGGTCGCGGGTTCGATTCCCACTGAAGTCAAACATTTGTGTGCATGAACATTTAATGTTTGATTTGGTCTGGGTGTTTCTATGTATAGTATGTATTTACAAAAAAAAAGTATATATGTATTTATATCAGTTGTCTATTACCCATAGTCCAAGCTCTGCTTAGTTTTGGACAAAATGGTGTTGTGTGAATGTGGTAGTGTCTGTTAACCAATCGGCCCCAAAATCTCAGGTGCCCAAGGCCCCGGGTCGGCCGAAAGTTAGCCTTGTCTTTAATACCCCTCGGTCAAATCAGTAAATTTCTCAAAACTCTACCATTAGTACAACACAGATATTAGCAAACATTGATATGGTTTGAACGATGTTGTATCATAAATATTAAATATTATAACATCTGGGCGGAAGTTTCTATATGCAAATCAGAGACACATTACAAACACGGACGCGTGGACGATGTCCTTCAGAGTGGTACTTGAAAAATAACTTAAAAGTATTCTACCAACAATTTTTACAATAAAGTTTCGGACAGAACATTTCGTGTTTATGTCGCGGAATCGCCAGAGGTGTAGCCAGCAGAGAATAGGAGAGGTGGTGATGGTCTTGATATCATACAAGCCACCGACCAACTGTTTATAGGAATGACATGAATTGCTTTTGCCAACTTTTTTCTTGTACAATAACCATTCCTTAGCTCACAATCGACATCTATTTAAGAAACCCTAATTAAGACTAAATGTGGTCTGTTGATCGAATTTCGAACCTAATTTTGAGAATTTTATTTTGTTTTGAGAATTTACAACATAAATCAAGCCACAAGTTGTCCTTACAAGTTGAACTGTCAATGTAGCGACCCTCAGTACGTGTAGTGTGTACAAAGTTATTCGGGGTACTGTTCCGACCACTTTGTAAAGCAGTGGCTTTTCCGCCTAATAACTGATTTAGTTTAACAATAAAACAGATTATAATTTGTCAAATGGTTATTAGTTTAACATTCTTGGTTAATTTATATTTAAAAAATGTTCTCATAACATTGACTTACAAGAACATTAGATTTATATCAAACCATGGAGTTTGCATTAGGAATAAAAAAAACGTTATCATTTTCAATTCAAATTATTTTATTCAAAATTTGTATAATCCGTGTGAAATACTGCTAAGATACCTGATGTTTAAATATATCAAAGGGGACCGGAGCACGCCTGCGAAACCAGTTAAAGTGGAACATTGTTTTAATAACATCAGCGTGAGAACTTTCATTGTGCGTTGCAGCGTCACTTGAGCTTTATGTTACACGCAAAGTAGTTCAATTTGTCTCTATTAAATACTGTTATGCGCTTATTTTAACGTTGATTTACTTTAATAAAACTTTTATGGCTCTAAAACAGCTGTCTGTGCCTGCTATCAGTAGAACATCCAGAGCTACTTCTCTCTTAAACATAAAACCTGTTTTTGTGTGGGCGCTCGTGTAGCAGAAGTAGATACGAGTAGTAATCTATGGACACCGGTGGCTATTTACGAACTACTTTGGAACAAATTCCATCAATCTTGAGCCTAAACTACAAGACAGGAATTTATTGCCTTGGTGTAATAACAATTTAAATTTTCTCATATGTAAAATAGATGGACTAAATATTTTTAAAGTTTGCCTAAAGTACATAGTAACGTAACTGCGTAATACAAAACCGTTTGTATTTACGTTAACGCAGGCTTCAAACAAAACAAATAATACGGAACTGTCCTCGTTAAAAAACAATGAATAAAATACTCCTTCGACGTGTTCTTCCGAGAAAAGTTTACGTTTGCTTAATAAAATAAAAAAAGACATTACGCACCACACCACATCCTAAGTCTTCTCTTAGAGGCATCGTTGTCGACAGTGCATAGCCGAATGATATCGAATATCGCCAGAAGTGTTAAAAACAGTAACAAACCATACACAATAAGTTGTAACATGTTTTGGCAAACTCTCGACGTCGCGACACGACTTGCTACGACGACGCGGACTAAACCACTAAATACAATACACTTTAATACACTACGTATGTTTAAAGGCACACGTCAAGAAAACCTTTTGAACTTGAAATTTTGCATGCATTATACGATTTCAAACTTTATTGTAATGTAGAAATTGAAGTTATATTGCAGGGTTGATGAATAGGTGTCGTTGTAACCGCAACAGGTCAAGAAACTTAGACTCCTTGATAGTTTTTTGTACCTAAAACTTACTGTAGGTAACCTAAGTATTTTGTATTTTATGATACTTTAATCATTAATTTAAAAATATGTAGGTTGTGTGTCAATTTAATTTAGCTTCGTCAATAATTCAAAACAATTCAGAAAAATATGTATTCAACGAAGCAAAAAAAAAGGAATTCATTGATAATTCCATATAATAATGGCTATTTAAGATATTAGAATCATCTTCATGCCTTCCCTCGTTTTCAAAATTCTATCGCAGTGTGTAACATTGCCATGGGGTTTTGGCTGATTTCAACCGTTTTTTAATTTAAAAAGATAACGAAATAAGAAACAGACAAAGAACACCCAAAGTAAGACTAACGATTTGTGTAGCATACAGAGTGTTGTCGCTCGAACCCACAACACTCAGCGCAGTAGAAATCGGTAGGAAGGCTTGGACCACTTTGCCAACCGTGCAATTATTTTCCTTGATGATAGGCCTCCTGACCGATGCCAGTTCTTGGAAATGTAATCTTTTCAAGACCGGCCAAAGAAATAAGGTCAATTTGTGTAGGAAAACGGATAGGGCGAGGAAGCTATGGTACTTAAAGTGTAAATTTTATATTATGTGATTCCTATGACTGGAAAGGTCATCATCATTATCACATCGACAGCCTTTAATAGTCCAGTGTTGGACATAGCCCTCTCCTTGGAAAGGAGGATTTTGCCTACCATACCAGGCTGGCCAAACGGGTTGGTAAAGGGTTTGTGTCAAGTTTTCCTTCTCTTTGCAGTGCAGTTGTCCTTTGTGGTTTGCTCCCTTAGTCGGCTCTTATAACCACGGTATGAATACGGGTGGTGACACTCCGTTTTCTTAATACCTCTCCACACGCACATTTTTACCACACGGAAATTTAAAAGTTCATTGGGTTCGATTCGATTCGGTCGGAACAAATGTTTGTTTGATCTGCAAATATTTGTTTCGGAGTTTGGGTGTTTTCTATGCATAATATGTATGTATTTACCAAAAAAAAAGTATTCTATCAGTCACTCTAACTTATAGAGTACAAACTCACTGTGTGTCAGTTGTTTTAAATATTATTACTATTATTAGGACATAAAGTTTATCATTTCAACCGTGGAATAGCTATGTTTCGGCGCGAATGGGCTGCCTCGAACGGAGCGATCCCACAGCCTTATAGAAGACCAGTGATTGAGTTCGAGTGAGATTATTCGCTTGATTCCGGAATCTCCCCAGGGAGAGCGACTCTTACTTCCTTTCTAGGGTATACCTGGTTCCACGGCTATTAGTACCCGAGACGGCGTGCGGTTTTAGTCGGTTCGAGTGAGACATGCCACCGATACCGGCGGTATCCGAGGGGATCTCCGCACGAAAAAAAAAAGGGAGAGCGGTTCATAGGGCAGCAACGCATTTGTAACTAATGAGTACTTGAGTAGTGCAGCAGTGCTATTCTCTAATGAAACAGCTTTGAGTACAGCGCTGCTACAGCGTCGAACTTCAAACTAAGTGTGCTTGAAATTCGACGCTGTAACAACGCTGTAATAGCATTGCTGCACTACTCAAGTACTCATTAGTTCGAGCGTCGAATTTCAAGCACTCCAGGTGTCCATGGGTGGCGCACAGTGGGGCGACCGTGAGTTTTTTCATTCAAACACACTTTCTGAAGACATTTTTTTTTTTAATTTTTGAAAGAAAATTTCCTAAGCTAGTTTTCATTCCTAGCAGTCGATGGTCTGCCTCAATTTTTTATTTAAGACTTCAGTTAAAACCCCCTTGCGTTTAAAAATGCATGTGTTTTTCATCGTGATTGAATCAATATGATACATAAATTGTAAATAATTATCCTTTTTTAGGATATGTGCATAATAACTGAAAACTGAGGTCATAAATAAAAATATTTATTTTTATATATATATATATATTTTATATATTTATATATATCTATATATTTATATAATATATATATTTCTTTGCAATAGCGACAAAGGTGCCACGCCTACTTCGCAATTCTGCTAATATACGTTAAGTATTCTTTCAAATTAATTAAATAAATATCTCAATAGTGAATTGAAAAAACATATAAGTAGAAATAAGTAGATAAATTAGATAAAAAATTTGAATGGACAATAATCCATTCAGATTTTTTATATTAAATTTACCACGGGCGTTTTCAAATTTCAACGTTTTCACTTAAGTGACTCTTTATTTTTAATTGAATCACTAAAAATGAATTTGTCTGAAGCTCAGCAATATAATATAAATTTTCGTCGCATAAATATCATTAAACGTCAAAGACTGTATTATAAGTGGCAGATGGTCTAAGACCATGTATGTGTATAAAATGTGAAATAAGTGACGAATCCCCATTTGACTGCACGGATGGCGTAGTGGTATAAGCACTCGCCACGCGTGCCGTTTACTACTACGCTGAGTGTTGTTAGTTCGATCCCCACATAGGACGGTGTCGTCCTTGTGTGATTCGCAAATTGTTGTTCTGAGTGTTCATTGTGTCCGTGTCATGTGTTTGTAAAGTCCCGCGACACTTGATATATTCCTAATGTCTTTTAAAAACAAAAAAGTCCAGAATTTGAACATTATATTTGGGTAATTTAGGAAAATGAAATTGGTAGCACTGGCAGTAATGTCAAAATTGACATTGACATAGATAAAATACTATAAATCCACAATTTGACATGTTTTGATTGCATTGCCTCACTCTCACTTAAATTAGTTTTTTATTATTGAACCGTATTTTAAAATGGAGAAAGACCTAGACAGAGTAGTAGAAGAGATAATATCTACACCGAATGTGAAGGGTTGCCTGGTAGCTGACCACCAAGGCCTTTGCTTAGCTGCAAAAGGAACAGCCCATGTTGACTCGGCAGGGATTATTGTCGCTGTATCTGAACAGGCGTGTAAGATAGAGCCTAATCTAAAACCGCCCACTGTTTGTTTGGAGACGGATATGAAACAATGTCTGATTCAACGACACGGGACTATTACGGGAGCAATTTTCAAACAGAAAGATTAGCAGGTAACAATACTTTTCCTCCTCTACTCCTCACTACAGCTGCCATAGCAGTATGTCACGAGAAACAGTTATTATAATAAATTTTTGGTCACTTACTCATCACCTAAGTCACCCTGTAGAAGTATTGAATTAGAAACGCTGTTTTGGGATGCAAATTTTAACATAGTTTGTGTGGTGACAAAAATGATAAAAACACTTATTTGTGGTCTCATAGCAAAAAGGGATCAGAATAAAAGAAAAAATATTGTTGTCTGTGAACAAAATATCTCCAATAATTAGAATAAGTGCAAAATAATATCTACAGAATCAATAACTGGCAATATAGATCGAAAATGAACTGAAAGAAATGTAATTGAAAACTAGTTCAGAAATTATCAACCAATCACGATGAAAATATAATGTTCTAAGAAAACTACATCTACAGATCTTGTTCTTAACAAGTTATAAATAGGAATAAGGCCTGCAAGTACATAATGTTCTCGAAATCAGGATAGCACCGAGTGGTTATTTTCCCATCACTCAAAGGTAGTCTGTACAATTCATTGTAATTTGTGCACATTATTCGTTACTCTTTAATACACATTCGTTACTCTTATTAAATATGGTGGGCATAATTTCGAAGCCTCCCTTTGCCCTGTACCCCTACATTCATCTACTAGGATATTCTATAAAATAAGTTGTTATTTCAAGTATCTATGGATTTATTTGGTTGGGGAGCTGATCTCTTTGGTATGAGTGTTACCTTTCTAATGTTTCTTCTTCAGATAAATACATGATCTAGTGGGCTTCAAGAAGACTGATGGAATATCTGCCAAATAATCAAGAATGGATGGATATATTATAGTTGGTATTGAAGAGCTTGGTCAGTGATGTTAAATAATTTTGTTAATTTACTGAATATATGTCTAAATAATATTGTTATATGGATATTAAATGTAAGAATGTAAATAAATAATATATTATTATTCAGATATTTAATTACTAATTTACACTCAAGCCACATTATCCATGTGGTGACAGACAGAATATTGAGTGTTAGCACCCCTATTCATTCTATGGGTGTCATAAGTGCCAACTAAGGGAGCAAATTATGCAGGACAACAGCACTGCAAAGAAAAGGAAACCTTGAAACAAACCCTATACCAACCCATCTGGCCAATGTAGTATAGATTGTGTTCAGCAGTGAACTACTAAAGGCTATTGATGATGATGATGACTCAAGCTACATGGCTTCTGATGAGGTTAGGTGAGGGAAGCTTCTCATGAGGGATGTCTATTGAGTGAGAGGGCATGGCAATTGTCAGCATCATTCTGCAGAGGGTGATGCCAAAGAGGTGGCGGAAACGAGAGAAATATATCTAGCCCATCCCATTAAAGATGTGCTGGCACAGAGTGGATAATGCTCTCTTGATAGCTGGGCTCCCCATCGCGAACTCCAACAGAACAGGCTCTAGCTGGCAGAGTAAGGTCTTTGAATGTTTCTCTAAATCGGTAGCAGCAAAACACTTAATACTCAATCCTTTATTGGATCACGTTTTGTAGAACAGACAGTAAAGTCCAGTCTGGGGTTTCATAGTGATTTCCTTTCAAGTGTACAACTGATGATGATGTTATGATTACCAACTTGTGTAGAACTGCTCTCCAAGTTTACCAGTGGAAGTCTGCACTTATATGTGTAAACAAGGTACTACTTTGCCAGAAATAATTTATCTTTCTTTTTTATAAAAAGGCAACTGCCGCACTAGGAATAAATCCTGTGGCGCGGGGGACTTTACAAACATAAGAACAAAGAACACCCAAACTTGGAACAACAATTTGTGAATGACAAAGTTTTGTCCCATGTGGGGTTCGGACCTACAATACTCAGCGCAGTAGGAAGCGGCAGGTGACTGCTTTAACCACTACACCATCCATGCCATTGACCACTCCCACATTTAATTGGAAATAATTGGGATTCAGAACAGTATCCTCCTCAGTCATGTAATAATAATAACTTCAAACATCTCATACACGGAACTGTTTATTTCAACCTTTTATATAAACTGCTGGATCCCGACTATAGTTAAACCGCTGTAAGCTTGGCCCTCCTGATGGTTTGCGGGACGCGGGGCGGGTGATGCGCTCGGTTATACATGACACGATGTACTAACTCGATATCTTCAGATTTATTTGTTTGAGATTTAATCTACACACAATGTAATAAAAATCGAATTTATTTCTATGTATTATAATGTCAGTGTATTGTAAGTTTTTATGATTAATTGTAAAATTTAATACTGTAAAATAATTTTAATAAAATCACCTTATCTTCATCATGTAAATTATATTCAGATACAATTTAAAAATTAAGTAAAATAATAAATATTCTTTATTAGAACTTTAACAGTAGAACCTCTGTAAGCCGAATTTCAAGTTTTTAAATCTTTTTGTGACGCAGAGTCGGCAGATTATCCATGTTGCAAAATAATACCGTGTGTAGCTGTCTTAAGAAAAATAACACGTACAGCCATGCTTTCACGTCAGTCACTGCCTGAATGGTTGCACTGGTTGAATGCACCCCCGCCCCGCGCCCCCCCAAACCATCAGAAGGGCCAAGCTTACGGCGGTTTAACTATAGTCAACCACCCAGTTTGACACCAGCCAAATCACAGAGAAAAATTACTGTTAAAAGTTTTTCTTGGTCAACTAACAGGGTTTAGTATATTCAGTTTTAATCAAAATCATAGACCAATAAATAAAACATCCAATTTCAATATACACACATTTATTACAGATATGCTTTCCTATATAGTAACATTAACTTGACGAGAAACAACTGCAACGGCTTACCCTAAACGACTAACTGGTGGGCGAATATTCCTTCTCTTTATTCCTTAATTGTTCTGATTCATCATTCTCCTGCAGAAATAGCATTCGCACATCACATAATGAAAAGAATTTATACATTGTAATATATTTTTTGTGAACAATCCAGGAATAAACGAAATAGTCAGCCGAGTACAGGAAATGCATACAATTACTTACGAACAACATTTCACTGTGGCGTATATACTTGTCTTCAGTGCAGGGATAAATATAAATAGTCAATATTTACACAACTAATTGGGCGTTACAGACCAATGGGACAGACACACTCCTATAGGTTTGTACAAGGGTTTATATACTAATATAATATATGTGGATAGGGGGGGACAGACACTCCTATAGGTTTGTACAAGGGTTTATATACCAACATAACATGTGTGGATAAGGGGGGACAGACACTCCTATAGGTTTGTACAAGGGTTTATATACCAACATGTGTGGATAAGGGGGGACAGACACTCCTATAGGTTTGTACAAGGGTTTATATACCAACATAACATGTGTGGATAAGGGGGGACAGACACTCCTATAGGTTTGTACAAGGGTTTATATACCAACATAACATGTGTGGATAAGGGGGGACAGACACACTTCTATAGGTTTGTACAAGGGTTTATATACCAACATAACATGTGTGGATAAGGGGGGACAGACACACTTCTATAGGTTTGTACAAGGGTTTATATACCAACATATGTGGATAAGGGAGGACAGACACACTCCTATAGGTTTGTACAAGGGTTTATATACCAACATATGTGGATAAGGGGGGCCAGACACACTCCTATAGGTTTGTACAAGGGTTTACGAGTATATACCAACATAACATGTGTGGATAAGGGGGGACAGACACATTTCTATAGGTTTGTACAAGGGTTTATATACCAACATATGTGGATAAGGGGGGCCAGACACACTCCTATAGGTTTGTACAAGGGTTTATATACCAACATATGTGGATAAGGGGGGACAGACACTCCTATAGGTTTGTACAAGGGTTTATATACCAACATAACATGTGTGGATAAGGGGGGACAGACACTCCTATAGGTTTGTACAAGGGTTTATATACCAACATAACATGTGTGGATAAGGGGGGACAGACACTCCTATAGGTTTGTACAAGGGTTTATATACCAACATATGTGGATAAGGGGGGACAGACACTCCTATAGGTTTGTACAAGGGTTTATATACCAACATAACATGTGTGGATAAGGGGGGACAGACACTCCTATAGGTTTGTACAAGGGTTTATATACCAACATATGTGGATAAGGGGGCCAGACACACTCCTATAGGTTTGTACAAGGGTTTATATACTAATATAACATATGTGGATAAGGGTGATTTAATAAATTAGGCCATAATACAACTATATACTTTTATCTATGAGCATTTACTAACGTCTTAATTCAACAATCCTAGTTTTTTGTTTTCTAATATGTGATAATGTAACTGTTACATACAGATTTGTTATAACTATTATTGTTTTCATTATCTCTGCACCAATCCTTGGTGTTTATATAAGTAATATACCATTTAATTATAATCTCCAGTGACAAATGTCAAAACGAACCGTGGACAAAACTAAAGTCCCAAATGTTATATGCAAAGTAAATGTGTAAAAATAAACTAATTAATTTTTATCATAGCATAACTATACTATATACAATTTTAACATAAATTCTTAGTCTCAATAATTAATATGCTTAATATACATAAAGAAATCGATGCATTAAAATCAATAAATAAATCAGTGGTAAAAATAAGGAAGCACTCCATCATGCCATCAATATTGCCTGTTAATTTATTATTGTAGTTATTTGAACTACAAATATCTTTAAAAAAATCGAATAAAATAAAATCACTAAAATATTGGCTGTGTGTGAGCAAAATTGTTAAAAACTAGCAAAATATTACCTAAGACTAGGGTCTTTCTTATACACAATAATACTTTAAGAACTCCCTGCGATGTTGATATCGTTAGTATTACAAAAATATCTTGCAATTGCAGTAACAATGATATTTTTTTTATGAATTCATTTGTTATTCAACGAATTGTAGAGTATTCTACTAATTGGAGGCTGCGTGAAGTTATCGCTTGGCTTCATAAAAACTTTCCAACAGTTATACCACAATTCATGAAATAAATACAATACAACGTCTAGAGTTAAATATCCTAAGAATAAAGCTCATCCACGGCGATTCATTTCCTATTTTACACCAATAGTCACGAAAGCATGCAGACAAAATGGTATTGCACTGTTTATTAATCAATTTTTTTTTAACCCGTACCAAATTACCCTACTTTTTTGATGACAAATACATGATCGTACAGGCCTTCAAAAATGTTTTTTTTTACATCTATGACAATAATAATGGAAACGGACTCGAATGTATCTCTTACGTATTATTGTCGCATTTTTCATTTTGCAATCATTGATATAGCTTATAAGTTCGGCAGTTTTAACATCTTGAACATTAAATAGAAGATAGATTGTTTTATGCGTGTTACATGTTTTATAATTTTGTTAATATTTTACATAGTTATGATATAATATTTTATATAGTTATAATAATACCTTTTTGTTTAAAGACACAGTTTATATTTAAAAAGTCTGAACACTCACTCGTTCATAGTATATTATTGACATTTTTATAACAATGTTACAACACACCATCGCAGGAACTATATTATTTGCCTTACACTATTTATAACATTAAACAAATGTTAGATACAAATTGAATATCCTGTATTCAATTTGTATCTAACATTTGTTTAATGTTTTATTGTTCTCTTGTAGTTATTTGCCTTTGCGTTTTATATAAAAGACCACTATTTAAACTTCTGGAGACTTGCCTAAATAATATAATAAAGTTTATTGAGTTAATATTGCAAAAAAACCTTATATTACAAGAAGATAGGGAGCAAAAAAGACCCATAAATTTAATCAGTACAATTTTGGAATGCGTTCAATATGATGTTACAATGACTTAGCAACAGTTGCGATAATTAAAAAAATCTAGCCACTTATGCGTTAACCTTCTTTAGAGAAATTACAGTTGAGATCAAATTTAAATTTTGGACCTTTAATATCTGTACAACCAGTTCAAGCTACAGGAGCTGGAGCTATTTCTTTCACTTGACAATCGATATCCCTTCCTTTCTTATGTCTCCCGTCTTTCGTATGTATCTCGTCTTTCGTATGTATCTCGTCTTTCGTATCTCTCCCGTCTTTCGTGTACCTACTCCTAATTTTACCATATCAGTCCCAAAGTTCCCGGTTTAAAAAAAAAATATTATTATTATTATTATTGCTTCCCTTTTTAAGGTAGCATAAGTGAAAATATGAGCAACTGTTGCTAAGCAAAAGGACCACCATACGAACTTTTTAAACTAAACACAACTAAACAAATGCTATAAATTACGTACAAATAAAAAACGATATGATAATAACCCTAGTACATAAGAAGGTTACGGTTAAGGTACGACGTACCCAGCTCTCTAGTATTTACGTACGTACGTACCTCATTTAAAAAAACGACATAAATGCAATAGAGGCGCCACCAATATGACATAAAAAAATGTAAGATATGCGGTTTTATTCACGTGGGTATTTGGGGTTGCCAGGACTAGTTCGGTCCTGACGAGGACCCCTTTTTAAGGAATTAAGCATCCTGCCGAGACATACCTAAAGGTCAATTCTCGTAATAAAATTCGTTCAAAGTTCTCGATCTCATAAGGAAAAGTATTACTAACACTAGCAGAATACCGATTCAACTTTCGGTGACAATATGATATAATCACATTTTACACAACGTTTGATGTTCAATACAATGTTCAATAACTTTAACGACATTTGTGAGATCGAAACTGAATTTCAAATCAATTTACATTACAAGAATTGACCTTCTGAGGCATGCTTGAAATAAACACTTGAGTAAAACCGCATCTTTAAGTAGTATCTTTAATAAATATGATTCTTTAACCCGAATCAAAACTTTCCTTACATTGATTCACAGAGAGGTTATTTTCGTCTGTAGACAGGACACGGTAGCTTTTAAGCGCCATCTATACTTATTTCATTTGTTCTATTAATTTATTCCCAGAGCGAACTCTGTACGGCAAAGCTTACTCAGTGTACAACAACAAGATTCGGTATATATTTACAAAAAAAAATAACTTTTTAATATATGAATATTATTAAGACAATTTTGCTAACTACAACGCTAAATATTTAATTTGAATTCAAATTCGTCAAACACAATTCGATTTAAAAGAAAAATGAGCAAATATAAAAACTCCTTCGAATCAATAAATAGTTTTAGAATGTGTAAACAGTGTAAAAATAAACATAATTAGGCGCCTGCCGAGCAGTCAGGTCATTTAACAGATATGTATAAATTGTCGACGCGTGTTAATAGTTTTTGCGTAGCTAAAATATGTAAATTCAAATTATTTTTCCAAAATATTTAAATATTTCGCCTTTCGAATAATATACATAATATGGCGTTCATAAATTTAATTAGGTCTTAATAATGTTTACGTAATAGTTGGAAATAACTATTAAGGTAAAATATTCTTACTACATAAAAAATAAGGTTCAAATTACCTTGAACCGACAATGTACACATTTAGGTCGCACAAAAACTACTCACATCGCCGTTCAAACAATTCTAGCTTTCATCGGGCTCTTCCTGTTTATAATAACTTAATATTAAACAATTAACTATACTATTAACAGCCCTCAACTACGTTACGATTACAAATATTTACTAAAAGAAGTAATAAATATAGAAGATGCCATTAAAGATTATATTTTACACTCAAAAGAAAATATTTTCCTAAATATTGCGTTTAATTCAATGACAGATTATGCTTATATTGCGTTATTTTTTATATTAATAATTTATTTTTTGAACGATTCTAAAAAAAAACAATCAGCCAGCGAATGCTAGTTGTAGAATGCATTCTACAATGAGTGTTGTAAGACTTGTTAGGGATAAGGTTATGTTATAGAAATACTTCTCTTCCTTAGAAAAGACGCGTATTGTGGATTGCACTGCATTCTAACAATATTATACACCCAAATGTCTAAGTGACGATCATTGCAATTTGATTAAGGTTACGGTATATATTTAGACTATAATAAACGCAATGTCGTCACAATCTCTAAATTCTTAATCATTTTTCCTTAGCCACATCAAGAATTAAAAAAAATATATAAAGCAATTTATTATGTGCTCTGAAAAAATCTTAAAAGCCACAATTTATATAAAGTTCACTAATTTCATTAATTTTCTACAAAATCATTTTTGTCTCTGATTCCTTTTACTTCATAGATTCCAAACGCTTTTGGTCCTTATTTGAACAACATTATTATTTAACAAAAACATATTATTTATCTACTGTGGCCTACAAATCTCCAGTTCTTTCTCTTACTCGGGTTAAGCGATATGGTACATCACTAGTATATATTTGCTTATTGATATACCTCTATAGTAATAACAGATAATCGAATATGATACATGTTCAATATAGACTAAAATATTAACTATCTACAAGCAAAATGATAAAAAAAATTGGCAACACTGCTATCTTCTATGGAGGACACTGTTTTATGTTGGCAACACTAAACTAAAGAGTATGGTATATTGTTTCAGGAGACTGGAAAGGAATACAAGGTTACTAATATTATTACATTTGTAATTAAGAGTCTTAAACGTAGTATGCGCTCCGTGGCAGATTAAGTTATTCATAGCACTTCATGATATTAAGTTTTTTTTTAGTAAAAGTACATTAAATTTGTATCAAGTCTTGGTAGAAAAATGAGCGAATGGTACAAGTTTGACATAGTGTATATGGTCCATACAAAAATGGATGTCAAATTTAAGTATAAGATGTTATCGGTACCAAGAGCGCAGTAGCGGGCGGGAGAGCTGCTAGGATCAGTGGCGAGGCGCGCCGGTGTAGCTGATCGGCTGCTCGTTGGTTACGAGGTTGGCGCGCGTCGCAGTCGTCGGCTGGCCTACACCCGCCTCTAGGTTCGCCGCCGACGTCCTCATATCGTCTATAGATGCTCTGAACAAAAAATGGAATTTATATTCATCTGTTTTTAGATGCCACCGTTAAAATCTAACATGCAAACATTATTACTTGTGTACGTGACTATTGTGTGGTTTGTGAACATGTGTTGTGTATGTGCAGGAACTGAGATAGGAATTATAACTAGCATCTAAGACGTGATAAGAATAATTAAGTATAAAAAATTGGTAGCAATATTGAACTGGTGTGCACTAACGTACGACATTATTTCTGAGACTATCAAACATAAAAACCTCTGCGCAGAAAACGTGCGTATAAAACCAAGCAGTCGTGAACAAAAAGGGGAATATTACCTTTTAGTTTCCAAAGAATTGTAACTCTTTATGCCTTTCTTCATCTTTAAACTATTTTCAATTATCTTAATGGCAAGAGATACATTTTCTAGGCATTTTCATTCTCTAGTCAAACTTATTCTTAAAAAGACAACGCCATGATACAGTTACGAACAGAGCCGCATAAACACTTGTCTGATGAGTGAATTATGTTCAATTGTTCAGTTCGTATTTAATGTGTGTCTGAGAAGCATAGTAACTATAAGACACATTGCAATATCGTAGTTTTCCAGCAGTATGAAGTTCTTTCAAGGCTTTCTTGATATTGGTGTGTATAAGCATAAACAATATGTTTGAGTGCAAAAAAAATAGAATAACTACTAAATAACTACATAATTGAAAAAAAGATTTTAAGCGCAAGTGACCAAATTAACATTTTATAAAAGTATCACCGACTTCAAATGCCTTCATCATAACAAATTGCATTAAACTATTGTTCATTCCATTGTGGAAGAACGGGCGTCATGCCCTACAACACAAAGGGAGGATCCTCCGATCAGGCGAAATGATCATACCTGGCGGGCCGCGGCCCAACGATTGATGTTGGGAAGTTGTATACGTATATGCCAATCGGCGAGAATAGTTTATATCACGACTCAAGATTAGCAGTTACTGCGTAGTTCAGTGTTTCTTTGATAGATGGCGCTGTAGTATGGTTCCTCGTTTCATTCCACCATTCCACATAGGAAGACGCCACAGCTTAATTCTCAAACTTATTTTTTTTTTCAACTTTGAATGGGACCAAATGGTAAGTATAGGGTACACGTCCCGTTTGGTCCCGTTCGAAGTAGAAATAAAAAAATATTTTCGAAAAATTTGAAGTCGGTTAAAAATACATTACGGGCTAGCGACAAGCCTTCGGACACTTCAACAGAGAACTAAAGATGGTCAAGTTAAGAGATGCTACCAGGAACTGAGAATATCACCAAGGTGCTTATTTTAAGTGCATAAGATATAAAAAATAAAATAAGGCTAATGCTAACTTTAAAAAAGGCAAAAGCACTATTTACCTAAATGTCTATTTCTATTCTATTTAAAAAAGACAACTCCCGCATTAGAAATATATCCTGTGTGCGGGGGACTTTACAAACATACATGAAACGGACACAAAGAACACCCAGACTCAGAACAACAATTTGTGGATCACACAAAGTGTCGTCCTATGTGGGGATCGGACCCACAACACTCAGCGTAGTAGTAGTAAGCGGCGTGGCGACCCCTTAAACCACTACGCCATCCGTGCAGTCAATGTGCATGTAACGTAAAACCAAAACTTGCTTTTAAACACATTAGGCTAGGCAATAAAAAACATTGTAATCGATTCAAAGAAAAAGCATTGACCACTAGCTGATTAGTCAATCTTATTACTGATTAGTCAATCTTATTTACGATTAATACGTATTTACGAATACGTTTGATTTAAAAGATTTAGTAGAAATATATATTTATAAATCGTACGTAAAGAAATTAATTAGCCCAATTTTAAGGACATTTTAGAGGAATTGGAAATTTGGCATATTAACATAAGGAACTTATTTATATGAGAAGACGTGCAAAAAATAACAAAGTAATTTAATCAATATATTTATCTTATAAATTGATGACCTGTATATGTAATAATAATATATAATAATAATATTCTACCACAATCACACAACGCCATCTAGCCCCAAACTAAGCAAAGCTTGTACTATCGGTACTAGACAACTGATATAAATACATACATACTTTTTTTTTGTAAATACATACATATTATACATAGAAACACCAAGACCAAATCAAACATCAAATGTTCATGCACACAAATGCTTGACTTGAGGCGGGAATCGAACCCGCGACCTTTGGAATAGCAGTCCGTTACACAAACCACTACGCCATATGGACCTATAGTTGTGCAGAAAGAATGTTGGTTCACGTTATGTAAGTTATTGGACGATCTCCAATATTAATTTCTTTTAAGTGCCACTGACACTAATATAGCAGGGTTTTGATAGACCTACCATACTACATAGATGGATCTAGGTCACAGTAAAAAATGATTTATTAATTATATTATGGGAAAAAGCGACAGAAGCAGAGTCAACCCGCCGATAGAGAAAGAGAATGAGTTTTATACTCGTATCTCTGTTTAAAAAGGCATGCAGCCAAGAGACAGTTAAGAAACATAATGAATTAAAATCTCTTTTTGCGTCAGAAAATGCAACCGTACTTTTTTAAATACTTTCTTAAAGAACATTTAAGAGAGACCAAAATGTGTGATGTTGCTGTCATGTTGTTTCTAAACAAGTGCGCTTTTGAATAGCCTACTTTATCCGTAACATATCTTTATAAAGTCCGGTCTAGGTAGTGGTGCTCGTGCTGACGCAACACTATTCACTTGATTTAGTTTGAGTATTCGTATTAAAATATTTAATGCGCAAGCGCTGTGGAAAAACTAAATCATGCAACTACTAAGGCAATAAGTAGCTTATGAAGACCATACCAAGGTGCATTTTACTGTTTGAGCGAGCGAATTTATAATATTTACTAACTGATATCTTAGAGATTGCCTATCTCATTATGCTTTTGTTACTTATTGCATCTTGCGGTTTGTATATATAATAAATCTCCGGATATTTGAATAATATACGTTTAACGAACGATCGCACTCATAAGTCTGTAGTGGGTTAAGGTACACTCCACAAAACTGACTTGGTGGAAGTAAGCAGAGTCATCTTAATCAAAGAATGGCCAACCCGTTTTTTGGATAGAGATCTTTGTCCCAAAATTGTTTATGGATCTAAAGATTTAGAAAACTTTACAAAAATTATGGAAATAGTTTGTTACCTATTTTAGTTCGTTTCATTTTCCATTTACGTGGACACACGACTTTATAAAGACCAGATATCAACAATGGACGCAGGCCATTTCAAACCGATTTTCTGAAGTAATTGAACAAGAGATATGAGACTTCTACGACAGTAAAAGTCCTATTGCTGAAATTATGAAGGTTTGGTCAATAAATAGGTAATAATTTCAGAATATCAGACATTAGCTTTGCAGGCTAGCATGTTATACAGTGCAGGGACTTATTTCCTATGCTATATATAGAAAATTTCCTTTTGAACGAAACCGACAGTTGATAAAATAAAGTGTAGATGTTCGCTCGCTCAACATAAAAGCATATCAACTCTTCGCGTGCCTTTAGTTTGGACGCCAGACGTCAGGGTCCTCCATGAGGGTGACGTGGTGGTCGTGTGAGCCCTGCAGGGGCGCGCCGGGGGGCGTGCTGCCTCCGGCCGCCATCGCCGCCATGTCGTCGCGAGACCCTCTGCCAGACCCCACAGTTCACACGAGCACACACGAGCACACACGAACACACACACACACAGGATTATTCACATGTTATATTAGTTAACACGTTCAAAGGTTATTTTAATTTACGATTGCGAGCTCTAAAGTATTTAACTGAATAATGAAAATTGACAATTAGTGGTAATGACTTTGCATGTTTATTAAAGCCATATAGTTTTACTCACGTGTTTATTCAGCTGTCATACTATCAAAACTACCTACCACTTCCGACCCGTTTCACCCATTGACAATGGGGTCTCCGGGTCCAGAACTAATCCGGAGCAATAGTGTGTATATTCGAATGTTAATTGATATTATTTGCTACCGTAAAAGATTATACGATATGTTGTAATTCTACAAACAGATCAAACTGTACTCGCATTCATAAATTTCATAAACAATATTAAAGCATTGATTATAAACCTTAACCCGTTTATCGTAAAGCTGAAAGTCGCTTATCATTCAATTTCTGAAACTGTTTTTTGCACCTTAAGTCAAGAGTTTTAAAGTTGATATTTAAATACATATATAGTATAAGAAGCACTTCAGGCAATATTAAAGTATTACACCAACACCCAATTCACACATGTTAAGTTTTTTAATTGAAAATATATAACACATTCAAAACGAAAGTGACCTAACTCAAAATTCCTGGTACTTTTAGAAAATTATATTGGAAAGTCTACTCTAAACCCTGAGGAGAAAAGTCCAAATTATGAATCGGGTTGTGTCATTGGTCACTTTCGTGGAACACACTATTTAAAGCTAATTGAGTTAGGCCATTTTTATTCTGACAGAGCGAATATGTTGCTATATAGATAGGTATATATTTCCTATAGAATGTCTATAAGGTCTAATACTAGCTACCTATAGATACGATTTTCGAGTATCACTCATTCGTGTATAGATTATACGTTGCGAATACTAGAGAAATGGTGTTTGAATAAACTTATCGTTTTGCAACTTTACACCTAATTGTGTGGAACCGAGAGTCGATATTCATTTGTGTATGGTGAGTCATCTTTCTGTACTCAAACAGTATTATGTTGTCTGAAATGCACACACACTGTTTTTTTAAGATGGAGCCGACCAGCTACATTATAAAACATTATTTTTCTACTAACTTTGTTGGATAGTAATACATTTTTTGTATCATAAAGTCTAAATCTCCTAGTCGATGACTGTCTTTCCATCCGGCGTTAGATTCCAAGTTTTTCGGTTCATAATTCTAATTTGATCTTAGAGTCTATTTTTATCTCCATAACGTTTGTTGTCCAAAATGTTTTTTTTTTTTCAAATATTCTATGTTCATTTAGTTGTTGGGCTAACAATTTTTCACAGGCGTCTTATTTTCCTTATTGAGCTAACAGGAAGTTCAAACACCTTTTTGTTATAACCAAAACTAATTCAGTTTTTAATTGTGTAATAGTAATAAATCTCTTTCCCTACGGTATTTCAAAACTTCCTATTACTTAAGCCTACTATTAATGCCTGTTTAAATAAAGAAAAGTGCTATTCTCTTTACCCGACCGCGGAGGAAGCGTTCTTTCGATATATTTTTTCTGTTTATTTCAGAGACAATCAAACCCACAAGGGGGTCGAACCCTTAACATCTAGTATTGGCATGGTGACCACTGAAACACTATGTCATGCATGCACAATATTCATTGTCTTTTTCACTTTTTTTATTTAAAAATTGGACCCCGCGCATTTAATTTTAATGAAAAAATCTAGAGAGTTAGATGAGTTCATATTGCTTTTCTATAAACGAATTAGTAACTTAAAATTCTAAAGTCTTCTATTACTTAGTCACAGTGAAAGAGATAAGTTTATCAGTGTGTGTGTGCCCCTATGTCTTTTTTATATACATACAGGCTCGAACACACTCACAAACACAATACGCATTGGCTATAATATAATTGTATGAAAACAACTCACTATTTCATTTAGACATATATAATGAGGCTCTCATACAACACTACAGCACCAAACCCAGAGGTTATTTCCCACTACAAATGCTAGAATAAACTGCACCAAACCCACGGTATAACCAAATAGTATACAAAAGTACTGACTTTTTGCCAAGCGCCATCATGCCGTAGATGATCCCGGTGGCGAAGATCAGCCCGCTACCGAACCACGTGCTCATACTCAGGAAACATAAGCAGAATGGTGGGATCGCCAACCTGTGGAGGAAATGTCCACCAATCACAAACCTTAACGGGCTCGCCGTCAAGAGCGAGTCGATGTGAAATCAATTTGCACTCGGGCCTTAGGTTCTGAATATAACTAACTTTCGCCCGCGGTATCGCTCAATTCCATAAAGAAAATTAGTCCATCTGATCTAAGAGGTACCGTTTGACAGATTGAAGTATAATAATAATAACTTTACACATCTCACACACGACCGTCTGATCCCAAACTAGGCAGAGCCTGTACTATGGTAACCAGACCGCTGATAAACATACTTATATATATTTAAATACATACATATTTTAGATAAATTACACCCAGACAGAACAAATGACCGTGCTCATCATCATCATCATCATATTTGTCCTGAGTGGGAATCGAACCCACGACCTCCGGCTTAGCAGTCAGGGCAGACGGGCCTGCTGGTCTAGTGGTTAGTGACCACTAGACCAGCAGGCCCGTCTAATAGCGATAGGGTCAAAGAAATCGATTACTAAAATATCTGATTCTGAAGTGATTTCGATATCATTTCTTATTATGTTACTTATCGATCACTTAGGCGATTTTAATTAAATACTTACGCAATATAAAGAACAGCCTTGTTCCAGTAAGGCCTCGTCTCCACCTTATCACTGAGGGTTTGGACGTAATCTACGAAGAAGCAGCAACACGGCGCTTCACACACTATTACTACAAAGCCGGCCAGCATCTGCCATATACCGGCGATCAGGCACGATATGTTTAGCAATACGATGCTGAGGCAGTTGATCAGTCCCAGGATTATCGCCACTGAAAATGAAAATATAATTCAAAACATTTTGCGGGTATTCAGGATTATTTATTGAGGGTAGAATTTAGGATTTTACGATAAGCAAGAATAGCTCGACAAGTATTTTCACACTAGTTTTTATTTTTAGAGGAGCAGACGGGTCGGTGATGATGGTGACCTGATGGAAAGTGACCATCGCCGCCCATGAACGTCTGCAACTCAGGGAGTCACAAACGCGTTGCCGGCCTTTTAGGAAGGAGTACGCCGTTTTTATGGTATAGGGGGCGATCAGTCAGGTGACCACATGATTTTAAAAGACTATCGTCCTGCAACTCAAAAATCACAGTGGCTTGCCAAACTTTGGATCCCTCTCCCCCCCCCCCCTCCAAACCTCGCCGACAGTCGGGGGAAAAGGGCTGAGTGGAGGGAAAGCAACGTAAGAATTGCTTAACACCGGTGAGGCCGTGGTGTCATTCCTGTCGGGCCGGCCCATTTATGCCGAAGCATGGCTCTCCCACTTGTCCAAATATAAAAAAAACTACTAAAGCTACTAGGGATGAAATAAAATCACAATCACCTGTGATATAACATAATTCATACGATTTATAATTCATATAATCACAACTGTGCTGATTTACAAAACCACTGTGACTTATTATTACGCTTGCGCAAGACTTGCGAAAGATCTAAATATAAAAAAAAAAACTCGTAATTTTTGATAAACAGAATTTTGATTGATTTTAATAGCATTTATCTTTGGTCAATGATGAAATCACAATCACATGTGAAATCGCTGTGACTCGAATACACTCCAGGAAATCGCCCGAAAATATAGACACTTTGGTTTATAAGCTGTTTAAAAAAACGCGGCGAATTAATAAATTATTTTTCAAAAAAATAAATTACTCGGCAATTTTCACCGTTGTTCATATTTGGTGACGTTACATGTAGTCATTTGTGACCAAAACTTCTAAGGAAGACGCAAACAGCGTCAGTATTACACCTAAATATAGCTTAGTTGATCATTGCGCATTTGTCGTGGCCTTCCTACACATTGAACAATAATTGGTCTTTACGTTCAATTTGTTATAAATAAAGAGAACTAGACTTGGCTATGGTTAACAATATTACTCGTACATATTTTGTTATAAACTATTTACTATCAGGTTAGAACTTAGAACAAAAAAGGTGGATGGGCCATACCCAGCCACCTTTTTAGTGATACTTAGACTTTAATAAAGTTAGAGAGGGGGGGATGGAGTGGGGGCAAACGAATATACGGGTATTCAGAAAAAAAAAGTCTCAACAGACAAATAGATAGACGGAGTAAGAATGGATCCTATACTAGTTTCGTATCTCTTTCTTTCCATTTAAGGAAATTATTCCTAAAACTAGTGAGTCATTTAGGTACAGTATGACACATCAACATCTTTAATCTGATATATCGACCTGAAGGCCGTGTAGTTCAAACGTCTGATGTTATAAGTCAATAAAAACTTACACGTAAACAATAAATCTATACTAATATTATAAAGCTGAAGAGTTTGTTTGTTTGTTTGTTTGTTTGAACGTGCTAATCTCAGGAACTACTGGTCCGATTTGAAAAATTCTTTCAGTGTTAGATAGCCCATTTATCGAGGAAGGCTATAGGCTATATATCATCACGCTAAGGCCAATAGGAGGGGAGCACCAATGAAGAAAAATTTATTACTATTGAGAGACGCAGACGTAGTTGCGCGGGTCAGCTAGTTACTAATAAAAACATACAGCTTTTCCCATTGACCGATAAACGTCTGTCAACGTACAATGTCAGTTAATGATAAGGAAATTGATTAATTATTTTGTACGCACTTTACATTAAATTTAATATACGTACCTATCCACTTAGATAATAAAGGAATAGGGTCGCCTCACTAAGTAAATTAACATGAAAATGGTCGAAAAGACCATTCCGTGTGGTGACGGATTCAGAATACAGAGTGTCACCACCCCTATTCATCCCGTGGGTGTCGTAAGAGGCGACTAAGGAAGCAAACTACGCAGGACAACAGCACTGCAGAGAAAAGGAAAACTTGAAACAAACCTTATACCAACCCGTCTGGCCAGCGTGGTATAGTAGGCCAAAACCTCCTTCCTAAGGAGAGGCCTATGTCCAGCAGTGGACTAGTAAAGGCTGTTGATGATGATGATGGTCGAAAAGAGACAGTATCGTCTTTACCACGCAAGGTACATGGCCCAGGGCTAACATCACGGAGCCCTTGAAGTAAGGCATTGTTATATTCATGTTATTAAATTTAAAAATATGCCTTTTGTTTATAAAATTAAACTCAAACTTTTATTTCATAAATTATTATTTTTCTGAAATCGTCTTTTTTGTAGACTCTAGTCATAGATATCACGACACACACAATATCAACAATCTCTGCTTTGACAAATATTTAGCAAAATAATGAAATTATACCTATCCAAAATCTATTATATGCCTGTGCCGATCTACAGCCGCCTGTTTCCAAGGGTTGAGCCTTATGAGAAGAAAGGGCAAACAAACTGACGGCTACTGTTTTTTAATTATTAGATAGATACAATGGCATCATTAAATATGATACAACATTGCTTCGATGTGTGCATGTGTATTTAATTACAGACGTATGTGTGAAAATGTAAAAAGGCAATGAAGAGAAAACAAGGTAAAGAAAAAATATGAAATGAAAGTGAAATAGAACATAAAAAAAGGGAAAAGATAAATAAAGAACACACTAGCCCACACTACATTTCCACTTAAGTACCATAAATAGAGCCTGTCCATACACGGTTTGAGCTTTGGTAATAAGGAATTTCTCATCACTCGCTGGGGCTCCTAATATTTGTTTGCCCAGGGGCCCTGACCAAACGTTGCTGCTTTAGTTAACTTTTTAGTTAACGTTGCTTCGGACATATTACAGGCCGGTGCTCAGCAATTCTTTCGTTACTTTTCACCAAGCGAATGAGGTCACCTTAAGCCAAACCTCCCCTTCCCCTATTTTGTCTAATTCTGGAGGGGGCTAGAGCCAGTGGGTTTGGGGGGGGGGGGCACTCAGGGGCGGTAACAATTGTGTCTTCTGGGTTGCAGGTGTTCATCATAAAACAAAACTCTAGAGACAATGAAGGTCAACATCAAATCATCAATTATTTAAACACACAAATTCTTTTACTTATCAGCGTGTTATCTAGTATCAACAAAACATACAATCCATTTAAATAAAACACTTAGTGTGATAACATGTCTTTTTCAGGAAATTATTTATTTTTAATTATTGGTCAATGTCTTTTGGCAAACAAAACTTAAAATTCCCTTGAAAAAAAAAAATTGAATTCCCTGTCGTGTAGACATAGTACAAAAATATTAATTGAATAATATTATAAATGTTAAAGTTTGGATGGATGTTGCCCACCCAGAATGACTGAACAGATCAAAATAAAAGGCATAGAGATAGATTATAGTCTGGAATAGAACATATGCTCCTTTTTATCCCAGATTTTTACAACAAAAGCAAAAGGTCACAAGCAAAGGCTGTTTAAAATTAAGTTTTTGAACTCTAGCTGAAAGGGAAGGATACTTAAACAACTACATTTTTCCAAATGCAAGGGCAAGTAAGAGCAGGTCTAAAGAGTTCTTGATTGGCCCTACATTATCTCTATGCATTTGACAGTAACTATGTGAGCGCGAATCGGAGGCAACGAAAATGCACAACTCTTCTGATTTTCTACTTGAGAAAATTTTCTGATTTGCTTTGCTTGTGATTTATCATCTAATAACAATTGTTGATATGCTCCACTAAGATCAAGTACACAAAAACAAGTTGCTCCAGCCAATTCAGAAAATATATCTTCTGGCAGTGGCAAGGGATAATGATCCGTGTCTAATTGTTTATTTAATGTGACTTTGTAATCTACACAAACTCTTATGTTTTTATTACTTTTTTCTACTATAACAATGGGGCTAGCCCAGTCACTGTGTGTAACTTTTTTAATTATACCTGACTTGACTAAATTCAACAATTCAGCTTCAACTTCTTGCTTTTTTGAATAGGGAATTGAATATGCTTTATGGAATGTGGGTGTTGCTCCATCTCTCAATTTCAACTTGGCCTTAAAATTTAAAATATGAGATGACCTATCCTTTGAGAATACTTCTTTATATTTGACCTTTAATTGACTTACAATGTTACTTGAATCAAAATTATCACAATTTACCTGTAAATCAGACACATTATTTATTTTAAACATATTTTGCCACTTTGGGAATAGCACAGTTAGCCAATTTCTGCCAATCAAAGGGCTAAAGTAACTATCAGTATTAATCACTATTAAAAATAAATCCTTTTTAATACTATTTGTCTTAACTCGTATTGCTCCCAATACTGATAATTTCTCACCCGACACAGACTTTAGTTTTACATTACATTTTCTTAATTGATATTCAGGAAAATATGTGTCATAGTCCTTTTTGTGTATAACAGACTTACAAGCTCCAGTATCAATTTGCATATTTAGTCTTCTTTTTCCTAGTCACAATGTCATTGATGCCATATCCTGCTCTGAAATCTTCATGATACTTCCTAGAACTACCTCCTCCTGCTCTTCATGATGGTCACTGACCTCTTTCTCTTGTTCCACATTTTTAACATTGTTTCCTTTCATTGATAATTTAAACCGACATTTATTTGCCAAATGCCCAGGCTTCTTGCAAACAAAACATATCCATTCTTTTTTAAAACACCTAGTAGTTAAATGAGCACCCCCACAACGTCTGCATTCTAGCTTCCCTTCCAACTTGAGATTTTGTTCTAAGTGGGGCACTTGAGCTTTGGATCCTTGCCGATATTGAGGCTTCTTTACTAAATGGATATTTCCATCTGGTTGTATGTACTTAGTGTCTCTTTCTGCACTCTCAAAAGCTAAAGCCATTTGGATACCTTTCTCAAATGATAAATCATCAGGCTCCGACAGTAATTTACTTATTAAAATGTCATTTCTTAATCCAGATACAAATCTGTCCCGAAGTGCTTCTTTTAAAAAAGTTTTAAATTGACAATTTGCAGCTAACCTTTTGATTTGAACAACAAAATCATTTATGGACTGATTTTCCTTCTGTTTATATTGGTAAAACTCGTATCGCGCTGCAATTGCTGATTTCTTTTCAATATAATGCCCCTTTAAAACCTCCACTGATTTAGTGTATGATAACGAGCTCGGTACCTCTGGAGACACTAAATTTTTTAATGTTTCGTAGCTTTCCGGCCCAATCAAAGTGATAAACAAGGCAATCTTCTTTTTTTCTTCTGTAATATCATTTATAAAGAAATATTGTTCCATTCTCTCGGTGTAAGCCGAAAAATCGGTACCCACGCGATAGTTTTCTATCGACCCAATCATGATTTCTTTTTACCTCGTCGCCAATATTTTGTCTTATAGTGAAACGCACCAATTTATTTTAATCTTTATTTCTTGGTTATAATAAAGGTTTATACTTTTAATTTTAACCACTGGAAAACACTAAATTAAGTTAATACTACTGAGCGGGGGAAACCTCTTGTCAAACCTCTTTGACACTGCCTGTCATTACTTTTTTACTGACACTCTATATACCACAGTATACATCACTATGTATAATAAAATTGGAGCAGTTGATGTCTGTACATTAGAGATATTAAAGAAAAATAGTAAAAGGGTCTTTTTTAAAGTAACAGAACTCAAAACAATACTTCTTAGAATTTTCATCTGTGCGTTAGTGCGCATTAATCTCAGCACCGGCTATCCGATTTGATGGGATGGATAGATGGGAATATTGAGAATATTACTATGGTATTATGTACGAGCAACAAAATTATTGATGTGTCCACATCACTGCACTGGAGTAAGTTTGTGGTCTAAAACTTCACATGTATATCATTAAGTGGTTGTTTAGTCCAGTGGTTTGTGTTTTCCAACCGTTTATCAAGTTACCACTTAAAACTGTTCACTGATTTTGCTGCTGCTAATTAAATTAAAAATTAAAACTTTATCCCAATACAAAATTTTAATCCATATTGTTAGAGATAAGTAAACAAGTTTCTTGAGAAATACAGGAATTGCTTTTTTAAATTATTAGTTTTATTAAATTTAAACTAAATTATCCAATATAATTTATCTTTTAAACTTTCGCGTTCCATGATAATTAATATTATTTAACGGGAATTAACGCAAAATCGTGAAGCGTTCCACATTTTTAGGCAAACCAGAGGTATGTAATACCCTAAATAAGAGATCGCGTTAATTCCCGTTAAATAATATTAATTATAATTTATCTTGTTTAGAACCAGATCAGCCAGTTTCATATGTTGTAATCCTCAATATTAAAATATTTTATTTTATTTGGGGAGCTTACAGCTATATTGACTACACAATAATGGTTCATGTTAAATAAATCAGTTTTTGAATAACTGCTTTGAATTGAGAAGAGACAGAAGAGATTGTCAGATTGAATGTGGCTTAAAATAGATTACTATTAAATATTAATAACCCTTGTTTATATTATGAATTTGACTGATGTCGATTAAATTGTTTCAACGCAAAAAATTAAAATAAGAATTGGTAACACTATACACTATACATGTGTTTTTTTTTTGTTTATTATAAATGAGTCTATATATAAATAAACAGTGAATGCAGTGATAACATTACATAAACTCAACTTTATATACTCTGCGATCATTGTTTTATAGACTGTATCAAAATATGCATGACAAGTTGTTAATTAAGCAACATTAATGCTCCAATTAAGGTGCTTTGTTATGCAAATAATATCTTTGTCTGAAAATTAAAACGCAATATGGAAGATCTTTATATGTTTACTATTTTAACTCATTGACTATGGGAAGGGTGGTTCAATCTTGGTTTGACTATGATTAGATAATGGTTATCTCTTTATTATCCTAATATAAAATATTAAAAGTGTTTTCTGTACAATAAAATGTTTAACATGTTCTATATATACTATTATAAAAAATACTAACGGAAACCGCCAAATGTTCCGACTCCTCGACCAGCGTAACGCATCCACCAAGGCACGTCATCTCTCTGGGCATTGTCGCCTCCCGGCCGCGCCATAAGCGATGTAAGTTTGTCTGATAGCGACTAAAACAATCATTAACATGTTTATAAGCTCTTCCTGATGATTTGAACGGAAATCATTGAACATTTACGAAATATCTTACCATTTTCGAAAAAATCAATTCACTGCCTTGTCACCTGTCAAGTCAACTAATAGGTGGTTTGTTCTTGTTGATCAAATCTATATTGCATGTTTTTAAAATATACTGTGGTAAAATTACCTCAATCAATAACTATAGAATAATGTAAAAATAAACAAAGTAAAAAAATTGATAAAAAATAAAGTGTTTTTTTTACAAACAGTGCATAAAATTAGTACACTTTTAATATTTCTAAATGCAATTTAAAAACAAGCTCAAAAGATGCGTTTAGTTGTTAATAAATTAAATATTTACCATTATTTTAAGTAGAAACAATAAGCTAGAATAAACTGTTCAAACACAAAGTGTGAGATAAGATTCATGTATAAATAAATGAAATAATCTCGAATTTTAGAAATAAAAGGTTTAAATAATTTCTGGTCTTTTGTTGAAATTGGAATAGGAATTCAAGTAACAATAAAACGTTTTCTCATGTCGGTCGGCTTCAGGGCTCAGCGGTCTGCTGTTGTAATATTTGCATGAGTTTTTGCAGTTACAATTATCTTGTGATTTCGCGCTGTACTTTCTGAAATTCATGTGGAAAGTAGAAGATTAAATAGTTATGGCACCAATAACAATGCTTCCAAAGCTATCGGATGCCACCCAAACTATGTGAGTGACATTGATCTGAACTGAATTTCTCGTTTGATTCAACGTTTATGCAATTATTTCAGTTTTGCAAAGATGTCTATTTAAATTTATTTATTTTACTTAGTATAAAAGGTATATTTTCTTATTAGAAAAATATGAATGGTCCTGTAACCTGTTGCCCTTACTTTAATTTGCTCTTACCTTAAATTTATTATTTATCTGGTTTTTGTTTTGGAAATTTTAACGCTTATGAACATAATATTGGTAATTACTTTGCTAATATGATTTCCATTATATCTAAATACCAATAAGAAAATGTCAAATAGAAAGTATTACAATTTCTTGTCAAATTCATAATCTCATAAACTGATGGTGTCAATACACCACCAGTTTATGAGATTATGAATCAGTGTCAATTATCTAGCAAGTTTTAGGTAACAGTTACAAATTAATATAAAACAAAACTATCACATATTGTGTAAATATTCAGCATTTCTTTGGTACCTTAAAACAATTTACTAAGATAAATTTGTCATAACAAACATGGCTTCATTAAAATGTAATTGTATCTAAGTCAATGAAGTGTAATATTTTGTGTTATAATTATTTTATCTACAAACTAATCAAAATAATAATAAAATTGAGAAAAAAATAATACAGTTATGATGAAGAAATAATTTCCAAATAGAATCAAAATAATTTAGTTTATTCTAGAAAGATAGTAAATATAGATCATTTCTGATAATTTAGTATCAAAACTTGAAAATTGGCAAGCTTTTGTATGTTGTAACTGCACAAAATGGTTCTTGTTACAAAAGTAATAATAAAAATGAAAGTATTTTGTGTATGTGTTCTGTGTGTGGTACAGATATAATTATAATTGACCAAATACACACATATTATAGATAAATTACACCCAGACGCAGAACCAATGATAAAACTCATCACATAATTATTTGTTGGATCTGAATTAAACCCGCAAGCTCGCCAGACATTTTCAACAACCATTAAACTAACTTGCCTATCAATAAATAATTAACAAAGTATTTAAGTGGAAAACTGATCGTTCTTGCCGTAATTGAGTAGCTCAAATATTATTGTACAAAGAGGGCTTAATAAAATATTTGAGCTGATTCTTGCAAAGAATCATAATGCTTAGCTAATGATTGTTATTGGTTCAAACGGAAGTACTACTACTGATTACATACATAAATAAGAATGATTGTATGGTCATTCTATCGCAAGTGCAATATCGGTCAATGTTATGTGAGAACATTACCTTTCCCATGTATGTACCTTATTATATATTATGGAACTGGAAACAGTAAAAATTTTCAACATTTATGTTGTACAACAAGACTTTATTGTACAACATAAATTTTGTTTACTTCCGAGTCATAAATAAATGCTTACTTTTTTTTTCTTAAACAACTATTGCCTTCTAGATCTTTCTCTGAAGGAGATGGAGTGTGCAGCGCAGAAGTGTACTCCACCAATGTGGTGGTGACGACTAATGCTGGTAACCATGATCATGGCAGCTCGAAGGTGAAGCTCAAGAATTTAGTGGATTATAACTGGGAACCTAAATTTTATTCTGGACAACTGCTGGCTATTCATACCAGCGGCAAATATTTGGCATATTCTATTAAAGGTTATTTTTTTATATATATTTATGTTACACTCATATATTTGTAGTATACATCAGAGGCTTAATGTGAAAACAAACTGTATGGACTCAACCAATCTTTAGATATAGCAAAGGGCTCCGGAATCATCACAACTAAGTTTTGTAACTATTTTTCTTTATTCTAAACTGGTAATAATAATGAACTTTACTTCTTTCTTTTCTTTAATAAGGAACTTAAAACTACATGCCATGCAAACGATGGACAAGTTTATTTGCTTCATACAGTTTTTCTTTATAATTAGTTTGTGTACATATTATTTGAAGTGATGACTACCCACTTTTAAGATAACTAATAACTATTAAAATTGACATGTTTGTCCTATTTTAACGTTCATGACGCAATTTAATATAATAATTGCTAATAAATTACAAGCTATACTTTTAGTAGGCCCTAAATTCTTTATTTGTACAAATTAGTGTATATTGTATAATAGTACACAATTGAGGGTATATAGACAAAAATGAATAATTTTCAGACAGTATGTGTGTTATTAACTTCACATACCAATATAATACTTTTTAATTATAGTTTATATTTTTGTTACCTCATAATTCCTTTACTTATGATACAATTTGGCAAAGTCTTTTTATATGCAAGAGTATAATTTCCTTAGTTAGGAAGGGTATGAGGTTCAGATTTGAAGAAAAGAAAACACCTCTGAGGGTGAAAAATTAGGAATGAAGGATCCAATTTATTACAGTTCAAAATGATGTAGGCTTTCTTGTATCAGTTATACTTATTTTAACTCATTGTTCTATTTCTCATGACCACCACTGCTGTTTTCTGTCACAGCTCCTAATGCAGTGAATCCTGGCACATGGAGTGGAATGGTCCGTGTGGTTTACAATCCCGAACCTGGTTCAGACAGGCGTGCTCTTATCAAGGGTATGAAAGGAGAGGTAGGAGACCTTTTAAATATAATAATCAACATAAAAAGTTTTTTTTTTGACAAAATTCCACACTTTTCTGCTTCGGCACAGAAAACGAATGTCAAGCAATTCTTTGGTTGCATTTCACCAAATGAGTGTGTTTACCAAAACCTCAAACTCCCACCCTAATTCTGAGGGAGAGGTACCCAAAATCTAACAAAGTATTAGTGACTCTTGAGTGTCAGATGTCCCTGGACATAGTCACTTACCATCAGGTGAACCGACTACTTGTTTAACCCCTTAAGCTACCCTAGAACCTACAGCGGCTTCTACCGAGGCATTTTTAAATAGAAATAGACTAATTGGGTGAACCTGTGACCACAACCAGTACAATTTGATCGAAACAGGCAATTCAAAGGTATCCAATATATCTTCTTTTTTTTAAATGTGGCATACTGATGTATTTCATATTTGGAATACATAATGGTCTAAGGGCCCGTCCACACAGTGATATTTTTTTCACAAAATTATGTAACACATGGCATCTATATTATTATGGCAGCGGGGCCAGACGAGCAGACGGGTCACCTGATGGAAAGTGACCACCGCCGCCCATGAACGCCTTCAACTCAGGAGTGACAAAGGCGTTACCGGCCTTTTAGGAAGGAGTACGCTCTTTTCTTGAAGGTTTGAAGGTCGTATCGGTCCCGAAAAAAAAACACTCAAGAAAAGTCTGTGAATTGATGTAAATTGACAGCGAAACGGTGTGGATTTATTTCCGTGCGAAAAAAAAAATCGCGGTGCGGACGGTACCTGAATATAGTGCAGAAAGCTAAAAAATTTAAACAGTATATGGACTCAAGTTAAGTTATACAAAAGTTCAAGTTAGCATCATCAGCATCAACAGCCTTTAATAGTCCACTGCTGGACATAGGGCTCTTGTTAGAAAGGAGAGCTTGGTCTAATATACTACGCTAGCCAGACGGGTTAGTGTCAAGTTTTCCTTCTCTTTGCAGTGCTGTTGTCCTGAATAGTTCGCTCCCTTAGGCTCTTATGACACCCACGGGATAAATAGGGATAGTGACACTGTATTCTTAATCCGTCACTACATGGACAGTTATACTTCTAAATGAAATGAAACAAGACATTGAATACAACAACAACAAAATACATATTTGTATACCAGGAAACGCACTAAAAGAATAAAAAATAAATAACACGAATTAATAATTTAAAAACGACGAGATCGTTTAGCGGCTGAATTTCGAATGTTTTGAAATAACCAACCAGTATAACTTGAATTTTCATTATATAAAATGTATACTGGATCCTTATAGGTTATTGAAGCCGTTTTTCCATAAATGTTAACATGACACAATGCTACCTATGCATAGAACAAAGATATATATAATTATATTGATCGACTATTAAAAACTTTTGAAAATTCTTTTTAGTTTCTTATTGTTGTGTTTTGGTGACATAACCGTAATGTAAGTTTATTCTACATGTTGGTCGATATTGTTTTAAAAATATTAGCTTATGACACTTCTTCATTCATTCATTCCAAATGTGATATTAAGGCGTGGTGCGCCATTTTTTTTTTTGAAAATGGCTGTTAAGATTTTTTTCACGTAGTCATATTAAATATAATAAATCTGAGGGCTCGCTACTGTACTGTTAAATCATCCTCAAGTCACATTATTTCAACTGTGTTTAATAATAACTACGTAACGGTATTGCTTAATATATTTATAATTATTATACCTACATTATTAAAATGAATTTGACAGTAAACTCTAAAATATCTTTATCATAAAAAAAAAGATTGAAATCGTCTTTTATGGAGACTCAGTCATAGATACAATAGCAACAATCTCTGTTTTGTTAAAAAATTAGCAAAATAAATGTAAGTAATAAAAATTATACGTATCGAAAACGTATTATATGCCTGTGTCGATATACAACCACCCATTTCCAAGGGGTTGAGCCTATGAGAAGAAAGGGCAAACAAAGTCACGGCCACTCTTTTTTTATTAACAGTTACATACAATGGCATCATTAAATATACCACAACATTGTTTTGATGCGTGCCAGTATGTCCTTCATTAACGTCTAAAAATTGGTCGTCTGTAAAGTCGGTATACGGGCGAAAGTTTTACGTGACAACGACTATGTCTGTCTCTCTCGCTCTTAGGCGGGCTAACCATGCCCGATTGGAAGGGACGCGTGCCTCTCACTCGCTCTCATTGTGAGCGCATAACGTGAGCGGAGCGTAACGCAGTTTCTTGAAGTGTCACCCGGCAAACCAATTTATAAGACGTTGTCACGTCAAAAAGCTGACAAGGCAATGAAGAGAAAACAAAGGAAAAATGTAGGAATAGAAATGAAAGTAAAGTAAAAAAAATGGAATAAAAAAAAACACTAGCCTACACTACATTTGCACTTAAGAAATAGCCTGTGCTAAATTAATCCCGAACATTCTTGTCTTCTAGTATTGTTCGACTGATTGAAGGAGACTCATTTTTGTTCACACAGACAAACAGCGACAGTAGGTTTGTGCGGTATTGTAGGTACTGTTATGGTTTTTTAATGGATGCTTAATCATAAAATAAATAAATAAAAACACATTACGATTATAGATGTATTAGTATCATTTAATTGTTTTTAGGTACAAGACTTGGCATTCGCTCACATCCAAAACCAGGTTATTCTCGCCTGTATTGACGAACAAGGCAATTTTTACGTCCATGAGATTGAAGTCACAGACAATGGCTTGAGGTACAGTTATCAAAGTTAATTAAAACCAAATATTTTTTTCCTGGCAACACTTAAAACAATTATTGGTGGCTTCAATCAACTTATTGAGTCCATATCTTTTTATGAAACCATTTTTTTTGTTTTTGGTGTTGCCATTATGACCATAAACAATAATCTTTCTTTTTACTTAATACAAATACTAGCTTTTATACGCCAATTCGGTTGTGGTTATATAAATCTATAAATTTTATGTATTCTTCAGGAACAATGACGACCGGATGGCGTAGTGGTTTGTGTAACGGACTGCTATTCCAAAGGTCGCGGGTTCGATTCCCGCTCAAGTCAAACATTTGTGTGCATGAACATTCGATGTTTGATTTGGTCTGGGTGTTTCTATGTATAATATGTATGTATTTACAAAAAAAAAAGTATATATGTATTTATATCAGTTGTCTAGTACCCATAGTACAAGCTCTGCTTAGTTTGGGACTAGATGGCGTTGTGTGTATGTGGTAGAATATTATTATTATTATTATTATTATTAATACATTCTGAATGGTACTGGTGGAACATCGAGTAATATTAGGGTATGAAAACATAAAAACAAGCAAACAGTCATATTCCCGTAATAATAATTTAATTTCACACTACTTCCAAGAAACTTTTTATTTTTTTAATTATTGTGTTGGGCTAATATAAGGGCACACGGTTTTGATCGTAGATGCACGTTACTAGCCGAGGTTCGCGAAGATACAGGTGTAGTGGGCACATCTCATCGCGTAGTGTGGTGTCCTTACATACCCGATGATGAGGACGAATCTGCTGAAGATGACGTCGCCCGTCTGCTGCTCACCACCCACGACAACATCGGTAAGGGACACCTAGTTGTAGACTCACTCTTGCCAAGGGATACTGAACTGCAATTTATGTACCATGAAATTAGTTAGTAAAATTACCCGTCTGTGTGTGTTTTTACACATACGGCGCATGTATGTATATATGCTTTGGTATGTGTATAATGCTTAGGAATAATTTTCACTCGCTGATAAAATCTACTCGTCTTTCGTCCCAAAAATTCGTATTTTTTTTTATTCACATTGAAGTACACATATTCTAAACTAATTAATTTTAAAAATGGAAATTGTAAAGTAAGTTTTTCAGTATTTCAGCTATTAAGTAATTTTTCCGCTTTTTTTTCTAATTTTGTTTAAATCAACTGAAAATGAAATACCATGTAAATATAAAAATGACTGCAAGTAGATATATTAGGAGTGTGGTATGTTTAAAAGAGAGAATAGTGATGTGTATGTGCGTGTGGCGCAGCTCGGCTGTGGAACACGCGCGCGCTGTCGGGCGTGTCGGGCATGAGCGCGGCGGGTGCGGGGGGCGCGGGGGCGGGCGGCGCGGCGGGCGCGCTCAACGCGGGCGAGCACGGCGCCGCCATCCTCGACGCCGCCTTCTCACCCGACGGCAGCGCCCTGGCCACCGCCTCGGCCGATGGATATGTTATGTTCTTTCAGGTTCGTTTGCTACCTAAACATACTAAAAATAAATTCTGTGTAAATTTAAAAAAAAAAAACGAAAAAGCCTGTCAGTAATCGCGTTATGATGTGTAAAGTCTGACATCTCACCTACCGACGTCCAAATTTTTCGCACTCTTTTGTAAAATTAATTAGCCCGCGTTGCCCAGGTTTCCTGTTACACACTTCCGTCCCTTTTCACGAAATCACTCCCATAGATTACAGGAAACATATCAAAAAATCTATTTTTATTTATCAAACTATGTAAAATATTTGCATACTACACAACATCACGACATTTTAAAGGTCTCATAACAACAGCCTTTATTAGTCCACTGCTAGACATAGGCCTCTCGTTAGAATGGAGGTTTTGGCTTACTATACCACGCTAGCCAGACGGGTTTTTATAAGGTTTGTTTCAAGTTTTTCTTCTCTTTGCAGTGCTGTTGTCCTGGCTTTTACGACACCCACGAGAAGAATAGGGGTGGTGACATTCCGTATTCTTAATCCGTCACTACACGGAAAAGGTCTCCTCAGGAAATTATTTAAAACTCCATCGTCAATTTCTGTGATCGGTAATTTCTTAAACATCCTCGTAACCGTTTCTACCAAACGGAATTTAAAACATACGACCCGGTCTAAATTCGGTTCTGATCAATTCTCGATCTCACAAATGTCATGAAAGGTATTTTCGTAGTAAATTATTAATCCATAAATCATCCAACGTTGACTGTAATGTGGTTATATCGTATTGTAACCGAAAATTGAATCTATTATCTGCTAGTCATAGTAATACGAGGGTGGGTCAATAAGTCCGTGACTTTTTGAATGTCTGACCTCTTTACTGAAAAACCAACACTACTCCTGTCAACAGGCATCTGTCAGTTGACTCCTGTCAAAATTTGAACTTGCTGCGTCAGTTAGTTTGTGTTTGACAGCTATCTTTATCAGACTACCCAGTAATTTGAGGAAAAAATGGAAAAAAGTGAATTTCGTGTGCTTATTAAGCATTATTTTTTGCGAAAAAAAACCATTACCGAGACCAAGGCTAAGCTTGATAAATACTATGGGGACTCTGCACCATCGATTTCAATGGTAAAACAGTGGTTTACTGAATTTCGTTGTGGCCGTACAAGCACTGAAGATGCCGAACGTCCTGGACGCCCAGTTGAGGTCTCTTCACCCGAAACAATCGAAAAAATTCACGATATGGTGTTGGCCGACCGAAGATTGAAAGTGCAAGAGATTGTGGAAGCCGTAGGGATCTCGCATGGCTCAGTGGTTTCAATTTTGAATGATCACTTGGGCATGAGAAAACTTTCCGCAAGATGGGTGCCGCGATTGCTCACAGTCGACCACAAACGCAATCGTGTAGCAACTTCACAGGAAGGTTTGGCGTTGTTTAATCGCAATATGGAGGAGTTTTTGCGCCGTTTTGTAACCGTGGACGAAACATGGATCCACCACATCACACCAGAGACCAAACAACAGTGAAAAGAGTGGGTTTCTAAGGGTGAATCGGCGCCAAAGAAGGCCAAGGTGGGTTTGTCAGCCAATAAAGTTATGGCGACTGTCTTTTGGGATGCACGCGGGATAATCCACATTGACTACCTTCAAAAGGGAAGAATAATCAATAGGGAATATTATGCCAACTTATTGGACCGATTCAATGACGATTTGAAGAAAAACCGACCTCATTTGGCCAAGAAAAAAGTTCTTTTCCACCAAGACAATGCAAGGGTGCACACTTGTGCAGTTGCCATGGCAAAAATCTATGAACTGGGCTATGAATTGCTCAATCATCCGCCCTATTCTCCAGATTTGGCTCCGAGTGACTACTTCTTGTTCCCAAACCTGAAGAAATGGCTTCGTGGAAAATGATTTGACTCCAATGATGAAGTCATCTCGCAAACAAAGGCCTATTTTGAGGACCTCGACAAATCATATTTTTTGGAATTGATAAAAAAATTGGAGAAGCGTTGGACAAAGTGTATAGAGCTCAAGGGAGAATACGTTGAAAAATAAAATAATTTATTTATCAAAAAATCTGTGTTTTATTCCAAAAGTCACGGACTTATTGACCCGCCCTCGTACTTAACTATTTACAAAAATACCTTTATGACAGTAGCGGGATGGAGAGTTGATTGAAACTGAAATTTTACTGAAATTTTATTACGAAAGTTGCCTTTCTGATCATCCAAATTTTGTCTACATTTACCTATGCTCTCTCGAAAAGCACTCTTGAACCAACTGGTATGAAAACTTTTGACTGTACCTAAAACACCACTATTATTAACATTTATTTCATATATATATATATATATATATATATATATATCATCATCAGCCTATCGCAGTCCACTGCTGGACATAGGCCTCTCCCATTGCACGCCACTTAGATCGATTTTGGGCTTCTCGCATCCAGCTCCTGCCAGCCATCTTGCGCAAATCGTCACTCCACCTGGCCTGTGGGCGTCCTACACTACGTTTGCCGAGACGCGGTCTCCACTCAAGAACTCGTTTTCCCCAACGGTTATCGGTTCTGCGGCTAATATGGCCGGCCCGCTGCCACTTCAACTTGCTGATCCGGTACGCTATGTCGGTGACCTTAGTTCTCTGCCGGATCACCTCATTTCTGATGCGATCCCTTAGAGAAACGCCGAGCATAGCCCTTTCCATAGCACGTTGAGCGACTTTGAACTTGTGGACCAGCCGTACCGTAAGTGTCCACGTTTCAGCTCCGTATGTCATGACGGGTAGGACGCACTCATTAAAGACTTTCGTCTTAAGGCACTGTGGGATCGACGATGAGAAGACTCGACGTAGCTTCCCAAACGCTGCCCAACCCAACCGAATTCTTCTGTTCACCTCGTCCTCGAAGTTGTTTCTACCTAACTGCAATGTCTGCCCGAGGTACACATAATTTTGAACAACTTCGAGAACGGCACCGTGTACCGCAATCGGTTCCGGTAGTACATGTTCGTTGAACATGACCTTGGTTTTATCCAAGTTCATCCGTAGGCCGATGCGTACAGAAGTGTCAGCTAAGTCATTCAGCATTTGCTGTAGGTCCTGCAACGTCTCTGCCATGATGACGATGTCATCTGCAAATCGCAAGTGAGAGATGTATTCGCCATTGATATTGATGCCACGCCCTTTCCAGTGCAGCGTCTTGAACATGTCCTCCATTGCATTTGTGAACAATTTCGGGGAAATAACGTCCCCTTGTCTCACTCCTCGATGCAATTTATACGGGCCTTGTTTGCTGATTCTGTACTTGGACGGACATGGTGGCGGCTTCGTAGAGACATCTCATCACTTTGATGTATCGCCAATCTACTTGGCAACGCTGCAGGGACTCCAGAACAGACCAGATCTCGATCGAGTCAAAGGCTTTCTCATAGTCCACGAATGCTAGACACAGGGGCTGATTATATTCTTCGGTCTTCTGTATAATCTGCCGCACTGTGTGGATGTGGTCTATGGTGCCATATCCGCTCCGAAACCCAGCTTGCTCCGGTGGTTGGAATTCGTCGAGTCTTCGCGCAAGACGGTTCGTGATGACTCTCGAAAACAGCTTGTAGACGTGGCTTAGAAGGGATATGGGTCGATAGTTCTTCAACCTGGTCTTGTCACCCTTTTTGAAGAACAAGACGACCACACTCCTACTCCACGCTTCTGGAGTTCTCCCTTCAAACAGGACAGCGTTGAAGAGCTTTTGGAGCTCCCTTAGTACGGGTTTACCCCCGGCCTTCAGCAGCTCTGTTGTAACGCCATCCTCTCCAGGGGCTTTTCCATTTTTCAGCTGTCCAAGAGCCATCTCGATTTCGTCAATGCTAACTTCTGGCAGGTCTTCGGTGTAGTGACGTGTTAATGTGGCTCTAGAGTCCTCATTTTCGGGATCAGGTCGAGATGCATGCGAAGCGTATAACCGGCCATAGAAGCTTTCCACTTCCAAAAGGACTGCCGGCTTCGAAGCAACGACTTCTCCACTTTCTGTAGTCAACTTTGTCAGGTGGCTTCTTCCAAGAGATTGTACGAACACTTTTGATAGTTAAGTACGAGGGCGGGTCAATAAGTCCGTGACTTTTGGAATAAAACACAGATTTTTTGATAAATAAATTATTTTATTTTTCAACGTATTCTCCCTTGAGCTCTATACACTTTGTCCAACGCTTCTCCAATTTTTTATATATATATAAATATATATATAATTGCTGCAGGTATATATGCACGCAGACAGCAGTCCCAGGTGCCTACATAAATGGCAACCCCATGGAGGGAAACCTCTCAGCTGCCTGTTCTTTTTAGACAATCACAAGAATTATAATACAGAGTAAGTTTATTTAAGACAGTTTTAGTTCTATAATTACTTAATCTTTACTAAAAAGTATGTAAAAGGTACTAATTAAAATTTCACTGTGGATTCAATCGATCAATTTATTTGTTACTGAACATAGTCATTAAACATCTGCACTGCACGGATGGCGTAGTGATTTAAGCAGTCGCCACGCCGCTTCCCACTACGCTGAGTGTTGTGGGTTCGATCCTCACATGGGATGACAGTTTAGGTGATCCACAAATTGTCGTTCTGAGTCGGGTGTTCCGGGACACAGGATGTATTCGTAGTGCGGGAGCTATATTAAAAAAAAACGAAGGTGTCATTAAGTGTTCAGTCATCTGTGGACTGCTAATACTTAAATATATAATTTGCTCTACTGTTCATATTTTAGAACAAAATGTTACTGTCCTTACATTTAAGTTTATTATCAATGTAATAAGTAAGTTGAGAAAAAGAGAAATGAAAAAGGGTATCGTTAGAGTAACTTTCCCGTGCTTCTCCATTAGATGTATGCATCGGAACATGCAAAGAACTTCACGGCTGATTTTAGAGCGGGTTTCCCACTACGTCCGATCCGAATCCGTTAAAATACGGTCCAAAGTAGTCCTTAGAACTCTTTTTATGTTGCTTACGCACGAGATTCGACTTCCGTCATCCGATTTCTTTCCGTTATCCGTGAATCTCTATTCCGGAGAATATTATTGACGGACCAATTATAGACACTATTATTTGTACGAGAATGCACACACCCTATAATTGTTTACCTCTTCTGTGTCGTTCGTACAATAGCATTGCCAGAAGTTGACGCCGATCAAAAGAACTCATGATCAACGACGTAAACGCTCCGCTTACAATGACGTATGCCAAAAGGTGACCCCCGAATGCTTAGATTAGAATCAGAGCTCGCGTAATAGTGCGTAAACAATATCCGAATTCAGTCAGACAGTCAGCCAAATTCGTAATCACGGACCAGAAATCGGAGATTTCTCTTTGTGAAACCAATTTCCGAATTCAGCCCGAGATTTCTAGACCCGTATTTTCACGGGTTCGGATTGGACGTAGTGCGAAATCGCTCTTTTCCTATGATGACCTGCTCATGACAATTCAAAACTACCAGTAAGTGGTTTAATTGCAATAAATGGATTTAAATTTATAGTTCCTTCTTTCAATGGGTATTTTAATGCAATTTGACAATAGTTGTTTTGCGTTTGTCTGCAAAGTTAAACAATGATATTGATTTATAAGCTAGTGCGGGTAGTTTCAAGAAACGTTTCTTTCAGCGTCCAATTCTGGAAATTCGCCGTCACCGGCGCCGAAAACAACACGACAATTAAGATCTGGTCATGCAAATCCTGGACTTGCCTGCAAACAATCACGTTTACTCCTGGATTCGCAGCAGAGGCAACACTAGGCCTCAAAGCTATGTTGGACACCAGCGCCAGTTACCTGTTACTCTCAGATTTCAAATCTAGGAGTCTGTATGTTCTAAACATGGCCAGGGATTCAGAAGACAATATGGCGTATTGTAAAAGTATTTCGGAGTTTCTTCTCCCTTATCCAGTGTTGAGTTTTTGCATCCTTGATGCTGGTAAGTTCTTTTTTTATATTTATGCTTTACTTTTTCATAAATATTTAAACATTAGCAGCAAGTGTATTCCTCTGTTTGAAACATTTTTTTCCTAAAATAAATTTGTCACAAGTAACTCTGTAAAACATGGTCTACCTGCAAATGATACGTTGGTGAAAATCGGTCTAACCGTTACGTAGATTTCTAACAAGCCAGACAAAATTTTAAATATCGGCATACATTTATTAGAAAACTGTCGTTTCGATGTAGATAATGAAGACATTTCAATTTCATCCATTGAGTAATTTCACTTGTTGACCCTAATATCCAACCTGTTTGTTAGAAGAGGGATTCAAAGCTTTTACCAGACTGTCTATTGCTCCGTAGAAACTGACGAGCATATACGGATTTATTCTTAGTTCATTCACGAGAAATGGCTAATGTGGGCTGTATCTAGTGACGGGAGGTCTACGACTGTCCGTTTTTTTTTGTGGAAACCCTCTCGGGCCGTCATCCCACCGGGGTTTACGGCGGGGTGGTGTGTCGGACTCGGACCGACTAAAACCACACGGTGTGCCACTCTGCGCCTGTAATAGGAGGGATCCGAGAACTGCTGTTATTAGGACATCCGGACCCCTCCTAGCGCCTGCCCGCAACGGCGCAAGCACCACCTTCGGGTAAATTCTCTATTTAGGCGTCTACGCCTGTCCTAGCGCAAACATTTATTACCTCGAATGATTAAAACATAGCTAAAGTATTTGTTTCTCTTTTCTTATTTGGTTGATGAATCATTTATCTTGATTGTCGTACAGAAGAACAGCAAACCAAGTGCGAACCAAACTGCGATGACCCATTCCACCGCAACGGGTCCAGCGGTGACGCGGGTGACTCGCCCGACGACTTTGAGTTACATCATGACGTAAGTTAGATTTTTTATGGTATAGGTGGCAAACGAGCAGGGCCTCAATTCTGCTATTTTATGGTACAAGCCACCGTTATTCCATTGACATTGGTCAAACTATTAGTATTCTGATAACATAAATTCACAGTGTCAATAGACTGTCGATGTAGTGACAATGGCTTATCAATGGTGATGTCAACAACGTTGCCATATCTGGCAAATTAATATATAAATTCCTAACAAATTGAAACTGTACCGTTTACCAAACTATTACAAAAAACATCGACGACATTTGTATCAGTGGCAGTTTAGTGAGAAGTCATCGGGAGTAGTATGCGACTGCTGTGTTGAGGTCTCGGGTTCGATTCCCGGGTCGGACTAAATGTTTGTATGAGCTGCAAATATTTGTTTCAGAGTTTGGGTGTTTTCTAATATGTACGTATTTACGAAAAAAAGTATATAAGTATTCTATCAGTCAATCTAGCTTTCATAGTACAAGCTCTGCTTAGTTTGAAACTCGAGGGCGTTGTGTGTTAGATCTCCGGCAATATTATTATTGTTTCCGAAACCGAGTTTAAATTTCCACGGTAGTTTAAAAATATTTTTAAATACAACTATCGGTAAAAAAGAATTCGAACCCTAAGTCACGGTAGTCACAGAGCAATGTTGAGTGTATTCCCAAGCAGTGGGTATGTTGATCAGGAGTCCGGTTCGGGCGGGTCGTGCGGCTCGGGCTGCGGACGCGTAGTGGTGCGCCTGTACATCGTACAGCCCAAGGGCCTGCAGGAGGGCCGCCTGGTCTACTCGCCCCCCGCCAACCCGCTGCACGCTGAGCTCATGCACGGTACTTAAACTTTTTAAATCCTATATATAACTAGCTGACCCGGCAAACGTTGTTTTGCCATATAAATTATTTCTAGGAAATAATTTCATCATTTAGGGGTATGAAAAATATATGTTGGCCGATTCTCAGATCTACCCGATGTGCACACAAAATTTCATAAAAATCGGTACAGCCGTTTCGAAGGAGTATGGTAACTAACATTGTGACACGAGAATTTTATGTATAAGATTAATATGTCAATTTCAGTGTCTTTGTTACACTTTGACAGGAACTACTGGACCGATTATAACGAAATGTTACATATTCATCAGGAATATAGAAATGGAAATACCTTACCTCCAGATAAATGTATTATTCCTATGGGAAAAACAGATGGAAGCCAAAGCCAACACACCATGACCATAATATATGTACTTATACATTTACAACAGGTTAAAAAAAAACTAAATTATATAAAAATAATACTACCTAACATTATACGTGCACTTGCTGGCCATAAATGTGTCTACATTTAAGAGATCCAAATATGTCTCCGTTTACAAAAGTTTATCAATTGTCTTTGATCATTTTCTAATAGGTATAAAATCCTTTTTCTGTAACTTTATTTTTCTATAAATTAGTAAAAAAATATATTGTATATTAAGTGCATAAGTGATACTGTATATAATAAACATTTGTTATTATCTATGCCGTTTAAAATTTATGTTCATGATTTGAATTAGTATTAAAGACTTGAAATTAAATTGTATATGTGCATATAATTGTATAAATGAATATGTATATGTGCCGTATAAATGCGTACACTTTATAATCACTACTTAGTACATGAGGTCATGCCCTGTTTGTTGATTGATCACAGAAGTAAAGCCAAGGTATCACCCACATGTTTCGCTTGCCCGTGGCCAATTCCCTCAACCATTCCGCCCGTTTTTCAAGAGGCGGCTAGGTTTTTTAACTTCACATTAAATAATATAGATATACCTGAGGCTCTGGCAGTAAGGACTCCTCGAGTCCAACATATCACCTGACCCAATGATACCCCAGTTCAGAAAAAAAAACCACCCAACTCATGGCCTACCAAAACGCTATTAGCATTGGTTAATCTTTACATAATTATATTATGTGTTCAGTATGTGGCCTTACCGGTCACATGTCTGCCTCTGACCTATTCTAGCTACGTTAGTCTCGGTCCTGTTGCTCCAATCGAGACTTGCAGTATGTCTTACTGTACCTCTCTCACCCGTCCCCATCTGTTCTTCTACAAATTCACCTTCTTCCCTTGTCATGCTTAAAAAGAATTATATTCTCAAAAAGAGTTGGCTACAAGCAGGCAAAACCGGCCACAGAAGGATTGCGACGATGACGATGACATAAAATGATGATCTTTATTAGTTTGAGTAGACTGGATGCTACTATATACAGAATATCAGTTATAAGAAAATGGATTTTATACTGTTCTGGGTGAACATGTTCAAATTAACTAGCTGCTGCCCAAATAAAAACAGTTTTTTATATGTAATTTACAAATAATTAGAGTAATTAGTTGTTTTATTTATATAAAGAGCAGTATTTGATTTTTTTTATAATGTAGTAAATACTTCATTATGGTATATGTATTTAGAAAAAAAAAACTAATGTTTTTTTACTACAGTGACATATTGTGCATATGGTGAATGTAACGTAAATGTGTACACGTTGTAGGCGGAAGCCATTATTGATTAGATATTTAATGACTTATGACACGTGGGTAATATTTGGTCTATGAAAGTCTAGATATTTTTGGAATATTAGTGTACCAACATAATGTTTGGAAGCTTAAGGTAATATATTTTTGGTTTTGACTTTAAACCCAAGGTTAGTATAACTTTGATGTTTTAGTAATTAGCAATAATGGGTGCCTGGGTGGTTTATAGTTGCAAATAGGACCCGCCAGGTTTCGCTAAAGTTTTAGTCGATTTTTTTTCTTTGTATTTGAGTGGGGTCGTGTAGCCGGCGTTTCTTTAAGATTTTAGTTCATTTGTTTTATTATCGAAATCAATAATAACGCTAAACAACCCTGTGTTCAGTGAGGCCTATTTCTCCTCCAATATACGTATACTTGTGGTTAAATTTATTGCGTGCTCCATGAGAGAAAGGGGGGATCCAGGTGACATATCATGGAGGTCATAAGATCTGGCTGGGCCTAGTTCGTAAATTAACCTCCCTCCCCCCCCAGGGGGTCTAGCCCCTTGAGTTAAAAGCTGGATCTAGCATGGCAGTATAAATATTCCAAGGATTCGCCATGTATAATGAGTGGTCAGGTTTTGGTGTAGAAGAGTCACAGCTGAGAATATGGGTGGGATGAGATCCAAAATGAATGCCCCCCTTTTTGGAGTTTACTCGTTAAGAATAGATTTACATATAAAGCGCCCGGTATGAAACAAAAATAAGAAGAGTAAAACTAGTGATCGAATGACCTCGTTACGTTTTTTGTGCCCAACCTATCGTGCGCACCTTTCGTGTGTGTATATAACTTGTATACTTGTGTGCAACCGAATCGTTCGTAACGAGTAAACTCCAGTCGTGCCTCGGAGCTGACACACACACTATTTTTTCAACAGGTATTTTTATAACTGACACTTGCTTTGAACGCCAGTACGCTTATGTCACTATGTTCTTTCAGGACTATCAGATCTCAATTTGGAAGAGAGTGCTTTAGAATCAGCGCCGACTGCCATCGCATCGAGTATCTTGCAGCAACAGAGTCAACAACTGAAAAACTTGCTCATGCGGTCTCAGGTACCTATTACTATTTTGTCTTGTATCGTTTGCAAAAAAAAAATTACAACAATAATTGTCTGGATTGTTTTCATATAGGAGTAATTATTGATTTTAATATGGCAACATTGCAATATAGTATAGACAACATAAGCGTTTAAGGTTAAGCATAAGGTTTTTCTATGGCCGTGTATCTTGATTCGTGCCATTGTTGTGTTGCCATCTTGTCTTCGCGCCTTGTGGTTACACAGAGTTACTTTGTGCTAAAATATTAAAAACTTTGTACAAAACTTTGCTCAATTTACATGTAAATGAATAATTTACATTTTCGTGTACAGAGAGCTTGAATTAAATAGTTATATATTCATTAAAAATGGAATTTCACTCGATGCAGATGCGGTACATTGAGGTAAACAAGATGGTGATCTAAGCTGTATTGATTGACATATTTTGACCAGGTCACACTGGCTTAATTCAATACAGCATCAAATTAAAAACGATTTAGTATATACTTAAGGGTGTGTCTGTTTTCTTATTTACAATTTTAGCGAGACGTAATGGACGAGTATAATGATCCGCAGACGCAGCCGGGCAGTCTCATCGGACAGCGGCCGGAGTCGCCCACACTCACGCCCCAGCTCAACCTCATGACGCCTGACGCCTTTAGGTAACTACTTTACTAATATATTTTCTTTGTACCTATTAACGAACCGTGATCTACCTATAACAAATACATAACCTTTTTAAAATCACCAACGATCATGAGTGACTACCCAGATAACCTGAGAGATTTCGTGATTCGGCCATTGTTTTGTTAATTAAATAAGATTAAAAAAAAACAAACAAAATACATCCGTTATCAATTATTTTTTCATATTGAATAGTAAAAGATTTATTAATAAAATAATACAAGTAAAAAAAACAATCATGTTTTGGACCAAAATTCAATTTTTGAGTTAAATGAACCCTGAGAGGTTTTAGTGGTACGGCCATTGTTTTGTTAATTAAATAATATTAAAAAAAAAACTATACATCTGTCGATAGTTATTTTTTCTTATTTCATATTACAAAAGATTTATTTAATGTGGGGATTAAATAATTCAAGCAACAAAAATAATCATGTTTTTGACCCAAATTCAATTTTTAGACTTAAATAAACCTTGAGAGGTTGTTGTGGCTCGGTCATTGTTTTGTAAATTAATTAATATTTATAAAAGAATATACGACTTTCAATAATTATTTGTTCGTATTTAATAATAAAAGATTTATTAAATTTGGGATTTAAATAATACAAGCAACAAAAACAGTCATGTGTTTGACCTAAATTTAATTTTTAAAGTTAAATACTTGATGTAAACACTGTAACGAATGTCATGTTTAGGAATTTAAAATTAACTAAGTTCTACAAAATATCCTGAGTCCAACGGATATCACTTTATACTGACTTTTTAAAAGGTTTTTGACAAAATGAACCCCTACGGTAAGCATCCCAAAGCAACCGGTAGCTACAAGATAACCTGTTCCATATTGGAGACACACGAACACTGTGTAACTGCTAAGTAAGTGGGTTCGGACTAGTTTGGGAATAAACGGCTGCGTATGAGATGTGTGAAATTATGTTATGCTGATTGTAATGACTTGTTGATGTCAAATAAATGTTTTGCAGCAGTTACAATGTTATGCAATTTATATGTTACATAAAGATGGTGGCTTTGTAGTTCTCCAGGGAAAAGAGAAGAGGACGACCCACCTCTGTCAGCCACTCCTGAAGTTGGAACTAAGGCACGGGCATCTACTGGAGGTAAATAAGAATATCAGACTTGGTATTTTTAATTAGTTTTATTTATCAAATTTAATAAATTCTGATTTAAAAAAATAAACTGTGATAAACATCACAATAATTAACTTTAAAGTATTAAATTGCTGCGACTAAATCATGATAAATTATAGAAAGCTCCACTTTTTTGCTGTGTTCTTCACTTAAACAGTAATTTTTCATATTTTTAATTCAAGTGGAACCAGGCTCATACGAAACCTTTTCAGAAAAAAAAAAGAATTATTGAAATTGGTTACATGGTCAAAAATGGTTAAATTAAGAACCCCCTCCACATAAATAAAAAAATATATAATTATTGACCGACAATCAGAGACAGGAGGATTGTATTTTTACCTCAAAAATGTCGTTTATGACACACGTATTCTGTTAATATTTTAGAGTGCTATAAATACCCTAATTGAAGTAATAACAGTAATAAAATACCCTTATATACAAACCCATCTAGTATTTTTAAAACAAGATAAAACCTACAAGAATTAATGTCGTGTGCAGGTGGCTGTGTAGAGGAGTCTGGTGGGTCCGGCGGTGGTATGCCAGCTTCAACTGGCTCTAGCCCGAGTCGAGAGGTGCAGGAGATCATGGCACACAATGATCATTCATTCTACAAAGATATGGTAAGTCACCACATCATAATCAATGATAGCCTTTCAAATTGGCTTTCAAGATTAACTTAACCTTTCCTCGTATGTATATTCTTGAAACATGTAAATTTGTCAGACAACACACAGAAATACGAGAAGGGAAGATTTAAATACAAACTAGCTAACCCGGCAAACGTTGTATTGCAAAACAAAAAAAAATTAGGGATGGGTCACCCTTACCATTATTAAAAATAGATGTTGGCCGATTCTCAGACCTACCCGATGTGCACACAAAATTTCATGAGAATCGGTCAAGCCGTTTCGGAGGAGTACGGGAACGAACATTGTGACACGAGAATTTTATATATATACAAATTATACATTAAGACACAAGAACAGACTAAATTTACCAACTTCCAGATTACAAATGCATGCATCAAGTCCAATAAAAATATACAATAAATTATTTATCAAACAAACGATATTTTAATACAAAAATGCTTCTATAATATAAATTAATGACTAAACGACAAATTTGAATAATTAACATAATGTAAAATAAAGAAAATATGTTGAATAATTTATATTAATAAAATATAAAATACTATAAAAATAAATCAAATTATAATAATAATGCGTGTGGTGACGGATTAAGGATACAGTGTGTCACCACCCCTATTTATCCCGTGGGTGTCGTAAGAGCCGACTAAGGGAGCAAACTACGCAGGACAACAGCACTGCAAAGAGAAGGTAAACTTGAAACAAACCCTATACCAACCCGTCTGGCCAGCGTGGTATAGTAGGCCAAAACCTCCTTTGCAAGGAGAGGCCTATGTCCAGCAGTGGACTAACAAAGGCTGTTGATGATGATGATGATGATGATGATGATGATGAAAAGAAATACCTACTTAGTTCTATTTACTAAACTACATTTCAATATGATGATAGAATGTTTACTTTTCTCTCCTTATTTTGCCGTGCCCGACAGGGTCCATAATTGTTTATTTCTACATTTATAAGACCTGTGTATACTTGAATGTGTGTAATTGAATTGAAGTGTGCGTTTATTTCACATCAACTCGGTCTTAACGGTGACCGCGTTCGGCGTTGCGATTGGCCATTCAGTGGCCAATCGCAACGCTCTTCATCAATCGCAGGCAATTAAGTCACGCTAGGCCTTCTTTGATCTATTTATTTATCTATACATCTATACAAATAAATAAAATTGAAGTGTCTGTTTGTAATAATAAAATAACCGCTTTTTACTAAATGCATATGTATGTTTACACGGTACATATGCCAAAATAACATTTTTTTTAATTTTTGTCTGTCTGTCTGTCTGTTTGTTCCGGGTAATCTCTGGAACGGCGTGACCGATTTCGACGGGACTTTGACTGGTAGATAGCTGAGGACATAAGGAGTACTTTGGCTACTTTTTTTAGATTAGCTTCGCCCCGCGGAGTTGCCCGCGGTTATAACAACAAACGCGGGTAACACCGCGGGTCTCAGCTAGTTGAGTAATATAATATTACATTCGTGCAGGAAGAAGAAGCTCCCCTCTCCCCGGAGCCAGAGCCCGTGACCTCCGTGTCGAACGGGGTCGAAGACCTGTTCGGAGCTGAGGAAATGTACTCAGCGTCCGAAGCGCCGCCTCCACCGCCCGCCTTGCCGTCGCCTCCAGCACCACCTACAACACACATACTAACACACACCAGTGAGTCTCACCAAATAAGTCTATAAGTTTGTTTCTTACGATTTCACTCTGTAATTACTGAACCGATCATCATTACAGACTGACTTAACAAAAAGATATAGATTTGTGAAAGATATAGTTTTAACTATAAAAAGGAATACCTGATTAATCGAGGGTCGTTTGGTTGCAGACAGCGACACATCGTGGCCGCAGATCTCCATGGCGCAGATCACCGAGGCGAACCAGCGCAAGGCGTCGAGCGACAAGTCGAGCAGCCAGTCGCTCAACAACTCGCTCAACGTGTCGTGCGTAGAGCGCGCCTGCAGCGAGGAGGTGCGCTGCAGCGGCCTCTCGCCCGCAGACAAGACCCGCCTCGAGGCGCTCGAGCACAAGCTGGACAAGCTCACAGGTACTGTACAAACCCAATACTATTTAGGGTTGTGCCGTAACTATATCTATATCCGCAGATATCAGAGGGAGACGAAGTTTTTAGTATCCACTCCTTTTGGGCTTTTGGGAATCCTTAACATTACTATATTTGACTTGCCGTTCTACTGCGTTTTTCGTCACTGTTCCTCCACCAAAGCTTGTAGCGTAATGTATAATTAAAATTAAATTTAACTTCAACAATAGATAGAACTTTACGCGTTTAAATACACTAACAAAAATAACATTAAGTATTATATAATATTACTATAAAAAACGTTAATGATGTTATAAATAAAAGTTTAGAAATACCTATAAGTTTTATTAATAATATGACCATGAGTTACAAATTCATTACCATATGCTTAATAAAAAAAAAGCACACCCTGTGCAAGTCAAGATACCGATCTGATCTGATCTGTTTATCCTCAAAGTCAACTATCATGAAGGAATTTATAAAGTTATTAAAATTTAAATGCATGTCTCCTCCAAGTAATCCATCTTCGTATCTTAGAATAAGTATTTTCTTTAACTATTCTCACGTCAGTAGTACTATTGAGGCATGGTAAGTAAGACGTAATGTTGTGGTTGTAGACCTGCTGCAGGCTCAGAGCCGTGAGCTGCGAGCTCTGCGCGGGTCGGTGTCGAACCCGCGGGAGCTGGTGGACGAGGCGCTCCACGCGCACGCCGCCAGGACCGCCGCCGCCGTAGAGAGTGCTCTGGCTGACGGGTATGTATTGTATATCAGTTAAGCACATGACTGACAGATCAACTTAAAAAAAATTACGATATTTTAGTTAATAATTATTTTAGAGCTGATGATGTTACGGTAGAGCCTACTTATAGAGTAGCTCCACCGAGAAGAGCTCACCTTCATCCTTTCGTTGCCATCCACCAATGCCACCAATCCATCTTTAATTACCACATTTCAGCAAATTAAAGATTTGCAACGAATTGAATTGCTTTTCATCGAGTGAGTTTAAATCCAACTTCCTTCATAATTATTACTCAAAGGGCTTCGGTATTTACTTAACATTGAGTAATTTGTCTGTTTGTTTGTCCTTTACATATATGTCATGAACTACTTAATGTATTAAGACGTAACCTCTGTGCACCTACCTTACAAGATTTCTACATCACCCAAAGGTTGACTGGAAAAAAAAGCCCTGGGTATTAAGTCCGCAAATGTACAAAAGTGCATAAAGTTAAATAAATAAATGAAAATATACCAAACAATTTTTTTAAGCTATTGCATAGCTTCTATCGCGGGCCTTGAGCGTGGAGACCGAATCCAGAAATTCCGTAACGAAAATAACCTAACACTCCGACCGGCACAGCGGTGATACTTTTTAGTTTTGCCATCTATCGATGAATAACAGAACTTTTATTAATGTAATAACATCCACATACAAAATCCACATGCAATAGCTTTACCGCGGCAGTCCCCGAGTGCCACACGTCTTTTATTGGCTAATAGATAACACATTAACGATCAAGTCATCTTTTAAATATGCACACAGATGCACAGGTAAAACAAATTAGTTATTCATTTTAATGAATAAAAATGTCCTTAAAATGTCACACTGTTTATTAGTAACAATAATCAATAGTAAAATTTGTGTCATAGCCTGTCAAAACATACAGGCCTATCGAAACCATAAAAACCTTTGGTAAAATATTCGTAATGATATACATTTGTCATAACGCCTCTCAGCACATATAGTCCTTCCTTCTCTTTGCTTTCTTCTTTTTCCAAGATCCCTACCCCTTCACCAACTATTCTACCTTCTTTTTTTCGGACCCTTCAGTACTACAATCCACCATCAGAGCAGAGAATATAAACCGTCAGAATTTACCAATATGAGTCGCACCGCTTAGCCCCAATTAAAATGAATTTAAGGAGTAATTTAGTGTTTCGGATTGGGTGACCCGAAAGAAAGTTCCGACCCCGTGGTGGTTCCTCCAGGTGGGAGCGCATCGCCACGCTGGGCGAGGCGGCGTCGTCCCGCGCGGCGCAGGCGGCCGGGCTGGGCGCGGCGCGGGCCCTCGAGCCGCTGGCGCAGGCGCTGCAGCACGAGCTGGCCGCCAAGCTCACCGCCACCGACCTGCTGCTCAGAGACAACATCGAGAAACTCGCCAACAGCAAGGTACGCTCTTTACAGTGTCTAACAGCGCGCGCCGTCTCGGTTACTTTTCTTTTATACTATACTACTATACTACTATACTAGTCCTAAAATCACGATATATCTTTCTCGTTCACGTTATATAAATTATTGTGAAAAATAATTTATGATTTATATGTTATGTGATTTCCGCCCGCGTGTATTTAAATGCTAAATTTCATTAAAAACGTTTCAGCGATTTAACTATAAAAGCGTAACAGACGGACAGAGTTACTTTTCCATTCACAATATTATTAGCTGAGATTTTTTGTTCAACTCTCAAATATTCATCAACAGCCTTTTCTAGTCCACTGGCGGACATAAACCTCTCCATAAGAAGAAGGTTTTGGCCTACTATACAACGCTGACCAGACGGGTTAGTATAGGGTTTGTTTCAAGTTTTCCTGCTCTTTGCAGTGCTGTTATTCTGCATAATTTGCTCCCTTAATCGGCTCTTACTACATCCACGTTATGACTAGGGACGGTGACACTAAGTATTCTTAATCCGTCACCACACGGAATAAATATTAGAACGTCTTCAAACTCTCGCCATCCTAAAAATTATTTAAATGTCAACAGTAAAACGATTCCATTAAATTTAAACATTGTGTCTATGACCGAATTGTATTAATATTTAATTAAAAATATTGTTTAGACGATGATGGAAAGCTTGAGCACATCAATAGCCAAGTCCCTCTCAGACATGGTGCGAGAATCATTCCGTGACGCATTGTTCGAGAGTGTGGTGCCTGTCATGGAGAAGGCGCACGCGCAGATCTTCAGACAGATCAACCAGGCCTTCCAGAACGGCACGAAGGAATGTAAGTATACTTCCGTATCAAAATTCAAAAGAATGTCTGCACTGTACAGAAAGATTGCAATAGCGTTTCCAAGAAATGAAATCTAGCTGGACCAAAGTTAAATTCGACCCATTCTCTACTTTAGATTTAAAAAATTTAGGACTTTTGGTGGTCCTTCTTCGTTCATTCCGATTAACGTTTCTTCACGCTGCTGCATCCTCAAATCGAATGTAGGAAAATTCGTAATCAACAAGTCTTCTACGCCCAGTAATTGCCGACAATAGATGACGTCATGAAGAGACCAGTGTTGTCAAGTAGTGGTTTTTTGACAGTTTGAAATACACGAAAAACTTTTAATTTATACAGTGTGTGTAAATGTCGTGATAGTGTTAAATAAGATAATGCTTAATGATACTTCAAGTTGTAAGTGAAACTTTTATTAATTGGACACAGGAAACAGAAGTAATTAGTTTACAATCATATGATCTTTTAATCTCTGGAAAGGGACACAGCCATTTGCGCTCGGAGCTCTAAGGCATAGAGCGTAAGCATAGAGCGAACGAGAGCCCCAATCTTGCAATATAGGCAACGAGAGAGATGGATAATAGATAGTCCCTTCTATTTTTTTCCTAGTCGAGCTGGGAAATTTGTAATCTCCTGCCTGTTCTACGATTAAAACCACGCCCACTTCACGATAGCCAATCGCGGCTTAGCTAAACAGAGACAGGGGTACTATCGGGCGTCCAGCTCTTACAGGCAGCTGTACCCCGTGTTCTCTGTATACTTAAAGTAGACGATTGCAGTGTATGAGATATGTGTGTGTACAGTTGCCGCGAACACGGAGGCTGCAGCGCGAGCCGCAGCAGAGCGAGGCGGCGCCGCAGCCACGGCCTCGCTACGAGCCGCGCTCGACCGCCACGCCGAAGCGCTCAACTCCTCGCAGCCGCAGCACATCCACCTCGCCAACGTGCTGCGGGAGACGGCGCACTCGTACGTACTCACTCTCCTACCGACGTGTCGACGCTTTCACATTTTTTAAATTAATTTCGTTAATTTAAAATTTTAAAAAAAGCGGTATCACTCCATGAGTGCCGACGGAAGTGAAAACTTGAAACTTTAATCTTTTTTAGATTATAATGTTTTTTTTGTTTTTTTTTTTCTCGATTCGAAAAGTTCTGACATGTAAATATATATCTATGTTGTACGTGTATACACATTATATGTTTATATGTGTAGGCCAAAACCTCCTTTCCAAGGAGAAGCCTATGTCCAGCAGTGGACTATTATAGACTTGATGATGACGATGATTATATATAGTTATGGTATCAATGTATTTCAACCCAAACTCAACTCTCGTGTAAACGAGACCAATATATTATGTAGTAACAGTGCTTGTTCAATTTTTTCCCAAAAAAATCTATCTTTTGTTTGTTATTCAAACGCCCCCTCACTTCAAAAATCACATATTAAAACTCTAACCTTGGTCGTGGAATAAACTTAATAAGCTAGTAGGTCCGGCTACTTTAAGTATAGTGTCTGTCGCAGGGTGTTGGAGAAAGAGTTATCCTGGTGGCGGGAGCAGGCCAGAGCCGCGGCGGTGGGAGCCTCGCGAGCACACTCGCCCTCGACACCGCACTCACACCACGCTATCGACCGACAGGTAAGAGTTTAACGCACCTTTCTTCGACTCACCCACCCTAACCCCACCTCGCCCTGACTGGTCAGAAATCGCCCCCAGCTCGTCGTACTTCCATGTGAACCATCCAATTCCACCACATCTTTCCCATCTGCCTTCGACGTCGTTCCTCCTTACCCTAACATCCGACATCTACCAATTGATAGCCGACTCTAGCTCCTGTCGCGTTCATGAGTCAAATCGTACATAATTTGAAGGGGGGGAATAATTTGGGGGGGGGGGGTTACATACTTTCGTCCCTTTTCAAGAAATCACTGCCATAGATAGGAAGTGAGAATAAAGAGGTTACACAAGTACAAAGCATTAAGTGCTAAGAATTCTTGTGTTGCTTTTCACCGAGCGAATGAAGTCACCGGCGCCCAAAACCTTTTTTTTTTTCTGTGCGGAAATCCCCTCGAATACCACCCACCGGTGGCTATGTCGGACTCGAATCTCGGGTACTAGGAGCTGGGGAACCAGGTGTACCCTAGGAAGGAAATTCCTGGTACCCCGACGAACCTCGGGCCATCTACGGCTGGTAGAAGCCCCCTCGTGTGTGGGAACCCCCATGTTCCCTTTGTGCTCCCGAAAGGGCGCGCACGCTCCTCAGCGCGTCTTGCCGCATTCCTGTCACCCCCAGGCCCGCGCTTATGGAGGACGGAGGTCGTTCTGCGACCTCCGGCATCGGAGTCGTCTGCGGTACTTGGCTCGATCCCCAGCCTCTGATTCTTAGGGGAAGGGGGGTTAAAAGGCCATGCACTTGTGACTCTTCGCTTACCATCAATGGACCCGTAACAAACCACATAGAAAAATAAAGTAGAAGTGTACAATTTTAACAATTTAATTGAATGAATCTTCTTACAGAGGCCACATCGCAATGTTACAAGGAATTGTGTTCAAGAATCCTTACCCTTTCTTTTACAAGTATTCCTGTTCTCTTACTACAGTAGTCACGTGAATTAGTTAATTTGACATTTTATTTAAAGTACCGTATTATATATATATATAGCGTCGGAAAAAGTCTTGTTACACGTTGTTGTTGTCCGTGTGGTGACGGATTAAGAATACAAATTGTCACCACCCCAATTCATCCCGTGGGTGTCGTAAGAGCCGACTAAGGGAGCAAACTAAGCAGGACAACAGCACTGCAAAGAGAAGGAAAACTTAAAACAAACCCTATACCAACCCGTCTTTCCAGCGTGGTATAGTAGGCCAAAACCTCCTTTCTAAGGAGAGGCCTATGTCTCAGCAGTGCAGAGCAGTGGACTAGTATAGGCTGTTGATGATGATGATGACACGTTGTTCGGTCTCGCCCCCATCTTATATAATAATTTATTACACGCTCTGAGCGAATGGACCACAATGACAGAGTACCATTGTGGAGTAAGAAGTTTAAACGGCGTAATTAATAATATAGTATATAGTTTTTACAAAAAAAAAAGTGTATTTTATGGTATAGATACTTATACAAGCTGGTAGAACTATTTTACAGAATCCATAGTAATCATATTGATTTTTTTTAGAGCCGAGTTTTTGCCAACTTGTCATTTTAATAATTGAAAAGAAAATACAGTGACTTGGATATTTTAATTTATGATACGTAAAGTAATTAAGAAGAAAAGAAAAGAGAAAAAATAATATTTAGCGTAGTAATTTCATAGTTTAAGGTTTCATGGTCGTAGCGCTTCGTGTAATTAGTTATTTGAGGATACGATTCTAAAGCGCGTGCGCTGTGGACAGATGCAGGTGGCGCAGATCCAGGCGCTGATAGCGGGCGGGGACGTGAACGGCGCGTTCCAGCAGGCGCTGTCGGCGTCCGACCTGGCGCTCGTGATGTGCGCGTGCCGCGCGGCCGAGCCCGGCGTCGTGTTCGGGCCGCCCTGCAAGCTCAAGCAGCACGTGCTGCTGTCGCTCGTGCAGCAGCTGGCCGCCGACATGCACCGCGACACGCACCTCAAGCACCGCTACCTCGAGGAGGCCGTGATGAACCTGGACACGGCCAACCCCGTGACGCGCGAGCACCTGCCCGGCGTGGTGCGCGAGCTGCAGAAGCAGCTGGTGGGCTTCCTGAACGCCGCGCCCGCGCACGCCTTGGCCCGCCAGCTGCGCATGCTGCTCATGGCCACCGAGGCGCTGCTCAAGGCGCAGGCGTGACCCGCGCGCTGCCGCCTCTGCCGCGAGCCCCTCCCCTAGCCCTGCCGCCCCCCTACCGCCCCACGCTCACGCTCGGAACTAGTACCGAAGACATCTCCCTCGGCGAATATGCATATTATCATAATCGGTAACCTTTGGTACAATTTTATTTGAAAAGATAACTTCAATTTTTTTTCGCTTTATTTTGTTTTTACCTTATTGTCGATTTAATTTTCTTTTGTGTTCCGTTACGATTATTATTTTTCCAAATTTAAGAAACAAATTATTCAGTAGCGTCAAAAATTTGAATCTTATTATTTTTTGTTGCAATTTTTTGTTTTACTAAACCTATTCCCATACAGAAACCTGCAATTATATATATGACAAATATTATAATTAGAAATATCATAATATGTTGTAGCTTTTTAATCGACCACGCGCGTGCGCGTACGCACGAAAAAACACACCCACACAGGTGTACGTGCACACGCGCAAGCGCACACACGAACGCGTTAAATGTCGCACTGTCCTTTAAAAAAATAATATATCTACAGGTTTCTTGTACATGTGTGAACTGTATATCCAGTGTATTGTGATACTGTATTGGTTCGCGGCCGAGGATAGGCAGAGATGTTCGTGACGTCACTAGATAGGCACCAGCGGTGTATGAACTATATGTGATGTAGTGTAAGAACTATATTATTAGAGCCCCCTCTAATTCATTTGTCAGTTTATATTGTACGTGTCTGTATAACGATTGACTTCAAACATTTGACTTACGGTATTGACTAAAGTGTTTCTATTTTATTGAAAAGCATAGGTATAGATACTTACTGACGTTTAACGAAAATATCGTAACGTAACTAAGTTGTCTATCTCATACACGCTTCTCCTATTCAGTGGGGGAGTAAAAGAGATAGAAGGATGCCTAATGCCACGGTATTTAATGAATCAGAGGGTGCAACGTTACTGTAAAAATATATGTTACTAAGTGTGAGCCTCCCACGGGATTAAAATGTAATATGTTAGTGACTGGTTAGTTATATAGTTAACTTGATAATGGTGCAGATTCTGTTGTATAACCAGACTTCATCTTATAGATAACATTTACCAAGATTTAAAAAAAAAAAGCAACAATCTTTAACACAAACGTTTAGCTTGATCAGAGAACGCTCAGCACCCACCAAAAGTAAAAAACTGCCATAGTGTACTAATGTGATAATGTCATTTGATTTGCTTCAAAACGAAGAATACCTCGATCATAATTTTCCTTTTCCAATAGGTTCTGCCATTTCTTATAATAAGTCTCTTAATCGATGTCAACACAAAGTTGTTCGTACTACTGAAATTACAAAAGATCTAACTCTGAAGACTGCTGTTTTCTTCTCCATAAAATAGACTATAAATAGCTGTACCCTGCAACGCTTCGCTGTGGCACATGGTTATGGTTGAAAAAGTAGAAAACCACAATCTTTGAGGAGGGTTGTATGTCGTGTCAAAGTGTGAGCTCAAACTGCGCTCAAACTTTTTCAGTTTTTGAAGCGTACACAAACCAACATAGCATTCTATATAGATAGATTTCGTCGTGGCAAATGACGTTACATATTCTGAATAAACAGGATACCTAATGTAGAAACTTTTCGTTTCGCACAACCTATCTGTGGAACAAATTATCGCCTGCGGTATATCCGGACCGATACGACCTCCAAACCTTCAAGAAAAGAGCGTACTCCCACCACGGAGACCGGCAACGCGTTGACAGCGATAATCTCCATCAGGTGACCCGTCAGTTCGTATGTCCCCAATATCTTAAAACTTAAAAGCTTACTCAACTTAGTCGATGATAGTTAAACTTTAGAAGTAACAACTCGTGACGTCATTCTTTGCCATTGTTAGTTTTAACTGCGTTTATGGTTACTGCTCTGCTGCTAAAGTTCGTAGTGTGATGTTACATAGCATATCACTCGCCTCGTTTAAACAAAATAAAACAAAAACTAGTGAAAGTGTAGATGTTTATTTAGACTAGTTACATATAACAATAGTATTGAATCTCTTCATTCCAAGTCGTAAATAACATCAACAAAATTAAGACGTGGACTTTATATATCAGTAGCAAACCTACTGCTTTCGTAATAAAGTCCACAACAGAATAGCAAAATTGGAAATCTTTTAACTAAATTAAGAAAATTTTAGACATTGATACAACAGAATCGGCACCATTCATAGATATAAGTTGACGAAATGAAACGGCAATATCAAAAGTTTGTAGTATATCTCCACCATCTCTTTAAAATGAAAGAGACAGCTTAAGAAATCTATTAGAGGAATTGGCAGAAAAAAAGAAGTTTAAAAGAAGTAATCATCGATGCGACGCAGTGTATAAAAATTTCGAAAACCAAATTAATTATTTTATGTTAAGGAAAATATATACATTATTTTTTAACCGGCTTTCAAAGAGGCGGAGGTTCTCGATGCGTCGGAGTCTTTTTTTATGTATGTGAACATACTCGATTACTCGAAGACGCCTGAAGCGATTTGATAAAATATTTTTTTGTTACAAAAGGTGTACCTTCCAGGTGGCGCCATTTAAATTTTATTGAAATCGGTCAAGCGGTATTTGAAAAATCAACAAAATACTAAAAATCCTCGATGATATTTTCATTTACTTACGAAACCTTGCTGTCTCATTGGAGCAGTGCCTTTAGTTGATCTTTGTAGTATTGTTTGAAGTCGGTTCAACTTTTTTTCAAAAGGACCTATATTCCTAAATATTTTTCTTCTACATTATTCTCCTGTAGAAATAGAATTCAAGTTGAACAATATTAAATTGACGCATCTCACACGCGGCAGAACTACCCAGAGCCTGTACTATGAACCAGACTTCATCTTATAGATAACAATTACCAAGATTAAAAAAAAAAGCAACAATCTTTAACACAAACGTTTAGCTTGATCAGAGAACGCTCAGCACCACCAAAAGTGAAAAACTGCCATAGTGTACTAATGCGCTAATGTCATTTGATTTGCTTCGAAACGAAGAATACCTCGATCATAATTTTCCTTTTCCAATAGATTCTGCCATTTCTTATAATAAGTCTCTTAATCGATGTCAACACAAAGTTGTTCGTACTACTGAAATTACAAAAGATCTAACTCTGAAGACTGCTGTTTAACCATTATTGTAATAAGTATCTTATTAAACTATTTAAAAATGATATTACACGTACGTGATTCTCAATATTCGATGAATATTATAAATTTTGTAAAATAAAAGAATTTTACAAATATTCCTCTATAATTTGGGTGCAGAATTTAAGTAATATACTAACCAAGTGGTCAAAAGTAATGAATCTCCTGAAAAGTACCAGGAAATAAATGTTTCTATATGTCTGTGAAGTTACCTAGATTACAAATACATCAGCAGATTGTAGTAACTTATCAATTATGGAAATTTAATCCATTATTATAAAAAAATATTATTCAGATAACCGATTTGCTTAAGAGACAAAACTAAATACTGTTTTTGATCGTAATTGGTCCAAGGACGGACTGAACACCCATTTGTAACGTTGATATAATATCAGATTGTTCTTATTTTGCTTTGGTTTATTATAGATTTTATAACTAAAATTTATTTGCTGTTCTGAAGGTACACATTCCAAAATCTTGTGATGTTGTACTTTTGAATTATTATGTATATAGCGTATCGTACAATTCTGCTGCTCCTTGTAGCCTAAGCTTTTTTTAGTAGTCTGGACTCGATAGGTCGCTTTCACCTCTTGCTAACGTACCCCAGTTGATTTGGACACTCGTTAAGCTTGAATAAAACCTTATCTATTTAATAATTTATTTCTTGTCATTATTTTTCAGAAGGTTTATTATTTTTTTAATATCTTGACACTTAGGTTTGATGAAAGCATCTTATTACTTTTTTTTTCTTGTGCTATATTGTACTAATATGTTAAATGTTTGTGTGTAAGTGTGTTTATTGGTAAATGTGACTTGCCAAGTGGTTTCTAGAGTAAACATATACTGTACATGTGAGACGTTTTGTATATTAGTGTGCTGTGTTGAAGGGACATGTAGAGACGGTAATGGGACTTGGATGTACCAAGAATGTATTAAAATAAAAGCTTTTGAGTGGTATTCATAGTTATAAAGCATATACGGTTGCCCGACTAGTTTATAAATTTTTAATATACGTAATATCTATTCTTCTGAGAGACTAGTGTTTGTTTTAAGTTTATTTGACACCAGCCGTACTCTGCCAAGCTTAGTTGTGGCAAATTGTGGTTGAGTTGATGAGAGATGATTGATATAACTGACGCGAAAAATAGATAAAAAAAATCTTTGAAGCGGGTTGCATATCGTGTTAAAATTTGAGCTCAATTGGTGCAAAACTTTTCGGTTTTTTTACACAAACTGACTTAACACATATATATATATATATATATATATATATAGTACACTAGACATAAGTTTGATGAATAAGGAGTATACGTGCACATACGTATCTCTTCAATACAGCAAAATAACGCTATAAAAATGGCTAATGTGGGATAAAGACTGCGGGCCGTCACCGAACGGCCATATGCCTGTTAATTAGTTGTATTGTGTACAAATGGGGAAAAACCTTAGAAATGTATAGTTATGTTAGTTTCTTAGAAGTTAAAACTATAAAGGGAAATTAAAACATTCATTGAAAAATTAAAATTTGTATGAAACTTCGAAAGTAAAATGTAATATAAGAACTTTAATTAATTTATGTACCGAAAGTAAACTTTGTGTCACAGAAATAGAGCATGTTTTGGTGCTAAGGGCTTTATATATTACCCTTTCGAGTTGTATCTAAATGCGAACACGCAAATATTTAAAAAATATTTTTATGACAATAATATAATAATAATAGTGATGTTCCAGAGAAACCATTGATTTACTAACTGAAATTTGCACTAAGTTTTCGGAGTTTATTACTCTTTGAAGTTGCATACAAATTTAATAGACACTTGATTGTGCAGAAAGTTAAAAGTTAATTCCATTCCATTATTGAATCGTTAATGTTCAGTTATCATTAACCTCGGTAAGCGCTAAGGTTTAATCATAACATACTTTTGAGTAAACCAAAATGCGACCTTAATTTGTAACGTCTAAAGTTGTTATTCAATTGCATAATTTGATTTAGGCGTTGGTTCTTGATAAATACATTTAAATTAAAAAAAATGGATTAAACGTCGGTTTGCTGAAAGTTAAAAATACAGCAATAATAGGATCCGATGGTTCAATGAATATATTTTAAATGCAGTGACACCCATCCCCATATCTGAGGTAAAACCTAATCAAACCTATATTTAAGAACCGATTTATTGATTAGCTTTTTTTTAATTTTGTAAATTTTTATATGGTAATTCGTAAGTATTGTTTTGGTGGTTTAAATATTTTTTTCATTTTTAGTTAGCAGTACCTAAACTCAATTTATCTTTAATGCTTAATAAATATTGTTAAGTAGGTTTTTATAGTGTGAACCTCCGTTCAAAAGGGCTCCTCACTATGTTACCTGTGTCATTGTTAGAAGTGTTTTTTTGTAGTTTTTTTAGTTAAAGAATCCACGACGCCTAGCGCAGTAGTAACCGCTAAAACCACTACTCCATCTGTACAGTCTTTTCAGTACAGTCAGTTCTTTTTCATAAAAAGTAATGTAGTAAATTTTAGTGTATTTTAAGAAGACATGTAGTTGGTTATTTTGATTAAACGCGGCAAGTGTCATAAACAGTTATATTTTAAGGTACGAAAACGTTACATTCTTAGTATGGAAATAACCTTCTTCAAAATTTCTGGAAAACCGGATTTTGCTGTAAACTGACCTTAAAAAGTCTTAAAGACTAAAAAAGGGACATCCCTATAAATCGATCAGATTAGTCAATAATATAATTCACATGTACATCCTTTATTTTGAAGAGTCGTTTCATTTCGTTCTAAGGTGTTCTGTAAACATCGTATGACATCTACTGTAATGACACTGTAGTAGCCATAGAGATAATAATCAACTAGAGTAGACAAGTTGGCTGTAGTCGCGTAACAGCGTTAGAGAGAGAAAAAAGATAGTGCGGGTCTTGCATCTCTCTCTTCACTGATTACGGTTCCACTTACAGGCCAACATACGACTAGACGCCTCTGGTTATATATTATCTCTATGGTAGTAGCAGCCGTTCTTGATTACACGTCAAAACTACACGTTATATGTCAAACAACTTGTTTCAAATAACGGGTTGTGACGTCATACCCCGCTATTGCCAAATTATTTAGTTTTATTGTTTGGTTTTACGACTAAAATTACTCTTTTTTAGCGTTAAGTCTTTTAGTAACCGTAGGCTATTAAGTACCCTATTATAAGTTTCGATATTAATATGCATATAACCTCAATATCTGACATTTGGTATAATGTCAATACTTACATAAATATGTAAGTTATATTACAAGTAAAATGTTATAAGCAAGGCACTATAATATAATAAAATGGAGGGAACTGTATATTCCTCTATAAGTGGTAGCGTGACAGTGACAGAAGACTGTTTTGGTCTCACATCTCTCTCTGCTCTTGTCACTAGGAATATACATTATTAATTATTACAGGTATTAAGTTCTCTCTATACCAACCGAATAGAGCCTTGTGCGCTTCCTCTATATTTGTAAGTTCTTGGCGTTCTACGGCAGCTTTACAGACGCTGACTACCGTTCTGCCAATAAAGAGATATTACGTATTCCATTGTATGAGGAGCCCTTGTAATTAAGTATTTTTCTAAATTTATATTGTGTCCAATCTTGACGTACGATTGACATAAAACTTATTGATAATGTTATTATAAGGAATAAATAAAATAATAATAATAAAAAAATGTTTAATTTATCACCGACTCGTCCCGAAAAATTACTTTGGTGCAATCAAAATTAGCACTGGAATTTCCTATTAGTGGAAGCACCTTGAGCGAGTGACAGTAACATGGTACATTGAGACCGAAGCATCAGGTCTAACTACAGTACAGTGGACAGAGTGGGTGGAGTCCATAAGACAAGTAAGCTCCATGCATCGTAACATATAGATTTTACCATTTAATTTATAACTAGTTACTATAGATAGTTCAACTCAGTTGGCAGTGACGCGGCAGTCGGACGACGACTGCCACACGAATGAAAGTTGTATATTTACAAGCCCACGCACACATAGGGCCGCGCGCACAACTGAGTTGAACTATCTATACTAGTTTTTAGTCACAGCGCACAGTGTTTTTAGTCACAGCTACGCTGTTCATCCGTGTTAGATTTCGTACACAATGTACGAGAGAATGAACTTACTTAAATTTTTTTTAGTTATAAATGGTGTCACTAATCGGTCTTTGTTATTTTTATCAAAAAAAACAATATCCAAGATAAATAATTAATTTATTTACTGCTGACATGGAAGATTTTTGGTCTATTGTTTTTATTCGCAAAAAGGTAGTCGATGAGGTACCTTTTTTTTTTTTTTTTTTTTTTTTGTTGACGGGGTGGAAAACCCCTTCGGATCTCCTGCTCCTCGGGGCTAGGAGCTAGGAGTATGTGGTGATTCCACTAAAAACCACCCCGACGGCCGGCCTCAGGTGTCCTACTCTGGGAGGACCCGGACCATGTTATTTCAGGTCCTCCCCGAATTGACACCATGCCTAGTCAGGCCCTATCCCAGGGGAAAATCACTTCCCCCCTCAATCGCGACGTGGCGGCCCAATTTCGTCTTAATGCAATCAGGCCGCCATCCTATCCCCTACCGCAACATTCAATCAGCGACCAGAGGTCCCCACTCTCTGGCGGCCCGCGGCCCCGTCGGCGGCTGGTATGGTCGCCGACGTCCTCTACGCTCAGGATCGGCCCTCTCCCGATCCCGTTCAGCGGTCTCTTTCTGGAGCATTACAGCTTCACAGAAAGAGACCACTGCGCCCCATCCCTCCTCACCCGCCAGCATGGCAGCAATGATTGCTGGCGGGGACAGGTCTCTCCCGATTTGGCCGACCAGGACTTCGCGTTCAGACGCCCACGCGGGGCAGTCTTCCAGCGTGTGCTGGTCGGAGTCCCAGTCGGCTGCGCAGTGCTGGCATTGTGCCGTCTCCTCGCGTCCGATACGATTCAGGTACTCACCGAAGCAACCATGCCCAGTGAGTACCTGCGTCAGTCGATAGGTGACGCGACCTCCCTCCCTACCTACCCAGGCTTCGAGGTTAGGCAGAACAGCGCTGACAGCGCGTTGGCGTGCATTCTGTGGCTGTTCCAGCCGCACGCGCCACTGCACCAGTGCATGTTGGTGAGCGTTCCGCCGCATTTCGAGCGCGTCCTGGCCTTCCCCGCTCTCACCCCAGCGGATCGCGCGAGTCTGGTCATAGACCCTCGCATCCATATCCGCCAGGATATCAAAGGGCGGGAAACGTGCCAGGACTGTCGCCGCCTCCGACGAAATAGTGCGGTACCCTCGTACGATCCGAAGTCGATGAGGTACCTACGTTTGAATCCGCGTTACTGTTTAGTGTATTGTCTACGATCTATTCATATCACGTGTCATAAAATATTAAATGTACCTATGCTCTAAAGAAAATGTAGGGTGCAAATAATTATGGTAGCTTTCCCGCGTGTCAAATGACACTGGTTTGGCCACCATCATGGATTTTAATTTTGAGAACACAGATTTCGTCGCTAATTTATCACTGGTTTAAAAGTTATAAGCGTTTACCTGGGGGGCCTGCTGATGTCAGTCCCCAGCAGGGTCAAGCTTGTATGTCAAAAACTAGGACACCTAGCGAAGATCTGTTTTCTCCCAAATTTAGTCACTAATTTTTCAAAATCAGTCACCAAATTTCAGAACATGTCGGTCACTGGTTCAAAAGTTATAAGCGTTTATAGGTGGCCCTTATAGGGATAATCCTCCCGGTTTGGCCACCTTTATATCTCAAAAGTAGGGCACCTAGCGAAGATCTGTTTTCTCCCAAATTTAGTTGCTAATTAGTCGACATTTTTCGCACTTTTTTTTTGTCACATTTACTCGGAAAATTAAAATCAACCGGAGCTCTTACCGCAGCCCCCTGCCCCCCAATGCTATACATTTACAAATGTCCTACAACCACACGGCTTGTTATAATGTAAGTATATCTAAACATACAATAATAATGCAAGTATAAAACCAAGATGCTTCTGACAGGACAATGCAACAAGACAATATCTATTAACTATCAATGTAGCTGATATCTACTTATTTGTAAAGGTGGGTAAGAAGTAAAAATATATTCTCCTAAGAAAGGAAATTTAACAGAACGTGCCTTCTACCCGCACTAATAAAACTGTTCAATCACATCAAACACAAGTTCATACATATTTTTACAACAAACACTTCCAATGGATACCTTGAAACAAGATTATATCGGTAAAACTATAAGACCGCGTTCACATTCCCTGTGTTCTTTACAAAGTGAAGAGAATGCCTTAGATCAGAAGTTATACAGGAATACGTGTTTGCACCGCACGTATAGTGATTCTTCTATAGAATTCTGTATGCATTCCGACACAGAAGAATACAAACCTCTCGATAGTGGTATTTGTGATCGGATGTCTGATGCCGATATGTTCGCTGTGTTGGAGCAGAAGATTGATCGGCTAAGCGGTAAGTGAAATCGTAATTGTTTAACCTTTTTCATGTGATTAAAGGTATCTATTATAACGGTATCGTTTAAGCACAACAAATAACTTGTCATTTTAATAAATACTTAAATATAAGTAAATACAGTATTTTAAATACTCGTTTCAAGCGCTTTTACGGCTCAAATGATGAAGTGTTTGTTAGTATGAACTGTAAACACACTCAATTAAATAATATTAAAATCAACGTATTGATTAGAGGGCTTTTTTTCCTGACAGAAAAGGTTAGCGATCGCTCATACGCTTTTAGCTTAATAAAGCTTATTTTCGTAATAAAACATGTAACACTACGGTAACTCTATTGAAGTTCTCGTGGATGAATTAGCTTTTATATTCTTTGTCCTCCGTTGTTTAGCTGATCGCCGAAAGGACTATTTGTCATATTTAAGAACATATAGGGAAATATTAGGACATGAAAGACATTTTGACATCTTTCTTTCCTGTTATGTTTAGGAGTGATTTCTTGATAAGGGACGGAAGTATGTAACAGTGTGGAGCAATGGGCGCAAAATGTTGCGATTGGTGCAGATTTGCGGGCCAATCGTAGCGCCGAACGCGGACACCGTGACGATCGAGTAGAAGTGAAATAAACTCGCACCTGGGACTCTGATTGTAGGTGTTATGTCGGATGTTACACCAGATATGCGACTGCTGTCAAGGCAAACTATCGTATACCTATCAAATTGCTTCAAGAACTTGTGAACCGTACACCTATTACAAATATTAACCTATATTCTAGTAACTGATCAAATATCTATTACAGATATGTTCCTAGACCAGTGCCGGCTATTAAACGTTATGAAGGACGAAATTCGCAGCTCTAAGATTATTATTCGGCAGAGCCAAAACGTTCACAATTCTGTTGTCGTTGATGTGATGAAGAAAGTTGTCTCAAAGGTTAGTTTTGAAGCATTACAGCTTCACAGAAAGAGACCACTGCGCCCCATCCCTCCTCACCCGCCAGCATGGCAGCAATGATTGCTGGCGGGGACAGGTCTCTCCCGATTTGGCCGACCAGGACTTCGCGTTCAGACGCCCACGCGGGGCAGTCTTCCAGCGTGTGCTGGGCGGAGTCCCAGTCGGCTGCGCAGTGCTGGCATTGTGCCGTCTCCTCGCGTCCGATACGATTCAGGTACTCACCGAAGCAACCATGCCCAGTGAGTACCTGCGTCAGTCGATAGGTGACGCGACCTCCCTCCCTACCTACCCAGGCTTCGAGGTTAGGCAGAACAGCGCTGACAGCGCGTTGGCGTGCATTCTGTGGCTGTTCCAGCCGCACGCGCCACTGCACCAGTGCATGTTGGTGAGCGTTCCGCCGCATTTCGAGCGCGTCCTGGCCTTCCCCGCTCTCACCCCAGCGGATCGCGCGAGTCTGGTCATAGACCCTCGCATCCATATCCGCCAGGATATCAAAGGGCGGGAAACGTGCCAGGACTGTCGCCGCCTCCGACGAAATAGTGCGGTACCCTCGTACGATCCGAAGTCGATGAGGTACCTACGTTTGAATCCGCGTTACTGTTTAGTGTATTGTCTACGATCTATTCATATCACGTGTCATAAAATATTAAATGTACCTATGCTCTAAAGAAAATGTAGGGTGCAAATACCTATGGTAGTTTTACCGCGTGTCAAATGACACTGGTTTGGCCACCATCATGGATTTTAATTTTGAGAACACAAAGATTTAGTCGCTAATTTGTCGGTCACTGGTTCAAAAGTTAAGCGTTTACAGGGGGGCCTGCTGGGGTCAGTCCCCAGCAGAGTCAAGCTTGTATGTCAAAAACTGGGACACCTAGCGAAGATTTGTTTCCTCCTAAATTTAATCACTAATTTTTCAAAATCAGTCACCAAATATCAGAACATTTCGATCACTGGTTCAAAAGTTATAAGCGTTTATAGGTGGCCCTTATAGGGATAATCCTCCCGGTTTGGCCACCTTTATATCTCAAAAAGTAGGGCACCTAGCGAAGATCTGTTTTCGCCCAAATTTAGTCGCTAATTAGTCGTCATTTTTCGCATATTTTTTTGACACATTTACTCGGAAAATTAAAATCAACCGGAGCTCTTACCGCAGCCTCCTGCTCCCCAATGCTATACATTTACAAATGTCCTACAACCACACGGCTTGTTATAATGTAAGTATATCTAAACATACAATAATAATGCAAGTATAAAACCAAGATGCTTCTGACAGGACAATGCAACAAGACAATATCTATTAACTATCAATGTAGCTGATATCTACTTATTTGTAAAGGTGGGTAAGAAGTAAAAATATATTCTCCTAAGAAAGGAAATTTAACAGAACGTGCCTTCTACCCGCACTAATAAAACTGTTCAATCACATCAAATACAAGTTCATACATATTTTTACAAAAAACACTTCCAATGGACACCCTGAAACAAGATTATATCGGTAAAACTGTAAGACCGCGTTCACATTCCTTGTGTTCTTTACAAAGTGAAGAGAATGCCTTAGATCAGAAATTATACAGAAATACGTGTTTGCACCGCACGTATAGTGATTCTTCTATAGAGTTCTGTATGCATTCCGACACAGAAGAATACAAACCTCTCGATAGTGGCATTTGTGATCGGATGTCTGATGCCGATATGTTCGCTGTGTTGGAGCAGAAGATTGATCGGCTAAGCGGTAAGTGAAATCGTAATTGTTTAACCTTTATCATGTGATTAAAGGTATCTATTATAACGGTATCGTTTAAGCACAACAAATAACTTGTCATTTTAATAAATACTTAAATATAAGTAAATACAGTATTTTAAATACGGCTCAAATGATGAAGTGTTTGTTAGTATGAACTGTAAACACACTCAATTAAATAATATTAAAATCAACGTATTGATTAGAGAGCTTTTTTTCCTGACAGAAAAGGTACGCTATACGCTTTTAGCTTAATAAAGCTTATTTTCGTAATAAAACATGTAACACTACGGTAACTCTATTGAAGTTCTCGTGGATGAATTAGCTTTTATATTCTTTGTCCTCCGTTGTTTAGCTGATCGCCGAAAGGACTATTTGTCATATTTAAGAACATATAGGGAAATATTAGGACATGAAAGACATTTTGACATCTTTCTTTCCTGTTATGTTTGGGAGTGATTTCTTGATAAGGGACGGAAGTATGTAACAGTGTGGAGCAATGGGCGCAAACGTTGGTAAAACAGGTCGTCAGAGGGCTCTCGACGGCGAGCGCGTTTAGCGTTGCGATTGGTGCAAATTTGCGGGCCAATCGTAGCGAGGAACGCGGTCACCGTGATGATAGAGTATAAGTGAAATAAACTCGCACTTGGAACTCTGATTGTAGGTGAGATGTCGGATGTTACACCAGATATGCGACTGCTGTCAAGGCAAACCATCGTATACCTATCAAATTGCTTCAAGAACTTGTGAACCGTAAACCTATTACAAATATTAACCTATATTCTAGTAACTGATCAAATATCTATTACAGATATGTTCCTAGACCAGTGCCGGCTATTAAACGTTATGAAGGACGAAATCCGCAGCTCTAAGATGATTATTCGGCAGAGTGAAAATGTTCACAATTCTGTTGTCGTTGATGTGATGAAGAAAGTTATGTCTCAAAGGTTAGTTTTGAACACTAATAAACTTAGTTGAGATGGCGTAATTCCATATTGCATACACATATATTTCTACAAAAACTGTAAGATTTTTAGTGTTGTGTCACATTTTTTCTCTGTTTTCTTGTGACCTGTGGGAGTGATTTCGCGGGAACGGGGATAAAGGGACGGAAATATGTAACATTAAGCCGGGGAAGTGCGCCTTATTTGATTTGATTAATAAGCGCATGTGATGCTAGAGTTATCCATACCTAAATTATTTTGAACGAGATAAATGAATAAATAAATAATATTGCACCACATTGGCATAACGCCATCTAGTCCCAAACTAAGCAGAGCTTGTACTATGGCTACGAGACAACTGATATAAATACATAAGTATACTTTTTTTTGTAAATACATACTTATTATACATAGAAACACCCAGACCAAATCAAACATTAAATGTTCATGCACACAAATGTTTGACTTGAGCGGGAATCGAACCCGCGACCTTTGACATAGCAGTCCGTTACACAAACCACTACGCCATTCGGTCGTCAAATAATGAAATAATGTAAGGTGTTACCTGGTCCCCCGGCTACGGGTACCAGAGACGGTGTGCGGATTTTGGTCGGTTCGGTACAATTAGCACTACAGACCTTAATAGAACATTACAGGGCCTTAGTAGAAAGAGAAGAAGAAAGAGATTTAGCCCTACATCAGACCAAATACGCAATTCCGGCGGCAAACCCTGCTTAAATATACATAGAAGTAAAGTTGTGATCCATTTGATTAAAATAATATAGTTATTGTATTTATTTAAAACAGAGCGTGCCACATTCTCCTTTTGGAACGTACCTATTCCTAAACCTTTATTATTAACAATTATTTCATGGAATGGAATATAATTTCCTAGATGTACAGTTCACAGCTCATGTTTCTTAATACAGGGCCAAAGAAGTCGGTTTTCCGGAAGAATCAAACGAAGAAGATAGTAATGTCATGAATTGCCGCGCTAAAAGTCTTCTGAACGCCATCGAGACACGCAAAGAAGTATCCCTGGATAATGAGATCAAGGAAAACCTGATTAGTTTCTTGCAAAGCGAGGTAGGATTATTACGATTTCAGTTAAGTTATTCGAGACTGGGTATTCTCGATATTGGAAATGTAACAACGCACAGTGTTTTCAATACAACATGCTAGCTGAACAAAATTATTAAATATTATTATAAAGTACGGTTTTCTTATGATGTTTTAATGCAATTTCAGCACAAAACACTCTAATATACTAAGGGTTTCGTGTACAAATAAAATAAAAAGGAATAATAAAAATTTCGTGTATTAAGATATCTAGAAAAATAACAATAAAAAATATTAGAAACATTCATAAAATGCTCAACTACTAATAACCTTGTTACTAATTACACAATGACATAAGGGACATTATTACCACTCATTAACAAACAAAACATTTAAATAACATGCAGATCATAAGGCTAATTTAGTATTACAAAAATCAATGTATTCAACCTATAATAAAGTTAGCAGGATACACAGCTTAAAAAAGTTTTAGTACTATTTAGGTGTTTTTTTTTTTATTTTTTTTTATCTAATAGGTACAGTAACAGATATCAGATTAGCACATACACAATTATGTTGACAATATACAATACTTAAATCTGAAGTCCAGTTATAACTATACACAACGTTCTCAGTATTGCTCGTCTGTATGGATGCCTATCTACAATGCTCACATAGAAAGAATAGAAGCAATACAAAAGCGGTTTGTGAGAGCATTATGTTTTAAGTTTGGCTTGAAACGAAAATTAAAAGAGTATAACGATCGACTTAAGGAGTTTAAAATGGTCACGCTGGAGAAAAGGAGATGGATGAGCGATTTATGTACCCTACACAAAATTGTGAAAGGTTCCCTAGATTGTCAACTTATTGATATGTTGAACTTCAGGACGCCAACGCGATCTGTGCGCACACCACAACTGTTTACTATACCAACTAGCAACAACAATGTATCACGCAACAATCCGGTTTTTCGAATGTGTAGTCGTTATAACGATATATGTTCTCAAATAGATATTTTTAATGATAGTATAAATGTATTCAAGTGCTTTTTACTTAAATCTGAAATGTATAAACCCATCAATGTAAAATTATAGTAACACATTTGTAGATATAACTAATTAGTCAATTTGCTGCATCTCATTTTCTTATTTAATAAAAAAAAATTGCGTTTGTTTAATACCTAATTGAAGCTCTATCACCGCGACTATGAATGATGTGTATAGTTTTAATTGGACTTCAGATTTGAAATTATACGCTGTTACTTATTACTGTGTGAGGCATGATCTGTTGTCTGTAACTGTACCAAATAAGTAAAAATAAAATAAAAATAAAAATTACAAAGTTTATATGAGTATGTTAACAGACTAAAGAATTCACATAATAAACTTAAGCTCCATTATTATTACAAAATAAGTGGTGATGTAATAGTTTCGTGCTGTCTAAGCTTCCTCAAAAAGCTGTCCGATAGGTAGAAGAGCCGATTTCACAATATCTACACTGTGCACAGTAATGGGCATGGGATACCTCGAATCGAGACTAACACACAATTTTTTTGTGTCCTGTGTGAAAGAATTAAGTTTAGCAACATTAACGCGAAACCCGGAGCCAAAGTTCTTAATTAAAGTCACATCTTCACCTGTAATATCTGAAGCCAGTTCAGGTTTCTCAAAATACCGACGAGCAGTATTTCCATCGTTCGTATTACCGAATCATGGTTTTGGTTTTATACTAATAAACCTACTTCAGTCTTAAGTAAAAAATCGAATTCAAGAGACGTCTCTTGAATTCGATTTTTTACTTATTTGCTACAAATTCTCCTCATTCATAAAGGGGAATGCCCACTACCCATAGACACTTTGGCCCTAGGTGCACACATATAAAAGCATATGGAAAGGATAATATACAATTTAAAGAATGAAATGATTAAGGAATTGGTATTAAAAAAAGTCGGGATTTTTAAGATATAACATGATTTTAATTTTCAGAAATAACTACAGTTTTTTTTCTTATTCATCATTTTATTGTTATTCTCACATACAGTATCAAGTTATATGTAGTTGTTAGGTATTTTATGATCATACATCATTTGTGTCATACACAATTAGTACATCATCCAGGAATTGAGCCGGAGGAAAAATATTTGTTTGATGTCGTGCCCAACCCAAATACCATATTACTGTCATTATATGGGCACAACATCCTACCGTTCGACGGCCAACAATACACTTACAACAATACTTTTTAATTGTACTTCTGCCAGAATCATTGCCACTAATAAAAATATAAGTATATAAAATATATTATTCGACTGATGTGTCGACTTGCGATTCTAGCCCTAGGTAAAGAGCAGTTAGGACTAAGGTGTATTCCTTCCATAATGCTGCTCCTATGGTCATTGCATATTTCTATGTGGTAGCAACCATTAGCTCTTATATGCTCACCATAATAGGAGCGAGCTTGCTTTAATTGGTATGTACCACAAGCAATTAGTACTAAGTCGCTGTAAGTTAAAATAGGAAATTCCCTAACATTTTCGGAGCCTACGTTTATATTTCTAAAGTCTGCCCTAGCTCTATTAAAATAAATAAATAAATAATATTAGCACTAACATAATGAAATCATAATAATTACCGAAAATCGAATAATATAGCTATAAAATAATGGCTGTGTTTGGCAAAAAATAGCGCTAGAAAGCGCTTATGAGCGCTTACTAGCGCTGACACAGTTTTCGGCCAGGACACGTTTCCTAACTTCAGTAGCGCTGACACAAACCGCCATTTTGCTTATTTATTGTGTTTGTTTTAAAAGTAGAATATATAAGATGTTTTGTGCAATTAGTTTCAAGTAATATTAAAATAAATAATAATGTCAGTCCAAAAAATAGTAAAATTAGTAATTGGGAACTCTTAATATTTTGTCAGAAACCAATGAAATACGGATAAACGTAATTTCACTTTTATCTTTTCGGTACTTTTATTTTCTGTTTAAATGTTGCAGACCTGTCAGGATAAATGAATACCCCAATTAATAAATAGAAAATAAGATGGTTTTTTCTAACAAAAGCAAATTGTTGGGCGTTTCATGGCCGAAAATGGGCATTCCCCTTTGGGAGCAGCTCCACAAATGTAACATTTTGTGCAGAAGAAGTTTCAGTCTTAGCGTTGCACAATTTACCTTTTCACACCTTTCTTAATTCACAGGAGCTGAAAGACCAAATGGTGCGCACAACAGCGGAGTCAGTCCGCAGCATGATCGGAGGGTGCTTCAGCCGTGACATGTCAACGCTGTACTTGCCCATACTGGACCGCTCACATCGACGTCTCATTTCGCACATACACAAGATCATTGAGCAGGCTTTTCTTGAACGTGAGCCAAAATTTAGCATCTTAATAATAATTTATATTGATGCGTGTTAAAACTATTTCTATTTTTTTATTTGATTCCTCTAATTCAGAGATTAGTTAAACGCATCATCATCAACAGCCCTTAATAGTCCAATGCTGGACGTAGGCCTCTTCTTACCACGCTGGCCAGACGGGTTGGTGTCTTCTCTCTGCAGCGCTGTTGTTCTTGCGTAGTTTGCTCCCTTAGTCGCCTCTTATGACCCCCACGGGATGAATAGGGGTGGTGACACTCTGTATTCTTAATCCGTCACCACACGTAGTTAAACGCAATTGTGTCTTAAGAAAAGGATTAAGAATACAGAGTGTCATCACCTATAATTATCCCGTGGGTGTCGTAAGGTCCGACTATAGGGAGCAAACTAGTTTGATTTACTGTTAAATAGCGTCTAACCTAACTACCTAGCAACCCTAACCTACGTACGCAAAAATAGAATGATATATCACACTTCAGTTTGATTTTGTCCCATATTTAATATATTATCTCTACTGAGTATATATACCGACGGGAATTAACGGGATCACGTAATAGGTATTAAGAGGCGGCCTTTGGGGGTGGCGAGGGCAACCGCTTGGGACTTCGCTCATGTAGGGGCCTCGCGCACTCGCGCAACCACTTCCCCGTGTTTCATTTCGCCTGTCATTTGGACACGCTTCCAGTGTTGTCTGTTGTCAGTTTATGCTATGTTCAAGTAGCGGTATGTGTTGCTTTGCATTATTTGTTTTAAATTATCATCATTAAAACTAGTCCCACAAAGAGAAGGGCCTCGCAATGATTTACCCGTCCGGAGCCTCCCAATGGCGAAGGCCACCACTGTAGGCTGACTTTCCTAACCCGTTCATTCCCGTCTGTATATTTTATAGGCATGTATCATGGAATGCCAAAGTTTCAAAGTTAGAATGCATCTGCCATGTTTCGATAAGCAAAGTTATTCCTTTTTATTTTCAATATGCAAGTTACTAAAAAGGATTACATGGTTTCACTCGGTTGCCAAACCGTTGTATTTATTGCTTTTTTTCCGTTTTATTGTAGCTCAGTTGGAGTCATAAAATATGAAACAGAAATTCGTGATATAATACTACGAATTATTAGTACTTAAAGATTGTAGTTAAAATACGGGTTTTTTTTTTAATTCTCTATTTACAAATGACATCTAACAAGTCTCTGTCTTTACTAAGGAAAGAGCCTTGAGTACAGCGCTGCCACAGCGTCAAACTTCATACTAACTTAGTTTGAAATAAGCCTCGGTGTCATCGCTGTAGCGTCGAATTTCAAATGAATAATAGAGATATATCACTGCAGGGCTGTATTCATCGTCGTCCTGGTAACTCATTCGTAGCATAGGAGTGATTTTCATAGCAGCATGAATAGCACTGCTGAACAGGCCTTTTATATGTCTTTAAACATGGTTGAATTATGATTAAAATACCACTGATGCAAGTGTTTAACTGTTGGTGAAGTGAACGGAGTTCCATCCTACCCTCCCTCACTTATGAGTTGCAGGTCTCCATGAGCGACGGTAGTCACTTACTATCGGGTGACCCGTCTGTTCGCTTGCCCCCTATACCATAAAAACAACTACTGATTGAATACGTCACATTGAACAACGCAAACGCTTATTTCAACGCTTATTTTATGCGCCCGAGCCGTCTGCGGTACCTGGCCCGTTCTCGGGCCTGGCGAGCCAGGAGGGTTCTGAAAGGGTCAGGAGGTCTCGCCTCTGCTCCACTCACGCCGGGCATTCTGCCAGCGTGTGAAGCGCCGTGACCACGGTCCAGCCATCGTAGTGCCGGCACCCAGGCGTTGGCTCCTTGCGGATCAGACACAGGTGATCCCCGAAGTATCCTTTTCCAGTGATCACCTGCGTCAACCGGTATGAGAGGGTCCCGTGATGCCTCTCGAGCTAATCCTCCATAACAGGTCTTACCGCCGCCATAACGGCGTGCCCAACTGCTGTACCCCTGGCCGAAAAACCCAACAAAATTAAATATGTTATTTTGACACAGTGCCTATTACAAGCCTATTGCAACATTAACATGTAAGTGCGCTTCAGATAATATCTAAATATTACGACATTTTCCTTATTAATAATACAAATAATGATTATTAATTAATTTAATGATTATTAATTATTCATTAATTAAATTATTAATAATTTATAAAATTACCTAATAATTTATTTAGCGAAGTGGTTTCAATAAATATCATATAATAATTTGGTGTCATTAATTTAAATCAAATTTTGTGCAATTGCTGAATAATTACAACATTAACATTCGATGCATTTTATCTTCTTACATTAGGTGCGTATGCACATTAGATATTATTATTATAACAGGTACTATTCATTTATAAGTATCATTTATTATTGTTAAAATATAAAAAAAAAACCATACTAGCTTACAATACTGAGAGAGTGGGGTGTTACTGCTTCAATATGGCATGTTTAATAATGTTTAGGTTTCAGGGGTACAACGGTTAAAATGCATCTTCCACTGTACCACCAGAATAACGGCCAGAGGTACACAGGAAAAGAAGCGGCTTTTAATACTGTTCAATCTTCTTATTTAACAATCTCAGAAATGTATTGTAACTCAAGTTCTATGGCCACAGTTGAAGACAAGTCGTCATCCTTGTTCAAGTCCGTGCACAAAACGTCGGGAGCTCTCCGCCGTGCCCTGGAGCGCCACCAGTGCCTGCTGGAGGCTGCCTGCGATCCTGACAAGAATATCGTTAGTACATTGCAGTGTACAGTTGAAGAGTAAGTATACTCGTAAAATATAGGGGACTTTTTGATACCGTTTGCCTCTCACTTGTATTGAAGATTAAAACTGAGAATTATTACAACGGATGACTTTACTTAGGGTGAGTTGAATTTCCAAAGAAGGTACCGAAAATAAGTACAATTGATACGTTGAAATATACCTTTTAACAAAGGAAGTTAATCCGTGTGGTGACGGATTAAGAATACAGAGTGTCACCACCCCTATTCATCCCGCTGGTGTCGTAAGAGCCGACTAAAGGAGTACCTAAACTAAACAACCCTATACCTACCTGTCTAGCCAGAGGGGTATAGTAGGCCAAAGCCTCCTTTCTAAAGAGAGGCCTATGTCCAGCAGTGGACTGTTATAGGTTGTTGGTTATAATATTGGAGATTAGTAACAGTTTAAAAAAAAATGATATCGCTCTCAGTAATTCGTGTAGCAATAAAATTTACTTGCATTAGAGTTTTGGAACATTTTCCTCCGCAGCCATAGTGTAGATAAGTGATTTACGAACGTACAAAATTGGTAGCTCTATTTATGCAAATAGATTTCTCTTAAGAAATACTCTTTTACGTCGAAATACTATTATTACTCTTTTACATCATTTGAAAAAAAAATGGTAGACGAATATTGTGCGTACAATCATTTATAACTCAAGCTTCAAAGGGTATCAATATTTATCTATTGTCACATTTCCAAGACTCCTCCAAGATGAGCTAAAAGACTGGCGTCAGAAGGTCTTCGACATATTCTCTACGCAAATCCACACTGAAGCTCTCCCAGAACAAGAGATGGTGCCGCCGATTGACTACATTCCTGTAAGCACGCCGCAACCTGCTGACCCCGAAGTGTCTGCCATCGATCAGCTGGTGAGTAACATTCCTAAGAGTCTTTGTGCAGCTTTTCTTGGTTAGGTTACCTATATTTTTCTTAGTATTTTTCGAATCGGAGCAGGACCTTAACTATAGCGGCCCCTTTTCCCAGCGTTTGAGATACATACATACATAACTTAAAAAAAACTCAAAAATATATAACTTTGTTGGTATTTTTTTGATTGGACATCATCAACAGTCATTAGTAGTCCACTGTTGGATACAGGCCTCTCCTTAGAAATGAGGGTTTGGCTTACTATACCACGCTGGCCAGACGGGTTGGTATAGGGTTTGTTTTAAATTTTCCTTCTCTTTGCAGCATTCTGCAAAGATGCGTAAGCAATGATGCGTAATGCCAAGATGCGTAGGGGTGATGACATTCCGTATTCTTAATCCGTCACCACACGGACAGATTGGACGTAACAATATATTAATAATTTCTTTATCTTCTTCTATTATTTTCTTATTTCAGCACCACAGGTATTATTTCCTTCATTCCTACGGATAATGACTTAATATCTTACGGTGATCATATCTGAGAATTTCAACATATAATGATTTTATCACCCGTACATGACGCTTCCAAGTTCTGCCAAATTTTATCCCAGATGCAGACAGCACTAATAAACAAGCTGATTCAATCCGGTGACATGAACGGCTCGTTCGAGCGCGCTCTCTCTGCCGCTGACTTGTCTCTGGTGATGGCTGCCTGCAGGGCTGCTGACCCCGACCTGGTGTTCGCGGTGCCCTGCAAGCTCGAGCAGTACGTACTGCTGTCGTTGATACAGCAGTTGGCAACTGATATGCTACATGAGACGCAACTGAAATGCAGGTCAGTTCATAACTATGCCATAAAGTTAGTGCCTCATATTCCATAAATAAATATGTTAAACCTAGCCCATAGCAGGTAATAATAATAACTTCACACATCTCACACACGGCAGTTTGATCCCAAACTAGGCAGAGCCTGTACTATGGTACCCCGACTGCTCATAAACATACCCAATTAAATATTTCTAAATGCATACGTATTATAGATAAATTACACCCAGACACAGAACATGTGACCGTGCTTAACATACAATTATTTGTCTTTTTTTGCTTTGCAGTCAGGGTCAATAACCAGTAAACCAACAGGCTAACCGATAGTTAAATCAATTGCTATTATTGTATACGCGGATTTGCCAGTAGATTCGGGAATTTTATTCCCGAAAGCGTAGCCAGAAATATACACACTCGCATTTATTAGCTCTTACTTTACCAATACATTTGTTTCAAGCTGAAATATCATTTATAATCATTACAGTTTTCGTTAAGTTTGGTTAATTTGTAATGGTTAAAGGATCATAAAAGTTTATCGGTTAAGTAGTTTTATAGTTCATCTAATAAACTAGCAATTTGCTCTACTGTTCTTACGTTAATAGTATAGAAGAGTTATGTGTTAAACATTATTGTAATTGTGACAATCTACGAAAATGTAGGTGATTCATATAATCGGGTTATTAGAGCAATTTACAAACAGCGTCCTTTTTAACAATATTTTAACTTTTCGAATAGGTTTAACTTAAATGCACGGATGGTGTAGATGTTTAAGCGGTCGCCACGCCGCTTACTACTCAGTGTTGTGGGTTCGATCCCCACATGGAACGAAACTTTGTGTGATCCACACATTGTTGTTCTGAGTCTGGGTGTTCTTTGTGTCCGTTTCATGTTTGTAAAGTCCCCCGCAACACTGATTTCTGCAAGTTCAATAGATGCGGACTGTACTGTTGATAAAATAATAATGTGCTTAAAAATAATTCATTACGACCTCTGTTACAGGCAGTATTAAAAATTATTAGCTGTATCAAAAGATTGCCTAAAAACCAAATAATAATGCTTATAATTGGTATCAGATTAAAGGGCTCTGCTACAATGAAACTCGGAACTTGTTTAAACACAGCTGTACTTCAATTTTACATACATTTTCCATTTCCACTATCAGTATAACCAATCTAATTTGTTCTACACCTAAATCGGCAGTAAAACATTGGTTTGGTTTGTTGAACAAATAGTTTTTCTGCTGCAGATGCACATGTAAACAACAGAAGGTCCCTTTATTACGAAAATAACTTTTATGACAGTTGTGAGATCGAAAATTGATCGGAACTGAATTGAGACCGAACTTTTATTACGAGAATTGGCCTTCGTTTCAAAACGATAAAAAAGGCTTATCACATTCAGACTGCCTCGATAGTGCAGTCGATTCCCGGGTCGGACCAAATGTTAGTATGATCTGCAAATATTTCTTTCAGAGTTTGGGTGTTTTCTATCAGTCAGTCAAAAAAGTATTATTATATATATATATATATATATATATATATATATATATATATATATATATATATATATATATATATATAACACAAACAAACAAACAAACAAACTCTTCAGCTTTATAGTATTAGTATAGATATATACAGCCCAAAAGCAATATTCGTCAACATAACTTCTTATGTTTTTACATATGCAATGCACTAAAATACACATTTTTTTTCTCAGATATCTGGAAGATGCTATAATACATTTAAACACTGCAGACCCGGACACTCGTGCGCATCTTCCACTGGTCGTCGGAGAAGTTCGCAAACACCTGTCAAAATTTCTTACTGAGTATCCACACCATGTTGCAAATAGAAGAATCACTCTGATAGTTATGGCTGCTAATAACTTGCTTAAATAAATATTCCTAATCATTTTATTTTGTTATATATAATATAAGAAACAAGTTAGTGTTAACAGTTACTTCTTCTAAATCTTAAATTTAATTTAAGGGCCTTTGCACATGGCGTATTTTTATCGTGCCGTGGACGTGACTTTTACACGCGCGCGTCAACAGCCCTGAAGATCACCAAAAAGCAGATTGTAACAATTCAAAGGCGCGTGTGAAGCGTATACAAAAGTCGTCTGTATATCAGCTGGTTTTAGGATCAAAAGTAGTTGTCGGAATGAAGAATAATTATGACATCCGATATCAGTTTGAAACATTTTACCATCTTTTATGTTTCATCAATATTTTAAAAGTTGCAAGTATTGGAATGACCACTCAATCATCTTTCGCTCGTGAATGCGTCTAGTCGTTTATTTCCTTCCTTTCCTTTCTTTTAGGATCAAAAGAAGTTGTCGGCATGAAGAATGTGACATCCGATAACAGTTTCAAATATTTTACCATCTTTTATGTTTGATCAATGTTTTAAAAGTTGTATGTAAGAATTAGAATGACCACTCAATCTTTTCTCGCTAGTCTATTCGCTTATTTTCTACCTTTTCTTCTTTTTCCTTTCTTCTTCCTTTCCTTTCTTCTTCCTTTTCTTTTACAGTGTAGTGGCGAGTCTGGTGAAAACACAGATATTTCGGTGTTACAATATTTACGCGTGACTGCAGCACGTATATACTGTCGCCGTCTCAGTCGTTTGCGTTATTAAATATAAAATATTAAATGCGCCACCAAAGTTTTGAACGTGTGCATTGCCTGCTTATGAATTTATTTTCGACGTCGACGCCCTTCGGCGCGTAAATAATACACCGTGTGCAAAGACTCTAAGACTTTAAAAGACGCCACAGTAAGATTTTATAATAAAACATTAGTTCTGAAACAACTGCGGTTTACTTATAAAACAAATCCTAATTTACGGTAGGTATGAAGTTTTAACTCAAATTTCTCTACGAATACATCAACTTTAACTTTTGATAACCACAGTTTTGATAACCAAATTTAAAAAATATATTTATTCCTAACTTTGAACTATACCACAGACTACCCGAATTTAAGGCAAAGGTGTAGTTCTCACACGCTCACTCATTACAGCAAGGAGAACAGAGGTCGGCCTTATCACGACGGGCTCTCTATAGAGGCTATTGCTGTCTCTACTGTGCGGTCAAACGATCCATACCCTTCTATAGAGCGCTGATATGAGCTAAGTGCCTGGGCAGATTGGGAACTGCAGTAGGCCGTAGGGAGGTAATGGTGCGTGTAGGGATAGAGCTGATTGGTACGATATGGTGTCCCCCGGGAGCTGACAGCAAATCCGAATTGATTTTCCATCGTCACCATAACAGATGGTCCATGGTCCATGTGGTGACGGATTAAGAATACAGAGTGTCACCACCCGTATGCATTCCGTGGCTGTCGTAAGAGGCGACTAAGGAAGCAAACTACGCAGGACTACAGCACTGCAGAGAGAAGGAACACTTGAAACAAACCCTATACCAACCCGTCTGGCCAGCGTGGTATAGTAGGACAAAACCTCCTTTCTAAGGAGAGACCTATGTTCAGCAGTGCTAGTCCACAAAGGCTGTTGATGTGATGATGATGACCATAACAGAAATAACAATAAAAAACTATGATAGGTCGTTTTCTTTTATTAATGAATGTTGGAAAGTATCACTCAAATAGAAGTCAGGAACATGCGAGTTCACACAAAGATGTAGCGTGGGAGAAAACTTCATGACTGTGTTTAAAGGAAGAGAAAGATAAAACATTATTTTCCAGCAAGTGCATCCGATTGTAGTCGTTAATTGATACACGTTTTCTAAACAATGTAATTATTAATTAAGTGAATGCATGCACGGTACAGGTATAACGACTTTAAATGTTTTTCATAATATAATTGTAATGTAAAATAGACTGAACTTTTGTTCAGTAGTAAACTATTGCTTATGGCAAGTAAACAATATTGATAAATAGGTGTGGAATAACAAAGTGCGGTCTTATCGACAAAAGCAGTTTTAACAACGATAACCGTAAATATTACGATACGGGATGCCAGTTCTCGAATATTTTCGGGAAACCTTTTAAATACTGTTGGATCTTTATTAAAGCGGTAAAAAAAATGATTTACATGGTACTTAAAAACAGAATAAAAATACTTAATGTTGTTTTTAAGGTGTAGGTATTCATTCAGTTTGCCTATGGTTTCTTTATTTTGTGTCACCGTCCTATTAGCAAACTACGCAGGACAACAGCACTGCAAAGAAAAGGAAAACTCACACACAAAACCCCATACAAACCCGTCTGGCCAGTGTGGTATAGTAGACCAAAACCTCCTTTCTAAGGAGAGGCCAGCAGTGGACTATTATAGGCTGTTGATGATGGTGATTGATGATTCATTTTTAACCAGGACTTACCTTAGGAACGTTTAGTTTAACTCTGCCTTCATACATTGATCGTTATAGTGCATGAAGTTGAAATAATTAATACCAACCAGGTATACCCAAGAAGGGAAGCCCTAGTACCCCGACGTACCTCGGGTCATCTAGGGCTTATAGATGACCCCCTCCTTTGTGGAAACCCCGATGTTCGCTTCCCGTCCCCGAAGGACGCGCCGCCTTTCGAGCCAATCCTCCATAACGGGTCTTACCGCCGCAACAACGGCGTGCCCGAGACCTCCTACACCTGACCTCTTCTCTTCTTTTTAATGTGCCTATATACCTACCGATTCATTGGCTTCTAGCTCTACCCACGCTTCGCTGTGTCACATTGTGGCTACAAAATGTACTTAGAAAAAACCAGCTTTAAAGCGTATTGTATATCGTGTGAAAATTTGAGCTCAATCGGTGCAGAACTTTTGAGTTTTTGAAGCTCACACAAACATAACATTTATATATATATATATATATATGTTTATATGTATAGAATCTGTATGAATACATTGCACAAGGTGTGTAAGAAATAGCAGCGGCCCCTAACAAGAAGTATTAGGTTTATATAAAATTCTAATCATTATTCTTCCTTCTTCTTGGCCTTCAAAACTGAATATACGAGTATATAATGCTCTCAAGCAAGCATACTCGAATTAGTACCTAGTAAATAACTACAGCTTCCTTAGAACGAAGGAAGCAAATTATACTTTGAAAGCAATATCTGCAGTTAGTCTTACACACAATCGTGATCAATCATCCCAACGTGAGATTACCTATATGAAAATGTCAGATGCCCCCATTCAAGAGCGTGCTATTTTGATAACATCATATGCTTAGGCATCTACAATGTTTGTTTATAAAAACGCATTGAAAACATTATTGTTAGTCATCCGTTTGAGCCCGAACAAAGCCCAGTAGGAAACCACTCTTCAAACTCTAACTCGTCATTCATTAAATAGTGAGTGTTATTATGATGGTTGGTTCTATATAGTTGATTATAATTCAATGTTAAATAACCGTGTAATGAGTAATATAATTTGATTTCAAAAACTACAACTTCGTCAAGCTGTTGCTTGAGTGTCGTATTCTGAACAATACATAAGGTTCATTTTGCAAACGCAAAGAATTTTAGTTTGTTATCTATCTTTACTCATTAAATAATGGCAACACCAAATTCCGACCCGTCAGATAGGATAGTGCTTCACATCAAACCTGTGTCGTCAATGTTATTTTTGAAAATAAACAAATTACGAATCTTCAGTATAAAACGAACATACTAGGTTATAAAAAAATAAGTGCAGACATTGCGTAGTAAAATGGCTTTTAAATGTATTCTGAGTATACTATTAACTCACAATATGCTGGTGTACTGTGCTTCGGCAGCGGTGCACGACCATAGCATGGATACTGTGGAACGCGAGTCCGATGGGAGCTTCCGTGCGAGAGACTATGATCACTACAGCGACTCTGGCCACCACTCCGAGTTTGACCACGAAGCTATCTTAGGTATACAGTTTGTTTTATGCGTTTTGTGACGTCGGCGGACGGCCGGTTAAGTTTTGCAATTCTCAGTTGATAAGGTATGCGATAGCACGCCGTTTACGATGTCTGTTAGCAATGCATTATTTGTGTTGGTGCCTCTTGTGTTGCTTGTAACATATTATTATACCATAGGGAGCGTGAAGGAGGCTGAGAAATTCGACAGCCTGTCTCCAGAAGAAGCCAAGGCGAAACTGGCGGAGCTTCTGATCAAGATGGACTTAAATGGAGATAAACTTATAGACCGGTTAGAACTTAAGAAGTGGATACTGAAATCATTCATGTAAGTATCATACCTAATTAAATAATTACTAAATATTAGTTATTTACTATGAAAATAAACAATAATTAAATTAAAGAAACATGAATAAAATTAAGATTTATATTATGTGCTAACACGCAGGTGTTCTAAGCAAAAAGCTTTCCAATAGCACTCATATAATAATCTAGGATATAAGTATCTTTTTAGTAATCATTTGGCAATCAAAAATCCATTAAATATTATTGTTAAGGGTCTGGTTGTTAAAAAAGAAATAATGATTAAAATTATATCAAAAGAAAAAGTGTATGTTATTGCAGTAACATGGGTTAACAATAAAAAAATATTTCCTTGAAACATAATGTATGCATAAAATTATGATTGAGAAAAAAACATCACTATTTAGTTAAACATGGAAGTAATTAAATATGCTGTATTGCTGTGATGATTGAATTCCATAATTTTCTAAGCATTTATATCTAAAAACAAAGTCTGAAATACATTTGGAAGGTGTGATAAATTAATATAAAATATTTTTAACAATAGAAACTTATCTCGTGAAGAAACAGAAGAACGCCTTCAAGAAGCTGATGAGGACCAGGATGGAGCTGTGACGTGGCAGGAATATTTGCACTTATTAGGCGTTGATAGTGATGATGAAGCTGGTCCCGAGGACACTGGAGACTCTGGCATGGTGAGCATTAATCATAGAAGATAAACATATATATTTCTAAATACGTACATAGAGATAAGTTTCAACCAGACACAGAACAAATGATCGTACTCATCACACACTTATTTGTCCTGGGTGGGAATCGAACCCACTACCTCTGGCTTAGCAGTCGGGGTCACTAAGCTTCAGGCCAGTCAAAAATATGCGTTTAGTGAGTCATCGTTTGTAACCAATAATTTATTATGAGGTCAGGCAATGTTTTATAGTTTCTGTAAAAGCACTACCTAAATTACATTATTGGTATTGGGCTCTGATTTCCGCATTTCAGTCCATTACGCGTCGAGGAAAGGTTGGCTGGGTGAGCCAATCAAGCTCGTTCCAGAAGCGCTGAAGCCTCTTGGGGCGAACACAGGCTTCTAGGAGCGATTTTGTATCAGGTATGATACTAGCCCATAGTGTGGCCACTCCTTCGCATTCCAGGATTACGTGGGCAGCTGTTTCTTCTGCTTTCAGACATCCTCTGCAAAGAGGGCTGTCGGTCGCACTAATGGTGATTAGTGGTCGTCCAGGGCTAGGTGTCCTGCTATAGTTCCTACAACTATTCGGATCTTTGTTGTTGTGTTGTGTTTGTATGTTTGTGATCATCTCTGTTTTCGACGGGTTCACTATCAAGTCGTGTGTCACACACACCACTGTTTAACGGTCTTCAGTGCGAGTCTCATTTGATCGCATAGAACTTTCTCCAAGGAACCACTGATGGGGATAGTCAGATCGTCTGCATAGCCTATTGTGAAGAAACTGTGGGCATCCTCGAGCCACCACCACCCTACTCACTTCACTCACAGCAAATTGAACAGCTCTATATCTTAGCTTGCTCGCTGCATGCAATGCAATCTCAAGGTCGATCCTTGAGATTGTGGAATCAACGCCATATCTAGACAGAGCTTTGGGTAATCCTGGTAAGGCTTCTGAGTCAGGCCAAGATTACTAAATAAGTGTTAAAAACTAATTATTATTAAAATACTAACTTAATTATGAACTAGTCAAGAAAACCACGACGACGAATCTTTCGTCGAGTTTAGTTAGGTAGTCTAGTATAGGTAGGTAGGTAGGTATTAGGACGTACGTTTTACAGCGATTCAATCACATTCTCTAATAAAAAAATAATAGTTTTAAAAACTAAAAAACACGCTTTTTATAGAAAACCAAACTAAAAAACAGAACATTAATTTTGATAAATTTGAAAAAAAAGCGTGGGGTGCTTTTTACTATTGACAACAGGCACCCAAAGCTTTTTTCCAAATTTTTTAAACTATTTTTTTTAATTTAATTTTTAAATTAGTGTATTGTCATCGGTCCTCGATATATCTACAAAGTTTGAACGAATTCTGACCGTTTAAAATCAGTCAAAATCACGCCCAAAGGAGTCGGTTACAAACAAACATACAAGTGAATCTAATATAAAGCGTGTAAAAATTACCTTTACAGCTATTGATTCCACAAGGTAGCATGTCGCGTCGGATGGTACGTTACAAATTTATTTTTAAATCGTTCTTCATTCATATTCTTTTTGGAATTACATGCTTTGTGTGAACTCGTCAACAACTTTTGTAGTTATTTTGTGACAAACTTTATATTAGATGGGAGTTGATAGCCTTAAGACTAAGCGTCTAGACGCCAAGGCAACTTAGTATGCAGGCCCTTGCCAGTCCGCAGTTCTCTTCAAGTCTTCCGAAGCTATATTTTTTATAAATAGGCCAAACTAATTTTAAGCTAATGTACTCCTTATTGAAATTGCAACATTGTAAGTACATTAACTGGTTAGATAGCTAGGGGTACCTACGTTTACTTTATTCTATGATATTCTTTCTTTTAATTTTCTATTTCAAGCAAACTGAGACTAGAGACATGAAATGGTTGATAGTTATCAACTATTATCCTTCTTGGGAGTGGGACCCACCGGTCTAGCAAGAGAATTATTGTTAAAACTCTTTTCTTCTACTTCTAAAGATTTTAATGCGGTTCTTCTTCTTCTAGAAAGATTACTCCACTTGGGAACTGGTACTTACTGTTTGCTGTGACTGATTGTTTTTAATGGCTTCTAGACTACAGTCTCGTAAATCTATTTGAAAACTTCCAAACTACACATCTATGGGGATTAAATTTTCATTCACTTTAGTTTTAGATATAAATTCTTACTTAGTTTATACAGGTACAGTATTAAAAAGGTGTGTATTTCGGGGATACCCCACTAGTTTGGTATGCGACGGGGTCCTTCTTGTCCGTTATCAAGGAGTGACTCGACCTTCCGCATCGATGTCAGTAGAACGCCTGACACCGACGCGCTTCCGAGACAATGAAAATATTGTACCTTACGCGTCTATTACGAAATATTGATAATTATTTACTATTCTATCCTAAGATGAAAATCTTATAGTATCTTCAGCGTGTGTAGGTTTGACAGCTACCTAAACTACTTAAGACAACTCGCATCGGTTACGTTTTTATTCTGTGGCAGCGATTTTTTTTTATTTCTTCTTTTAGTAATAATGATATAGCGTCTATTTTCCTTTTTTTTTTGGACACCAGGGTTTGAGTCTTATCCGCGTGATAAATGGCTGTAAATTTTATTTATAGACTCTTCAAGAGGAGAAAGCGATGTGGGCGATTGCAGATGCCAATAGCGACGGGCAACTGGAGTTGGATGAGTTCCAGGTCAGTTTCATTTTTCGTATCTTCAACCACACTACTTAAATATTATTATTTGTATTCAAGATACAATTATATTGAAATACAAAACTTTACTTAATTATGATGATCATCAACAGTCTACTTCTCCACACAGGCCTCTCCTTAGGAAGGAGGTTTTGGCCTACTATACCACGCTGGCTAGACGCGATCTTAAAGGGTTTGTGTCAAATTTTCCTTCTCTTTGCAGTGCTGTGCCCTGTGCATAGCTTGCTCCTTTAGTCAGCTCGTACGACACCCACAGGATGAATAGGGGTGGCGGCACTCCGTATATTTATTATGATAATAAGTTTTATTTTTATAGTTGCCATTTCTTAAAAAAGAATTTCTTTTAAACAGGCATTCACGAATCCTGAAGAACATGAAGAGATGCATCCGTTCCTCATCAACCAGACCCTCTCCGACAAAGACACTAATATAGATGGCGTGATCGACTTTATGGAGTACATCGGTGAAAGAGGTATATCACCAGGTCACATTATTTGCCACCAAGTACGACCGGTGTACCGATATAGACTTTATTTTATAACTTTAAGAGTTTGCATACATACTTGCTTGGGGTGCTCTTTAAGATATCTTTGCATAGTAGAAAATGTAGTCGCTTTTTTTTCTTGTACACTTAGATATTTCAAACTCCGCAATGCGGTTTTTATAAATAGAGAGAATGATTCAAGAGGCGGGTTTATATGTATAATACATGCATATTATAGTAGAGGAAATCCGAGAATTTCAAAGATTTGTAATGTGAAGTCGTAAAAAACATATTTTTGTGCGTTTACATTGCAAACGCTGGCTAAACCTTACGAGATAAATGTACTATGAAATTTTATATCTTAAAAATATCTAAAAACATGTCCGCGATGGTATGGACTATCTCAACAACTCAACTCCGACAAGAGCGGAGCGGGCCTATAAATATTACATAATATAAAGATGTCCCGTAGTAAAGTTTTATCATAATAATAGTATAATTAATAACTCCACACTGGCACCACATAAGTTGTATCAGTAGTATCTACATTGCATCCGTACGAAGCCGGGGCGGATTGCTATAGTCCATCAACGTCGTGCGCGACCGTCCCGCGGGGTGACAGACGGTGGCGGGGACGAGGTACTCAAGATGTCAGCGGGTAGCGGGTGGTGTAGCGGGGAAGGGAAACGCTTCTCTTCGTGTGTAGCCGTGTGCTAGAATGACGCGCTACCTCGCCCCCGCCACTGTCTGTCACCCCGCGGGACGGTCGCGCACGAGATTGCAGTGTTATAGTTAATAATAATGTCTTAACTTAAGAATCCGTCAATGAAATATTTCCAACAATTGACATCTAGCACCGCATATTTTTTTTAATTTTTTTTTTTCCTAATTACTTTTTTCAACCAGTCAAAAAGGCATGTTTTTTTTTCAAATATTATTTATACTATTTAACAACACAAAGCAGAAAAGTATTATCACCTAGTCGTAAATTAGTAAATATAATTGATAATTTTTCCGCCCACGTTTTGACGGGTCAAATGTCCCTGATAAGCAATATGGTGACCGTTGAAATCGGTAATAAAGTTTTCGACAGTTAATGAAATATCTAAAGTGTTGCAGTCATCATCACATCAACAGCCTTTAATAGTCCACTGCAAGACATAGGCCTCTCCTTAGAAAGGAGTTTTGCTGTATAAATGTCAATCAAATAAACAGCGAAGTAGCTTGAATAATTTTAAATATAATTCAGTAATTTTGTTCCAAATACCAGGACGCGACGTCTAGTATAAATAATTTAAAAAGTTATATTTGTAATTATCTTTCTCATCAACAGCCTATACTAGTCCACTGCTGGACATAGGCCTCTCCTTAGAAAGGAGGTTTTGGCCTACTATACCACGCTAGCCAGACGGGTTGAGATAGGGTTTGTTTCAAGTTTTCCATCTCTTTGCAGTGCTGTTGTCCTGCTTAGTTTGCTCCCTTAGTCGGCTCTTACGACACCCACGGGATGAATTGGGGTATTGACAATTTGTATTCATATCTTTCTAATTTACATTAATCACAATGTTATTATTATTTTCATATATAATTCAATTAAATCATAAATGACAGCAGTAAAAAAATCTGTTAAAAATTTTTTTTTAGAAAGATACACTTTTACTGAGTTTAACCTAATATAACAGAAGGCAATAATGCAATGCAATAAGGTTTGTGCGCGTACTCCTCCGAAACGGCTCTACCGATTTTAATAATTGTAAATTTTAATTCACAATCATTAAAATCGGTAATAATCACCCGCCTAACCATTCCCACCATTTTTTGTATGGCAAAACCAAAACCTCCTTTCTAAGGAGAGACCTCAGAACAAAGTTTGCCGGGTCAGCTTGGCGATATATATAAGATGGTTCCTTTCTCTTCCTCCTCTTCGTCGCGTTAGTTCCTTTAAATAATAAAAAGTAAACAAATCTCGAATTCCTGTGTTATATGTGCTAGCACAATAATATATGAACTCATGTTCAATGCGAATGACCAGTTTGAACCGATAACGTTGATTTGCTCGGTACATTTAATGAGTCTTCGACACAGATATCTTAATCGAATTAGTTTAGGAGGCACAGAGCATCGTCTTGGTTAATAGCACACTTTGTTTATTGCCACTACGTAACACGTAATGATAATAACCTTCCCAACTCCCAACCCTGTACAGATACAAAACAAATTATCGTGTTCATCAGACAATTATTTGTCTTAGGTGGGAATCGAACCCACGTTTTTTGGGTTCCACCCACCTCTAAATCAACAGGCCCATCTTCTGTATACAGGTAGATTGAAACTCAAAACAATTTCAAAAAATTTTTTTAAAAATTGTTTGAAATCCTCTTAGACTCTAAAGTCATAGATCAACACACACAATAGCAACAATCTGTTTTTTTAAATGTTTAAAAAACAAAATTTAATCCATTAAATGCCTGTGCCGATCTACAACCGCCCGTTTCCAAAGGGTTGAGCCTTATGAGAAGAAAGGGCAAACAAACTCTTTATTCACATCAACAGCCTTTAATAGTCCACTGCTGGACATATGCCTCTCCTTAGAAAGGAGGTTTTAGCCTACTATACCACGCTGGTCAGACGGGTTGATATTGGGTTCGTGTCAAGTTTTCCTTCTTTTTGCAATTATCAGTAATAGGTATTTAGACAGTTATACGTATAATAATCTCGATATGTTATTAAAAGACTGCTTTTAAGAGATAAAAGAGAATCGGGTGTACCCACTAGGTATAGGGTTTATGTCAAGTTTTCCTTCTCTTTTCAACTCTTTATAGATTGACACAATATAATGTGTTTAATGAAATCTTTCAGGTCAACAACAAGACAAGGAATGGCTGGTCGCCGAAAAGGACAAATTCGACCACGACTTAGATTTGAACCACGACGGGGTGATCGACCTGAAAGAGATTCACACGTGGATCATACCGGACAACGAGTGAGTATATTCAAGCTTACATCCCCACACCCGTGTACACGGAAGGGGTAGGTAGAGGCGTGTTAAACCTTCACATTTTGTACACTATCATTTGATATCTTCCGTGTGGCGACGGATTAAGGATACGGAGTGTCACAACCCCTATTCATCCCGTGGGTGTCTTAAAAACCGATTAAAGGATCAAACTACGCAAAACAACATCACTTCAAAGAAAAGGAAAACGTGGTATAGTAGGCCAAAATCTCCTTTCTAAGAAAATGCCAGCAGTGAACTAGTAAAGGATGTTGATGATTTGATATCACTCACCTTATAGCTGGTAAAGTTATTGCCGCGAACAACTAACTTTGGGAATTAAAAATGGGAAATTTCCCATATAAAAACATATTTCTCATATAGATGGAATCAGAAGCAAAAGCAATATTTTGACGAGGCCACATACTAGGCATTCTGTTACACATTTCCGTCCCTTTTCACGAAATCACTTCCCACAGATCGCAGGAAAGTGAAAAGTTAAGAGGTGATACACATACAAAATAATGCTTTATTTATCTTACAGAGAAATAGCGCTAGAGGAGGTAGACCACTTGTTCGCATCAGTGGACGACAACCACGACGACATATTGTCGTTTAACGAAGTCCTCGACCACACCGAAATGTTCGTCGGCAGCTCCGGCTCCTCGGCCTCCGACATGTACGGCGAACACTTCGACGACGAACTATGAACCTGTGTAACTACCTTCACAGTATAACTTCAATATCCACTGTACATATGGAGTGAGTCATCGTGTTACCAACGGCGGATACCCTGCAGCGTCCCCGGTCGCGACTTCGATTTTTGTACAGTGTAAATGTATATAAATGTGTCTTTGTATAATATATATGTATTAACACATAAAACAGCTCACAAAGCTAGATCCCACAGTATAAGCTATGCTTAGTTTAACTTAGCTTAGAGTAATGCGGAAATCCCTTCGGACTTCGGTTATGTCTGACATGAACCGACCAAAAACCGCACGCCGTCTCGGGTACCAGTAGCTGGGGAACCAGGTGTACCCTAGGAAGGAAATCACTGAAACCCCGACGGACCCCGGGCCATCTACGGCTTGTAGATGACCCCCTCGTGTGTGGGAACTAAAGAGCGCGCGCGCTCTACAGCGTCAACCCGGGATGTTTTGACTCCCAGCTTGAAACGAATGAGGGATCTTCCGTTGGTAACAAAATGTGTCAAAGATAGTGTTCACTTATTTATTTTTAATATATGAACGTGTAATGTATTGGAATACTTCAGATTATGGACATTGGACAAGTTGGGGAAACTAAGTAATGTACTAAAACAAATCTAGACACAAGTACTAGGTCTTTTATACACATTGAAATGGTTTATACTTTTAATAGGATTGTTTTGACCAACGTATTATAGTAAATAACTGTCAAATCAGTATATTTTAATAAACGTCAAAATGAAAGCGTGACGTCATACCTTGCTATTGTCAAATCATTTTCTTTTGATGTCTCGAAGCTACTAAATAAAAGTCGACAATGAAGGACTATTCATGCTTTACTTTAAAGATGTTAAATTTCACTATTCAGGCGAAAGAATTTATTTTAAACCTAGGCCTACCCTATACATGAATAAAAAAATAAATAATAAAAAACAGTGCAGTAAACCAAAAACAATATTCTTCCAAATATTTAATTTATTATAGTTATAATTAAGTATTCATTTGAAATTAACGATCGTTGCGAATTCGGTTTCATAATCTACAAAGAATGACTTTTCTTTATAATTTTTTCTAAGCCTAAATCAAAATAAGACAAAACAAAGACAAAATTTGAGGAACAGAGTAGTGAAGTTACTTAAATTATTGTTCCATCTACTACACAAATAAACTAAAGAAAAAATTAAAAATGTAGCATAAATAAAATTACATACGGTACTCTTAAGCGCGCTCCAATATCATCGCACGCGCATAATTTTTCGATAATTTTATGGAATGAACCACAGCTTATGGTACCTACTTATTATTTTATTTTGGACAAACTTACAAGAAAACATTTTGTCTGAGTGTCACACAAAAATGTTATGATTTACAAATATTCATCATTATTTTTTTTTGCACAAGAAGCAGTCGTAATTTGAGTTACTACGTGGAGATTTCTTGCTTGCCGACCAAACTTCCTGATACAATAATAATAATAACTTTGATATACTGTCCTCGTTTTGTCGAAGATGATACACAGGCCTCAAAAATAAGTCAAATTTTTCCAATTTTTTTATTACGTTGTATTGCGTTACGAAAAGTGTGATCGGGCAAGTTGAGAAGGAGATATAAGTTAGTAAAGATAGAAAGAGAGAGAGTTGCGTTTCGTATATTACTGTAGGGGCAAGAGAGAGGTGCGAGTCCACATTTTCTCTCTTAGCTTCATATTTCAGTCGTGTGGTCTAAAGCACACTCGTTTTTTAATAATACACACATAATATTGTAGTCTACATGGGCAGTGTATAGAGCTATATTGTCTTAGTAGCCCTTATGGTAGTTCGGCAAGTATATTTCCTTCGCACTTCGCCCTTGTGAATCCTCTGAATCTTAAATATTACGATTGAGTTGTGTTTCTGTGTTATGTACTTTATTTTTGAGGTGCAGCATCTATTCTTGCCTCGTCTCACTATGAAAGTACTTATTTTATTTACTTTATATACCAATTAGTAATTATGTAAAATTATTAATTATGTAAAATTATTAAAATACCTAACTGACCAGTTATATCTGCATTATGTTTTAAAAATGTAAGTATCACATCAACAGTCTATAATAGTCCACTGCTGGACATAGGCCTCTCCTTAGAAAGGAGGTTTTGGCCTACTATACCACGCTGGCAAAATTCAAGTATATATTGGAACATTGACAGTGATGCAAGATAAATAAAACTATTCCAACAGCATTACATTGTTGTGACTATTGCGACCTAGAAGTTTAAAGTGTCTATTTTAAGTGCTTGTGTTTCACTCGAATGATTTGAAGTCTGATACTATTCATATTCAGTCTTCATATTAGTATTAACGTGGAAAGGAACTGCTATTATATATATATATTTATAAGTAATATAATATTTGAATGGAGCGATCCCATCAACTGCTGACATAATTACAGCTGTTAGGTTGTTCCAAACGAAGTCCTACGCGTAATTATCTCAATGTCCTCGTTTGTATAGTCTGTTTATTATTATTTTAGAGTACCGCCAAATTAAAAAAATAATATATTATGTTCAATACATAATAACACTTACTAAACTCCACTAGCAATAATTCTGTGTTGTCATATGAAAATGTTTAAACATACTAAAATGTTGTTGTAAGCGTTCGATTATTAAATTTACATTTATTTCGACTTTGTAATGCATTACATAGACTAGTCAGAATATTAATAACTTAAATATATTTTAAGAAAACTGTATAGCTGGGAACTGTTTCCAGCCGCGCGGTGTTAATGGATGTTAACACATAAGTGTCAAACTAATTAAACAATTTTACTAACTATTGCGCTCTTTTATTTAGTATGTAGTTATCCTTTGAGCACGATCATTTGTTCTGTGACTATATGTAATTCATCTATAATATCCACCGTCATTTTGAGGTAACTTTTTTTTTTTGCAGTATTTGTGATATTACAATCAGATTTTTAATTATTACACGTTAATTTTATTAAATAAATAGTGTTCTTTTGAGTTGGTTTATTTTTCCAACGCAATCAATTTACGAAAAAAAGAGTAGAACAATCCAGAAATTCCAAAATGTCAAATTCAAAATTATGTATTGACAGTTTATTTTCCAATCAATGGCTTTATTCAAAAAGAAGCTCAAATATTATGTCCTGTGTCCTGCAAAGTAACACGTGACAAACGAGCACACATAGTAGAAGAGACAAAAAATTATGATAGAACAAAATAGAATGTGCTTAGTATTTATGTAAATACTCAATTTAAAAAAAACTAGAAAAAGAAAACAAAAATAAAAAAATACATACATTTAATATTTTAAAATAAAGTAAATATTAAATAAAATAAATACCTAGTAAAACAATAATAAAATATAGAAAAATACATTTAATAGATAAAAACAGTTAAAGCTTACAAAGAAACTTACGATAACCGTCTCTCGATAGAAGCATGATAGTACATGCTACACAATACGTAATACGACCGTAACATACTTGTTTACAACTTGCAATATTAGTACTCTGGGAAAGCGTGGGTCCGGCTGGGTTTGTTTTGTGATAGCTACCCACTTTATTTATTTATTAAACTATACACTATTTATTTACTTGGATGTCAAAATAATTTAATTGAAACGTTAATATGTAATTGAAACGCCGCTCCGGCACTTGTTACTTACTATTTTATCTTGTATTTTCTCTGACAAAAGAATGTAAATATTCTTTTGTCTTAAACCATAACATTAAATGCTCAAGCACACAAATGTTTGACTTGAGCGGGAATCGATCCCGCAACCTTTCTACTAATGCAAAGTGCGATTAAATCACCCTACCGTGTGTTGGTGGGGAAACAAGAAATAAAACACTCAAAATATCCATTTACAATGTTTTTTTAATCAATATAATAATATTCTTAATAAATCCAAAATATTTACACAATACAAAAAACATACAATATGACCATGATCGGCGACTGTCGCCAGCCAGAGTTCGGCCAGAGTGGTGACTATTTACTAAACAATTTATGGGGAAACTGTTCAACATCCATCTCTATTGCATTTGTTTTAAGTTCATTATTGTATGTCGCTACCTTAGCTGTAGTACAGAACCTTCCGTAATATAACGCCAAGTAAATATAATTTGTTACACATACTTCCATTGATTAGTTAATACATATTGTATTGTTTTAACATGCACAGTCTGACGCGGCGCGCTGAAATGCAGTCGAGATGTTACTCCGTTTAATGGCACACCTCAGCATTGAAATTAAAGGTGTAATAATGTTGGACAAGATAGAACACGGTGCCACCATTAAACGGCTTGTGTTTTGAGTGCTTTTGTAACAGTACTACTAGTTGTACGAAGGTTCAAAAACAATTCTCAGCCGCGGGCCCCGGATACAACTTTCATGGTGACACGCGTCACCCGTCCTACTCTCGCTCAGATGTTACACGTTACCTATCCTTCTTACAAGTACAAAAATAAACTGCTAAGGAGTGACGCAAGCCTTTAGGAAATTAACGTGATTATAACAAGCGAAAACTGAACGCGTCCACACAGCATATTATTGTAATAATTATTTCTTTAAAATAAATACAAGCCGTTACGAAGTTGATTCTAAGTGACGTAAGGCAAAACTCATTTAGCGATGTATCGACATATAGTGACGTAGCTACATGATGTCGATGTCGACATCTACAGCTCAATGTTATCGATATCGTTTCCGCAGGCCGTAGTGGCTCCTCCCTGTATGGAATGCGATAAAAAAAGGATACGAAACTAAGACCCCACCGTTAACATTTTACTTATAAAATATAAATTATACAAGACAATATACATAGTAATTAATAATATGTATAGAACAATTTATCCATCGAATAATTAGTGGTTTTTAAAATAACTATATAACTTCCTAAGTGAGAAGTGTAAATCTATGATTTTATTAAATAACTATGCGATATTATATTATTTTGAACTAAAATAATGATTGTATGAATGTTACATAAACGCTCCGCGGAGAATTCAATCACAATTTTATTAGATACCATTTGGGTTCTTATCAGATACGAGCCTTGGTCAGCCAACGCCTCGTCGCCAGGAGCTGGCCGCCGAAGGGCCGACGAGCGAACGTTAACAGGGAGACGACGGTTTCCACATGGAAACCTTATACGACGAAATCTAAACGATTCCCTTACTCATAAACGTTGTTGTAAATAAAAAAAAATATTATTGCAAATATATTTATCTAAACAACTTCGTTGCAGATAAATTATAAAGTTCCAATATTGAAATAAATCCCGACAGAGACACTGACACGTTTTAATATTGTTCTTCGTCATACAGTCTAATGGATTTCACTTGTTGATGAATAGTGTGTCTAAATACCGCTACAATCGTAAAACAAAATATAAAATTAAATGTATATGTAACGAGTACACGTGTAAATGCACCTTCACCGATGAATTTCGCCCTATATACGCTCCTATTGACAACATAATACATTTTAGTTGGAGAATAACTTACGATTCGATGAAAAAAATATATTATCTAGTATAAGTGCCTCCCAGTATATGTATACAAACGTAATTCTCAGTTCCCCAACTAAGTTATATTTTATTGTTTATTTATTTATATAACAAAAGCTGTTAAGTATCGCTACGGCACAGTGCTCTAACATGATACAAACAAAAAGTAAATATAATATTTTTTATTACATTTTCATTACAATTACAAATAAGTTTTAAAACTAGTTTTCATTTTTTTTTATCATTAGCTTGTTTTAATATTATATAATGTTGTTGTTTTTTTTTTATAACCACTACGACGCACACACGGCTCGTTCTATTTATAAATAGGTCGAGGCCCACGAGGCGTTACATTATTTTTTTTATTTAATATTTAACATTGCAAGATCAATATGCAGATATACTTAGTTCCTCGCGAGGCTCTCTATATAACAATTAGCTAATTCAAAGAGCAAAATACACAACAAGTATACTACGCCAGGCGTATACGACAGAATTGTAACGACAGACGACTTTGAAACTAAACGAGGCATATTTCAGTTCCGCCTCGAGTCATTTAAGTTTTAAATGACACGAGGCGGAACTGTATACGAGGCGATATTGTCTCGGTTAGTCAGAAAATACATTATAAAGAAGTGTAGTAGCGTGTGTACGTCGAGTGGCCTGAGCGTCGGTAGTGCAGGCCAAGCGCGGGTCCGAGACGTGTCCGAAACGAGTCCGCTACGTGTTACCTACTACATACCTCAACCCGCGCGCACGCCCTCACCAACTGGCGATTTTGTCTGTAAAAGTTAAAGATAATTGTTTTAAAAACATTAAATGAAATTATGCGAAGGAGGCGGGGGTATGACAGTATGACATGACATGTGGAGCGTGGTGTATCACTCGCAGCAGGAGGAGGCGGGGGTACGACAGTATGACACTAGAGAGCACGTACCATGTGGAGCGTGGTGTATCACTCGCAGCAGGAGGAGGCAGGGGTACGACAGTATGTCACTAGAGAGCACGTACCATGTGGAGCGTGGTGTATCACTCGCAGCAGGAGGAGGCGGGGGTACGACAGTATGACACTAGAGAGCACGTACCATGTGGAGCGTGGTGTATCACTCGCAGCAGGAGGAGGCAGGGGTACGACAGTATGACACTAGGGAACACGTACCATGTGGAGCGTGGTGTATCACTTGCAGCAGGAGGAGGCAGGGGTACGACAGTATGACACTAGGGAACACATACCATGTGGAGCGTGGTGTATCACTTGCAGCAGGAGGAGGCAGGGGTACGACAGTATGTCACTAGAGAGCACGTACCATGTGGAGCGTGGTGTATCACTCGCAGCAGGAGGAGGCGGGGGTACGACAGTATGACACTAGAGAGCACGTACCATGTGGAGCGTGGTGTATCACTCGCAGCAGGAGGAGGCAGGGGTACGACAGTATGACACTAGGGAACACATACCATGTGGAGCGTGGTGTATCACTTGCAGCAGGAGGAGGCAGGGGTACGACAGTATGTCACTAGAGAGCACGTACCATGTGGAGCGTGGTGTATCACTCGCAGCAGGAGGAGGGGGGGTACGACAGTATGACACTAGAGAGCACGTACCATGTGGAGCGTGGTGTATCACTCGCAGCAGGAGGAGGCAGGGGTACGACAGTATGACACTAGGGAACACGTACCATGTGGAGCGTGGTGTATCACTTGCAGCAGGAGGAGGCAGGGGTACGACAGTATGACACTAGGGAACACGTACCATGTGGAGCGTGGTGTATCACTCGCAGCAGGAGGAGGGGGGGTACGACAGTATGACACTAGAGAGCACGTACCATGTGGAGCGTGGTGTATCACTCGCAGCAGGAGGAGGCAGGGGTACGACAGTATGACACTAGGGAACACGTACCATGTGGAGCGTGGTGTATCACTTGCAGCAGGAGGAGGCAGGGGTACGACAGTATGACACTAGGGAACACGTACCATGTGGAGCGTGGTGTATCACTTGCAGCAGGAGGAGGACCGCTGCTGTTCGGCGTCTCCCAGCCGCCGCGCGCCCGCCGCTGGCCCGCCGCCCACACCCTCGCTCTTTGGTAACTTGTTCGCTGTAAAGTTACAATACCGCCATTAAATAAATCATGCGCAGCTTGACTGGAAGTGTGCCTTCTGTACATTTTCGATCAAACATATTCGACACGTTAGGAACGATGGGAGAGCCATGCTTCCGCTGATATAGGCCCGGCTCGACCGGGCTACAAGGCGACAAGGGCCTAACAGAAAAGAATGATACAAGTGAGATTCTCAATAGCATCCTAATTCTTCTGGAGGAAAACAGACTCTCTTAGGCCGACAAAGCACTTGTAACGCTTGGGTTGCACATCAGTACATTACCCGTCATGAGATCCTGCAGAAATCCCGGCTGGAGCATCTTCCCTTTATCTAGGACTACATAATACCAATTTATCGACGAAGTTTTTTTATACATGAATAGATGAACTCACCGATAGCTAAGAATATATCATTAACGTTCATGGCTGTCTTGGCGCTGGTTTCCATAAACAACAGGCCGTTCTCGTCCGCGTACGCCTGCGCCTCTTCGAACTCCACCATGCGTTTAGCGGCCAAGTCACTCTTGTTGCCCGCCAGGGCTATCACTATGGATGGAGACGCTTGCCGCTGCAGTTCTTTGACCCAGTTCTTGGCGCGCCCGAATGTGTCCTGGAATATCAAAATGAAATTGATTAGCACATACCTATACCATTTCCTATTAAAACGTAGAGTATTCTAATTATAAGTCAATAGTTGCAAGCGAAACTGCGTTTTAATTTATTGGTACATGTGTTACGTTTACTTAACCAATAAACATGGAATTTGGACGAAAGAAAACAAAGTAACGTATACGAAGGCAAGCCCTGGACCTATATATCCGGTGTCGCGGGGACTTTACCAACACACATGAAACGGACAACATCCAGCCCCAGAACAACAATTTCTGGATCACACAAAGTGATGTACCATGTAGGGATCGAACCCACAACACTCGGCGCAGTGGGAAGCGGCGTGGCGACCGCTTAAGATACTACGTCATCCGTGCAGTCGATATACTATACTTGTAACTATATATACTTTTAATAACTATACTTTAAATCCTATTGATGCGATAGGGAACAAGACTACAACCGTTAATCGGGCACTTTAGGAAGAGGCACTTCGGCACTAAAAGGAAAGTAAGGAAGGAATATTGCTTATACGGATGTAAGTAATAGCTGGAACAGGACCGGTAACTCGAATTGTCTATTACCGACAAGCACCATCCCTCTTTCCAAAAGAATAGTTTCGTCCATATTTCTCGTAAATCGTGATGTCGTTTTCAAATAGTGACGGGTCTGTTGGTCTAGTGGTTAGTGACCTTGACTGCTAAGCAGGAGGTCGTGGGTTAGATTCCCACCCAGGACAAATAATTGTGTGGTGAGCACGATCATTTGTTCTGTGTCTGGGTGTAATTTATATCACCAGGGACTTCCTTTCTAGGGTATACCTGGTTCCCCGGCTATTAGTACCCGAGACGGAGTGCGGTTTTAGTCGGTTCGAGTCCGACATGCCACCGATAGGTGGTATCCGAGAGGATTTCCGCACGGAAAAAAAAAACCAAAAAGAAAGGGTGTAATTTATATATAACATGTATGTATTTAGAAATATATAAGTATGTTTATTAGCAGTCTGGTTACCATAGTACAGGCTCTGAGATCAGACGGCCGTGTGTGAGATTTGTGAAATTATTATTATTAAAAAAATGTACGTTAAGAAAGAAATCGTGTGACCTAAATTATCATCACATAATCCCACGCATATCGCTAATTGTCTTAGAGCGACGTTGACGACTACTATATGGAAGACTTAAAAATAAACATACGATACGTTTTCCATCGATTGCTGTCTATACATAGCTGCATTGCATTACTATGTTGTGGTTTTAACTTTGAACCTTGGTCTCTGTGACATAAATGAGCCTCAACGGTTCTTTCTTGTGGTTAAAGGTTCTAACCTCTGGAAGCACTAGTGGCGCTGGAGAGTTTTTGAGAAAGATTAGAGGCTATTGGCCTGACCGACATATTTACGTGTTACGATTGTCTTTAATTGGATAATTATGTACTAGCTACAAATCTGGTAATGTGGAATCACTCTTATCTGTGATTCTTCTTGACTGCCTCGGTGGCGCAATGGTAGCGTATGCGACTGCTGTGCTGAGGTCTCGGGTTCGATTCCCGGGTCCGACCAAATGTTTGTATGATCTACAAATATTTGTTTCGAAGTTTGGGTGTTTTCTTTGTATAATATGCATGTATTTACAAAAAAAAAGTATTTAAGTATTCTACTCGTATCAGTCAATCCAGCTTTCATAGTACAAGCTCTGCTTAGTTTGAAACTAGATGGCGTTGTATGTCAGATGTCCAAATATTATTATTATTCTGGCACTTGTTTAACTCCAGTGAACTACGATATAGTTAAAAATAACAATTCAAAAATTTACTAATATTCATTAAGTTATTATATGGGTTGCTTGACTGCGTTGGCCTGATGACTGATCATGACATAACACAGCTGATCTTGAATTAGCCAAAGCCTGTACTATGCTAAGTGTAAACATACTTATATGTTACTAAATAAGGAATATTTATCAGATACTAATATTAAGTAAATGTATAAGTGACATTTTAGTTTTTTTTTATGTTAGAGGGGGCAGACGAGCAGACGGGTCACCTGATGGAAAGTTACCATCGCCGCCCATGAACGTCTGCAACCTCAAGAGTCACGATAAACCCATTTTCATTCAATTATTATGTTAAAAAAGTATGTTATGTCATAGGCTACATTTTTGACATGTTTACCATATTTCGCATGCTTATTTTGGTAGAACATAATGACTATGCATTGCCCTAACACCTTTATTGCACTGTACTGTTTATGCTTCGCAATAAATAAATCTGAATCTGAAAAGTATTTAGGTATTGGTGATAAATGGGTGATACCTAATTCTTACACCGTTTGTTCACAACACACAGAGATGTTATACCTACAACGTGCTTGTGGATAGATATCACCCCAAGATCGAGAAGCCAGTTCTTTAAATAAACGTAATAAGAAATTGTTGTAAAGAACATTTAATTACATATATAGGAAACTTCATTACAATACATAAGTTTAACAATTTAATCTCATAGAAATACACCTGATCAAATATATAGGAATATTTAATAACATGTGGCATAATTGAATAATAAAAGCGTCGAAGGTACTTATGTTATTATCTGGCAAATAAAATGTCTTATAAATGAACTAAACTAGTCTAGTTGATTAATAAAATTTATTGCCGGCTATCTTTTTATATTGAAGGATATTGCCCTTGCTCGAAGACGTCGGCAATATAACAAAACTGTTGATGTTATGACGCGTCAAATGTTTTCAAGATGACGGTCAAGTGCGAGGCGGACAACGCGCATAGGGTTTCTTTTTAAACTAACTTAAAATTTGACAACACAGAGTTTGTTGCTATTGTGCGTGTTGATCTATGACTTAAGAGTCTACAGTCATGAGACGATTTAAAATAAACAAAAAAATCTATACTAATATTATAAAGCTGAAGAGTTTGTTTGTTTGTTTGTTTGAACGCGCTAATCTCAGGAACTACTGTTCCGATTTGAAAAAATCTTTCAGTGTTAGATAGCCCATTTATCGAGGAAGGCTATAGGCTATATATCATTACGCTAAGACCAATAGGAGCGGAACACCAATGAAGAAAGTTTCAAAAACGGAGAAAATTTATTACTATTGAGAGACGCAGACGAAGTTGCGCGGGTCAGCTAGTAATGAAATAAAGATATTATGAGTTTGAATTTGAAACCAACGACAACCGCATCTATGGATCTTTCACACTCCCTGCTGATAAATGTTTTCGAAAGATTAATCCAACGGTACCAGATACTGTGTAATTGACACGAAAAAAAAAACATCTTCTCTTTACGTATATAAATAAATCATTTCCTCAAAAAAACGTAATATATTTTCAAATTATAAGGAAATGATTTATTTATTTTTCCAAATATGTCAATCTTTTTGATATCACCACTATTGAGCCACTGCCATTCCATCGCCACTGTAAAGACACTGAGTTAGAGTAGACTACCGATATTTATACCGATGCCAATGGCCACTCGATGGCATCTCAATAGCGTGTCAGTGGTATGACAGTGGCTTGGCGTGAACATAAAATAGCAGAATTGAGGCCCTGTTCTTTTATCGCTCTGTCATCGTGATTAATATACATTCCCACACTAAATTATAGCTTTTTTGGAATAAAACACTAAGTGCAACTGCGGACGGACGGACACAGCGGAACTGTAAGGGCTCCTTACTAGATAGGTAATAAATATTAATTTATTCTATCAAAAGGCGACTTATATTCCTGCCACAGAGCGAGCGGGACAGATATTTACAATCTATAAAGTTGTCATTAGCAATGGTAATATTGCTTGACATTACAATGGCACTTATTTATGCTAAGAATGCTAAGAAAATACCGTAAACAGGTTGATCTTTTTATAGAAACGAATTATAAATGAATAGCTATATAGATATTACTAATATCCGGCATATTATATACTTAAATAGTGTGGCATAGTTTTTATGACATCGCGGGCAAACGAGCACACGTCACAAGTGCGTCACAGGTTGAATTCACGTCAATTCAGTCCCTTCTATGTCAGGTGCGGAATCGCACACCGTGTGGTTTCAGTAGGTTCGATTCCCACGCACCGCAACCCCGGTGTGATGACGGCATGAGGGGGATTCCACACGTTAAAAAGAAAAAGGCGAAACTTTAATTAAAAATGGTGGAATGCTAATTATTCGAGTGATCGATGGAAGTTTTGTCGCGTTGAACGAATCTGCCTTAGAGCATACGTTTTAAAAGTAGACCTATAAACGCATGCTCAGTATCAGTATACACCAATACATTGACAAAGGTTAGCTAAAAAATATTTAATTAATAAACTAAAATTACAATAATCTCAAGTAAAATAAGAACGTAAATTAATTATGCTAATGAAAAATTATAAATTATGCAAACGATTTCATTATTTTATGTTTAAATTTGTGTATGATTTGCAATTAAGGTTTAAAATTGGATTTAAAAACGTAATATACTTTAAATTATAATTATTATTTTAGTGTATACTAGCTGACCCGCGCAACTTCGTCTGCGTCTCTCAATAGTAATAAATTTACTCCGTTTTTGTAACATTCTTCATTAGTGCTCCGCTCCTATTGCTCTTAGCGTGATGATATATAGCCTATAGCCTTCCTCGATAAATGGGCTATCTAACACTGAAAGAATTTTTCTAATCGGACCAGTAGTTCCTGAGATTAGCGCGTTCAAACAAACAAACAAACAAACAAACAAACAAACTCTTCAGCTTTATAATATTAGTATAGATAATACCATCATCATCATCCAACAGCCTTTTATAGTCCACTGCTGGACCTATGCCTCTCCTTAGAAAGGAGGTTTTGGCCTACTATACCATGCTAACCAGACGGTTTAGTTTCAAGTTTTCCATCTCTTTGCAAAACTGTTGTCCTGCGTAGTTATTCCCTCAGTCGGCTCTGACGACACCCATGGGATGAAAAGGGGTGGTGACCCTCCGTATTCTTAATTCGTC